AGCTTGTTTGCTTTGCCCCGTTTTGTTCAGGCAAGCACTCCGTCAAATTGTGCCATTACCTTTCCAGCTTTTGATTGGTTGTCATTTCTATGCAGAAAAGGTGAATATCATGCAACCCACCTATCTGGCTGGTTAGATGGATAGCTGGTTTGTTTGCCTACCTACCTGCCCGCCTATGAGGGACGGCGCTAGCTTAAGCGCCTGGTCTACGTTCTAGCTCGTCTTGGAGTTGGATTTTGCCATCAACACCCGAGTGTGAATGCGGATAAGATCATCTCGTGCAAGCAATGCAACGCAGCAGCAAACTTTACAACGCACCACTGCAATGTCAGCCGACTGGCCCACTGCATCTCCCCCTATGTATGCCCATGAAGTTGTTTGTCATTCGTGATGTACGAGCAGCGTGATAAGGGGCGCAGCTAGAAGTTTATAAATGACTTTATTGTTGATTAAAGACTGAATGTTGGGGCCTTAGAAACCATTCTTCAGGTGTCAATGCCTACGCGACCCCACAAAGCTGGAAGTTCATTATTGTCATCATGTATTGAAATGACATTCCTCCAACAAATATGACAAAAGGCAAGAAATTCCTTGTCTCCTCTTCCTTGAAGAGGGGATAACAATGCCTACGTGATACTATTTCATCTTTGCAAAAGTTGTTTTGTGTGGTTCGCATTTGGGTATCGGTGCAGAAAACGAAATCGAAAGGCCAAAAGCCCTTCTTTGCTTTCAGTCTTTTTGGAGACATCCCATTCTTTTGTGCAAATAGTTCCTACCCTAATGCTTGCCCATTAGCCTCCCTGATAAAAAATTGTGAGGAATGGTGAGTGGGATGAGGTAGGGATAAAATTCACACATTAATGCGAATTTTTGAACCTGTATATCTCAAAATGGCCTCAAATCACAAGGCGATTTGGAGAGAGCGAATTGACGATCGGTAGCATCACCGAAATTAAATTAGAATCCCTACAGCAAGTGAATATTCACTTGATTTTTGAAAGATCCAAATAATGCTGGCTTTCACGGATGGTTCGCAACCAGCAGGTGTAGTTCCATCCTCTCAGAAACAAAGTTAACTTCTGGATTCAAACGTTAAACTTGTAAGTGCAAGCCGACGGATGGTAGAATTTTCCTCCTAGATGAAATTTGTCTTTTCTGTTACATCCTTTGTTTATCAGCTCTTCGAGCTTTCAAAGGTTTAAAGGGGTTGAATGATCAGTGAAATCCGAGGAATATTTAAAAGTTTATTCGTTATGCACTGAAATTTAAAAGAATTACCTCAGGTACTGTCCAATCACGAAAACTCTGAACGAGCTAGTTGACAGTAGATAGCTAGCATTGTATGAACTATTTCCTTTTATAGGTAAAGGGGTTCACCAGCTGTTCGGCTTACCCCTTACTGTCATGAATTGGGCACGTATCCGCTTCCATTCCCCGTAGCTGCTTCCTCCCCTTTCTTTTTGGTGCATTTTCGTGAAATGAGGCTGTTGAAAATCCATTTGGACAGTCCATTCACGCTACTTTTTAGTCGCGGTGGCTTCTGCATTTCCCCCGTGGAAGTTGGGGAAGAACTGTCGTTCACTTTTTCTGACTTTTTGTGGCTGTGAGCCTATGTAAATAAGGCCGCTTTGGCAAAAGCGGTAGTGGTGGTAATGTTTACGCAAGTTGGACTATCCACTGCACTTTCTGGGTGCCATGTGACCTGGGTCAAGCCGGCCATTAACCCCTCAAATCCGCACTAACCCACACACCAGTGCATATCTGAGGCATGGTCCACTTCGGCCCTCTTGTTTGACCCTAGCTGTAAGTTGGAGGACAGATGTGCGAGCTTGAATGTGATTGGCTAGTCATTAAGGTGCAACAATTCTCGACTTCTGATGGTCTTTTTTCCTGCAATTTTAAAACATGTAGGTGTCTCAGATTACTTACTTGTACGAGGATTAAATTTAAGTAACTGGTTAACACTCTTTGTGGGCGAGATTCATTGCATGTAGACATTTGACAACACTTGTTTGGGGTTGATTTTAATTGGTTGATCAGTAATGCCAGTAAGTAAGGACCAAATAGCGATTTCTGTCGGTGGTAAATTAAATAATTGCAGTCATGGAATCATTCTTCGAAGGCTACATTGATATCCTTTTGAGATCAACTACTTTCTACTACTTTCTTTGTCCGATTGATGGGGATGGTGGAGAGAACATCACGTTGACGTCTAAAGACTTACGTGTTCTTGATAAATGTTTATTTCTGCTGATCTTGATGTTGCAAACGTAGTTGAGATTCCTAACACATCCTATCATTTGATCAAATCGTCCCTATTCTGTGCTGACCCCTTGTCTGAAACCGATTTTGATTGGTGCCAACGGTATGGGTTGCTAGACCAAAAATGCAGAAATCTTCATGGGTACTTTTGAATTCACTGAAAGCCTTTATTTTTAGTATATTTTTAGCTGATTTAATGTAAATATTTAATGACACGAGGCTTTTTTACCCGGACTTGATGCTTCGCATTAAAATCGCTCTGCGAAAGAGGTCATTCAACTTTGACAAGATATACTGATGCCTTTTTGACCATATTTGGTTAGGTCACTGAAATTCAGTAAAGTCCAAGTGAAATATTAAGAGATAAATTTAGGAGAATTGTTTTCCAGTGGGACTTGGGGATTCAAGACAGATCTCTCGCCAACCGTGATCTAATTTATGACCAACATCCAAAAGGCTCTCCCAGTCCTCATGTATGCATAGGTTTACAGCGAATCAACTTGAACCAAGACATCAACAATTCATCCGTTGGATACTGCCAAGACGTGTGGGCGCCGACTAGAATCTTCCAGAATTCGACATAGGTCTGGTGTCTATCGATTCTGCTCTTAGTTCCTTCACATTTTCATGGACATCATTCCACCTTTGATTAACAAGTAGATAGATAGGTGAATAGGAAGCGATCTCCTTTAGTAACCACAATTCTTTTAATGGGTTTAGTAAGTTCAGGTTTATTTGGTGGCTAACGAATCCGTGTTTTTGGACGTCCGTCGATTCGCATGCGAAAAAAAATGTACTTTAGTAGTTCTAATCGGAACAGGTGATCTCTGGCCCTCGCGAAGGCGTGCGCATTTGCCTGGTAAGGTTACAATTAGCGGTTTAATCCAAGGGAGTGGCCTTATGCACATTCCTTCACTGGCTCTCTCCTTTGTTCCTTCCTTTCATCATAAAATTCTATTTCATATTCTCGTGACCTATGCAGACGTGGGAACTTAATTACTTGAATCGTGTCAGTTATCGCACAGGCTTTATAGGAATTAAATTATCCATCGTTGGTCCTAGGTAGGAGAGTAAATAAAGTTTAGACTCCATAAAAAGAAGGGTTGAAGATGAACCATGTAAGCAAGGATCGGAGGAGCGGAAGTGTTGATCGGAGCATAACCAATCAGGTGTTCCAAAGTCATTGGATTGGTATTGCATTCTGTGTGCATATACCAATCAAATGACACCTGATGAGAATTACAATTCTCCGTTTCAAAAACTCTAGAAACTGCTCTTTTATTTTTAAATGGTATTTGGTGTAATTTGCGAGAATCTCAGCTTGAGAAAATCTCATTATCTTATTCATCTTCAAGAGTAATATCAGATGGGTTGGTGAAGCTGATTCATCCCTCGGAAATCCATTTCGCAATCGAGAGATGATTTGCCGTTTCCGTTTCCTCCTACTCCGTACATCTATTTGGAGTGTTTCTGGCCTCTATCTCAAGATAGATGCTGATGCACACTTGTTGCTGTCGTAGCAAAACCTCAAATTCCACCTGAAGTTGGAATTGGAGATCCGAAAGCCGCTGTCTTAGGGAGGGCTAATGCCAGTGCTGGGTATAATTACCACATCCCATTAGAGGCACTGCTCTATTTTCAGTCAAGAGAGGACAGCGTACCTTAGGACACCGAGCAATCCAGCTTAATCGCTTTACGCTGGAAGAGGGCTTATTTTAAAGCCATTTCACTTCTTTATGCAAGGCTGAAGATTCCAGCAAAACCTTGACCTTGGTGCACAGAATTCACCCTGCTTCGGGAAGAGTCAAAACCTCAGTTTGACAAAAGAATCTGAATGGAGATGGTTGACCTCGTGTGGATTTGTCAGGCTTCAGGAGCTTGGTACGACAGCTATTTTGCATTCGGTGTCAGTTTTGCTGTCAACAAATACATTGTTGAATTTCTTCGTTCATGGTCGTAGTAAGTGCCTTGGAATGCCTTCGGGCTAATATTGCTGAAGGCATATTGCATCTGCTGGAGCTTATCATCATTCGCAAGATATCACGTTAGGAAATGGGAATAAATGTCGAAGACTTTTCTCTTGGGATATTCTACTCGCTGCTTAGATAACCATCTGGTCTTGATGTAATTTGGGACTTTCTCGGATCAGGCCATAGACAAGCGCATTCTACCTTCCGAAATGAGTTTAATAGTCCTATTGGCACTTCTTTTAGTCATGAATGTTGCTAAACACTTGGAATCGCTTGTTATCGGCGGCTACGTACAAGTTTCGGTTGCACTCTCAACGGGTAAAGAACAAGCGGGATTCCAGGCGTATGAACGAATATGGAACGAAGGGTACTCCCTTCAAATTTTTTTTGGACATGTTAGAATAAGTTGTTTTCGTTTTTCTGTTCTACATTTGGCAGAATTGCTCCTTTATGAAATCACCAAGAGAAATTACTGGAATTAGACTAGGGTGTCCTAGGAGGCATCTATAAATCGATGACCTAATTATAAATAGAGAAGGAATAAAAGTGGGATGAATATGGTTGTTTTCAAAGTTTGCCACATTGTTCGAGAGTCTAGGGATAGTTTTACTATCGACCTTCAGAAGAGCCAAGGGCTTATTAGCACTGATAGTGTGGCCCATTTCCACACGGTCGTCGCAGTAGGTGTAAAATGCCTGGCGTCAGTGAGCCGCAATCCACACGTTTTCCATCCTACACATCCACTTATCTCTCAGTAACGTGCTTTAGGTTCACCACCAGCGTCAGTGACAGAGGTGCCAACCATCCGTGGTCAGGTACCCCGAGAACAGCTGACCCAGACACCACACTCTTCTTCGGGTACCTCTCATCAGACACGTAAATGGCCCTCCTTCTCAATGCGTCGGTCGAGCCGCCTCAGCTCCGCCTCTTCCGCTCTCACCGGCACTGCCTCCACGCCCACCTCAACGCAAGGTCTTCGTAGCAATGCTGCTGGTGGTGGTGGGGACAAATCAAAGCCCACCACACTCACCGGGGGAGGTGGTACGGACGGTTTAGGAGGGAGTCTACTGCGCTCCTTTTCGGCTGAAAGGCATCGGGTTGTGAGCCCCACGCCCGCCTGTACTGTGGATCCGGCTACACCAACCAACACATCGGCAAGCAGTCTGCACAAGCCGTTTGTGGTGCGCTCCGCTAGCTCGCCCCATCGAAAAGGGTCGGGTGATGGGAGCAGGTGTGATCCGGGCTTGGCTGCTGTGAATAGGGTCGATTCGGTGGAGGTGAGTTGAATAAATTCGTGAGTAAATTTGCTCATCCTATGGAGGAGCGAGAATTTGAACCATGAACCACTGCGATAAATTTAAATGCAGAGGTGGTGTTTGTTCATCGATTTTGTTTGGGGATTACCTCCCAAAGTTCCCTGCGACTGGTAAAAATAGAGATGAGAATTAGTTCTTTTTCTAGACAACTTGGATGAATTCTTACAAGCTAACTGAATATTTTTCCTTACCTTATATTTTCAATTCATTTTTTAGGCCGTGACAACTTTTTCATTCCTTCATTGTTGGTGTTGATGACGGTGATAGTAATAAATATTATTTCCGCAAAGCTTGGCCAAAATGCCCTTGTGCTGATTGGTGCGTGGCTTCAAGGTCACAGTGGTGTGGATTGAGCTAGCGGTCGATTGATTGGCTACTGCTGTTGTCGCGCCACTCCCTCTGCTGCTCAATCTGTTTCTGCTGCCACTACTGCTGGTGTCTTATCTCCTTTCCTTACCCGTCTGTCCACCTCTATCCCCCTCTGAGTAGTAGTTGAGTGTGATTTAAAAGCTTCGGGGATGTATTTTTTAACCTCCAAAAAGGGTTAATCATAGGGTTTATCATAGTACTTTACCGTTTTAAGAGTTGGCTATGGTGGTGAAGTCGCGTAGGTATGCATGACGAGTCGATTGATTGACAGCCCTTTTAGAAAAGAGGAACGATATCGAAATTTCGTGAATGAGGCAGAGTGTTTGTCCCCCTTGTTGCTTTCATTGTTAGCCCAATTATAGCACAACGACAATAGCGTTGTTTATCTTGGAATCCTCTATCATAATATCGCCAAAATTTTTAATTGACAGACGTTATGACACTGCTACTATTTTAAGGTTGGAGGAATTGGTTTTAACCGAAATTCACCTAGTTTGCCCATTGCATCTTTGTCCCTTTCAAAAGTTCTGGTCCGATTGTTGACTTAAATTCTATCGGGTTCGGTCGATTCATGGCTAAAAGAGGCCTCCCTGAATTGAATACCTTGGGCAATTAAGTTCCTACTGAAGATGTTTATCTATCAACTCTTTTCCCATATTGCTGACTGGTTTGGAGGTGTTACATTCCTTGCTGCATTTCCATCCCGGTCGTGTGAGGAATGCCAAATGTAAAAATTTCACTGAAGGATTTTTTAGTGTCTAAGATCCGTCTATTTTACTAAGACGTGTTCCTGTGGATCTTCATCCTCTGGACCAGTTCTCTCGGAAGATCTTGATAAAGTTAGCCTGAAAATAGACTAGCAATGGAACTACTTCATCTGTGTAAAAGGCTGTAAAATCAAAGTGACTTTCTAAAGACGAGGTACAAAACGAATAAAACATGAAATGAATCGATGGAACAGTTTAAGACCCTCATTTATTGAATCCATGGTGGCGGACACTTATGGATTGTCGGTGGCCGGAAAATCTCTTTATTACCGTCTCATCAATAGTGAACAGTCAGAAGTATAATTGACCATTTTACTTATGCTAAAATTTTGGAGTTCACCCCTTTTGTTTGTAAGCTTGTATCTCTGATTTCTCCTCAAAGCTGTGTCGCTCTTAACGACCGTTCTCTATCCAAACTCGGCGATGTTGAAACCCGGAATCACCAAATCTATCTGACAATCAGTTAAGAAGGGGCAAATTATTCATTTCGGGTTATAAACAGGGGAAAGAGAACCATCTTTCTGGCATAGTTTTTCTTGTTGATGAAGCAACTTATATCGAGTATCACCAGGAGGTATCTCTTCATCAACCATTGAAAATCATCTGACCAGCAGTTTAGAAGATTGTAGGCTTTTTGTGCCATCATAAGGCAGTCAAGAGGAAGTGACAATTTGAGTCCCTTGTCCCAGAGGTGGCAAGAAATTGACTTGGTGGGGATTGTGTGATCCGTTTATTGTAGCCATGTGAAATGTCCAGTTCCAGGTGGAATACGTGGCAAATCAACGAAGCAGTTAACGAAGCAATGTCAACATCGACGACCGTACAGGCAGTGCTTCAGATTTATTAATTCATTACCCAGAACAAAAGGGGTGTAAGGATGTGTTGATATGGTTAATCTCTTTGTTGTGATAAAAAACGAAGTCGAGCTCTAGAAAGGTGTCTATTATGCCTATCTGTTTTCTTTATCCACACTGTTGGCAGAGTGGTCAAATTAGATCCTGGTACTGCCAGTTTGTACATAGTTCATTATTAGCATCACCGCATCTTATCACCACTGGCCCACCTTGGTTTTGCATCTTGCCTTAGCAAACAGCATTTGTTTAATGGAATGAGTTATCTAGGGTATCTTGATACATTTTTAATCCTTTGATATCTGACAAAATCGCCTTAAAAGGATGAGAGCGGAAATGATGTCCCTAAATCCCAGTTTCTTCAAGATGGAATACCAGCAACGTTTACTCTTCAAATTAATTCTGCCAGCGTACCTCGAATGCTTCTTATTCAAAGTGTACCACAAACATAGTCATTTCATCGTTCTTCATTAGCTTTGACCTCTATTTGAAGTGCTAAAGCATTCAAAACTTACCTATGAACGCTCCGCTCCTTTGAACGTCCTTTATCTCCGCCTTAGTGGCTAATTACTTGTACTTTTTATCTGTTTAGCGTGCGGTTATTAATCATCAAAGCTATGCGAATACATTGACCTTCATTTTAGGGCAGGTGAAAAAAATAGTCCCACTTTGTAGTGGATGGGATAAAAGAGAGGTCTACCAATCGTGCGAAAATAGACATACTCAGTTCAGTGCTTTTATCCGGTTAATGTGAAACATCAGCTGCATTTAGTCTCAAACTGGAATTTTTATTGTACTTCTCACTGCAGTCTTCGGGGTGTGATGTGAACCGAAATTCCGTGGGTTTCCAAAAGACCAAGAAGGTCTTTACTAACCTCTTCTTCGGCAAGCATTCAAAGAAGTGTCGCAGTCCCGCCACCACCCCCACTTCCGGTGGTGGCGGTACTTCGCATCACTCCATACCGCCTCCTTCTACTTCCTCTGTGCCGCCTCCCTCCGCCTGTCTGCAGTCGCGCATCGATTCGCTGCCTCCGCCTCACCCTGCCGCCAATGCCGCCACTCTGACCAGCGCCTCGGATACCCTTTAGTTGTGCTCCGCCACCAAATGCGTGTACATGGTGCCGCTCCCCCCTCCTCCTCCACCCTACCATCGTTGCGACGACTCACCTGTGTAAATATGCCCGCCCCTTAGCTCGCCTGTCTGTCTGCGTTTCGCCAGACTGGTTTATTTTTGTATGTATTTCTCTCTCATCAAACATATAATAAGGTACAGGCAATAGTTGTCTTGTAGAAGAGAGAAAGGGCCCACGCTTCTCCCTCTATGCCTGTTGATTTTGTTTCCTTCCCGTCGTCATCAAAATGAGAGCATTGCTTTTTCTTGCCGATCTGTTCAACACTAATTTCTCTTATCTTCCTTGCCTTGTCACTGTCAACACTGTCACTTATACTTTTGGTGACAATGGGTTTCATCGGCAATACGCGCCGCCTATGAAGATGTAACTACTATTACTACTACTACTACTTGAATGCATATCTTCCTTTCTCTCATAGCGCAGTTATTTTTTGCTCTTTCTCTTGGATTCGCTGGGTGTGATTAATGTGTTGAAAAGTTCGGGTCAAATTGGTGCTTGTAATTATACTGGGACAAAGTGGGACGTTTTTCCACTGAGTGTGTGACCGACGCACTTGGTTCAATCCAGACAACGTAAGTCAGTATGACTGGTAATAGTAGTAATGGGTGTGTGCAGGCAACGAAAACGCCAAAACCAAGTCATAATGTATGAATGGTTTGGACTCATAAATAGTCACATTTGGCCACTTACATTTATTTAGGAGTTAGCAGTTTCTCAAGCGCGTTTCGTCCTTGAAGAGAGCCCTGGCCTTTCCTATCCGAGGTTTTGACAAGGAAGAGTCGTGTAAAAACCTACGGGATTGTAGTAAGTAAACACCTCACGTTGTATTTTAAACACCGTCTTCAGCGTCTCTATTTGCTTTGCTAATGCACAGAGCACTCCTAGAACAATGCATGCAATGCATTCCTTTGACCTTGAAGTAGGCGGAGGGCTGGGCACACTAATGTAGAACAAGGCCTCAAATTCCGACTTTTTCGGTAGCTTTACAGTCCGACAGTCCCCAAACCAGGTAGCTTATCTCGTCAGTTCAGACATTACAACAGGATGTGATCCTGAGCAGTAGAGTCGGGCGAGTCCCACTTCCCTGCTGTTCCAGTAGTAGACCAAGTGTTGATAAGCCTCCATCTGGAAGGTTGCAGATCTTGGTTCTTGTTTTGACAGAATTATTAAGGAGATCGATTTCCCAGTGAAGAAAAAATTTGACATGCCAGACCACGTTTGAATTGTTAACAAGACTTAATTAAAAGGGTTTGTCTTTTTTTCTCACACTCCCTGCAGTGTATCTTTACTATTCAAGCCATCTTCAGTGGACGCCTTTCTTCCCTAGCGAGTCGTCGCTTAGCTGTGGTGGGACTGAGAATTTGGCTAAATAAGACCCAGTTTAGCAATCAGTTCAAACGACAACATTCCTACGGTTGTGCATCTGACCTTCCCACTTTAGTGCTCCTGCTTTAAAATAGCTGTACAAAGCCTTTGTACGAATAAAATCAAGGAATGCATGAATTAAATAGTATTTGGGAACATGATCCACTACATTCACATGGAATGTTTAAGTGGCTCAAGACAAATGGACGAAGCTAGACGGCGGAAATGAGGTAAAGGTTAAATTCCTTCGTCCCCGCTGGGAACGAATACGACTACAATTCTGGCGGATGACTAATCGCCCAACATTCTAGAGGATCGTGCTCCCGCTCACCCCCACAGCTGATTGGCTCGTATCAGTCAGAGGTGCGCCCCAAGGCAAAGGTCAAGCAGTTACGATAAAAAGGTCTGGATGAAATTGCCGAGACACACATACATTTAGATAGTCTCTGCTGGCCAGTCAGTAGGCGCGTAGGCAATGTCCGTACCCTCCTTTGCTTACTTGTTGTATCCGCTTAATCTGGGCATCGCCTCTCAAGTCCTTATCTGTCGGAGCCAAGCTAAACGAACACAGAAGCTCCGGTCTGTTAGGGTTGGTGACTCAGTTGTTAACAACTACCATGATCATACTTTTAGGTATGAAATCCTCATTAGACGTTTTACCCGCTTAGTCGCCAAGGCCTAACCGAGCTCCCACTTTCATTGGCTGTTAATGAAAGATCTTCATAAGTGCCAATTTTCTTTTAGTGAAGCACTTTAAAATGCCACCCAGTCGACGCAAATCAAAGTACTAAAACGCACTACCTTAGGAATTATGACTTTAAATGAGCAACAAATTAATGACACAGTCAAACAACGAACTAATTAGTGATTAATTTACTTTTGTAGACTTCATTTTAGCTTAAACCAGTGATGCCTGGATAGAATTAATCCCATCTCGTTCTGATGTTTAAGTAGTGTTGCCTAGTGATGCCATTCTTTGAATTTCTCATTCGTCGATAGTTATATTCTGCCCTCCAATGGAATAGGAATAGGTTAGAGATGTCATCAAATAATGATGCCCTCGGAAACCACGGTTTTCGCATGATTGGGATAAGAAAAGAATCAACTGCACACAATGGAGTAAACTTTGATTAGTCCTTTTCATTCGACAGAAGTATAGAAGGGGCAGGGCCATGGGGGGACAGAATTTTTTATTCGTGGAATTGATCATTGCAACCAAATGCGCTTTGGGCGTCAAAATGGGCTACAATAAAAGGACACAGCACCTCTCGATCTCTAAATTAAGACGCCATCCCCAGGGCACCTTTGTCGCTTGGTCAATTGCCTCTAGTGCAGTTTTACACGAAAATCAAGGATTGCTGATATTTTCATGCTTGTTTTAAAGACCTCACACAGCTGTCTAATTTCAAACTAAAAATAAACTTTAAAGCAGTTGTTCCCAATTATTATGACTATATTTGGGCCCCAATGTACCTGTAACTGCTGAATTTTAAAAGGAAAGTGATGTCTACCAGAAATGTGTAAAATAAAACAAAATTCTCTTGATACATATTCTTTAACGGAAGTGATATTTCTAGATATTTCAACTTCAAAGGCTTTCCAAAATCCAAGATAATGTTTTATGAATGCGATTTTGTAAAAGTGGTCAATCGGTTGGGCTAAACTAGTAATGCAATGATGTAGAACACATGTCACATATGTGTGACATGAGGGTCTAGAGAAAATCCGAGCATCGTTTATATGTGACATTATTTGCTGCTTTAACAGTGGTAGCTAAAAACACGCGAGTTCCAAAGTGATACATGCTGCGTGTAAATCGGTCGTTAGTAAACCCTGGGTTCCTTCCGCGAAATCTTTTATTTCACAAAACTGTACAAATTTGAAAGTGCTACTGAATTTTTGTAAGTAGCGTTGCATATTTGCCTGGCGATTTTTGCTCTTTAAAAGGTGGTGGTAGTAAAAAGTAACTTAAAAATAGATGTTACGTTATCTCAGGTTACTTTCTAGTGTTCTGTTAAGCAAATCACCCCCTCATTAGCTTCTGGCTTCATGACTAAATGCTACCTTACTGAGAATGCATAGAAGGGTCAGCTCTCTCCACAAATGGAACGTGGAGAGTGAAGAGCCTACGTAAGTAAACGCATAACTTAAAAAGCATCGCTTTATAATTACTCACCTCAGCTATATTTTGTCATCTGTGCAGCAACATTTTTCTCAAGCAATAAGATTGTAAAGAGGTCTACGTTAAGGTTAAACTATTGGACCATCTTCTTCGTAGCTTCATCAAATTTTGTAATTTAACAACAAGAGAGGTCTGACTCCAAGAGATCGTTACCATTTTAGAACCAAACGTAAAGTGGGAACGATTTAAAATTATCTTAAGGATAGATTAGCATCAATATGGTTTTTTTTGGATGATCTACATTACCCTTATTTTCGAATTTTAAATGCACAATAAATTTTTATTGCTTATTAACTACCGCATTGGGAGGAGATCTGGCCCACTTGCTCGCGATGGTGTGTGCGTTTAGAAACGAATGGAAAAACTTTTAGAAGTAAAATACTAACTGATATTAGAACGGGCTGAATTTTCTTCAGCGTGGGTACTTTTGCACCCAAATCATCCTAGAGGGCGTTACTAGGTGTTTTGTTATTTATTATTCCCCCTCCCTGGGCTTCGTCCCCTGATCGCCAACCCAGAATTAAACAAAACTGAGGCAAAGATATTATTTTGACTTTCCGTTGAGGAGGAAGGATAGGTGGTTTTGGTTGCTGGTTGCTTCAGCTGGACTCAATGTTACCGATGTGAAAGCCCAATTGTTAAACCAAACATCCTTCTACAACAGTCATCTTCTTGAATAATGTAGGAGGTGTGCCATTTTTTGCCTTGGTAACAAATACTTGTTACGAGATGAAGACGAAGATGGGTGCGGATCTTATCATGGGGGTCAGGTTTGAGATAGTAGGTGTAAAGAAGATTGAAATCTGCGGCCTTGTAAGAGTAGAGCATTTGCACTACTGATTTCTTCATTCGTTTTGGCTGTCCTGACTGCTTCTGAGAAAGGACAAATTTTTCCTGCTCTAGAGTAACTGCTTCCGACCTTGTGCAAGAAATACAAAGTTAAAAATGTATGTCGCCTGTCAACTACGCACACACATAGACTAGGCACAGTATTGTGAAGATTCAGTGGGGAGTGCTTTAAAATTGCTGGATGAGTTGTGAGTGAGTGGGGCATTACCTGTTCTTGTATGCCATCTAAATGGAACCCATCGGTTTACCATTGAAGACCTAGTCAATCGTTCATTGAGCCCCTTTTCAGCTCGATGATGCCGTGGTTAAAGACCACCGATTTTCATGTACCAAGAAGGCAAAAACTTATAATGATTCTTCTTCTGGCCGGGTTTACTCCAACTTCTTGACAAATAAAAAGCACTTCAAGCGTTTAGAGGATCATAGCTTTCCCTTAAGGCGTCGCAAATACATAGAGAACCTGGTAGACTTTTAACGACAACTACATGAGCAGAAAGCCGTTCCCTTAAAATGGTGTTTGGGGTCTGAAGACACTGAATGACCGTACGGTAAATACACAACCTGCACAAACAGCTTTCGGTTATGGAGGAAATCTAGACACAACACCAAAGTGTTGACCCTGTAGGGGCAATGCAGTACGTCGAAGACCTCATGGGTCACTACTTTGCACGAAAAATATCTTTAGTAAAAACGGCCCCAAAAACCTCCACAGGAATACTTTATTTTAGATTAAACGTTTGCTAATCAAATGGGTTTGTGCGATGCTTCCGACTGCAATCTAGAATGTGGCAGAAACGTATGAATTCCACTTTTATTAACCGTCTTGCGCCTAGAGGCAAAGAAGTCGACCAGAGTCTGCTGCGGACAAAGTGACGCGTGCCTTAGACGTGAGTGAATCACCTAAGGAGAATCGCTACATTTCTTTGCGTAACAAACGTTGGAATACGCAGTTGCAACAGCTATTTCTTGCCACAAGTCATTCATTTATTCACCAAACATTTGAAGCCATTCCGTAGGTTTTTCGTCAGTGAGGGAGAATTGGAGGAAAAATTTACCGTTTTTTGCGTTTATTACCTGTCCTTTGTACAAATCCCCTATTCATATGGAATCCACAACAACCACTGCTAAAACAACAATCACAGTCACCACCATTACCACCAACACCACTCTCCCTGGTGTCAATCAGCTTCTTCATTACTTCTGTCACGTCTATTACTACTGAGAAGTATTACTGACACCCTCTTCACTCATTTTTATCGGCAGTGACACGCAATCCTTCCTTATCGAGAGTAGAGGTGTATCCTGAGTGTGATTTATCACCACCATCTAGTCGGTATAGAGAGGTTTTTTTGCATCAGTGAAACGGAGTAAAGGTCTGTCGGGGAAGCAGACAGGGTGGGGTCACGCGAGTCCACTGGCCACTTGCAAGAGAAGTTTGATTTAATGGAATGAGGATGAAGGTGGTAGAGAGCCCAATGAGGAGTACGTCATCGAGAGACCGACGCACGTCTATCAATGCCGGATGAGAGGTGCATATATTTCATTAGTAAGAGAATTCGTTGCAGTGGGCAACATCCAACCTCCGTTCACTTTAATTAATTTGGCTTGGAAATGACTTTAGAACTTGGAGATTTTTAGCGTCCAAGCTAGCCCAAAATATCCTAAGAGATGCAGCAATCAGAGAACAGCTTTATTGGGTAAGACCTGAAGGACTAGAAGGGACAAAACACAAACGAAAAGTGTTTAATTTCACATGGCGCTCAAATGCAATTAGAATACGAAAAATAGCACTTTTGCGTCCACTCTGGGTGCTTCAGTAAACAGATTGGCCATTTCTATTAACCTCTGGCTGTAAATAATCTGTCTCTCAACAGTAAAAAAGGAATACGACAGGACATGTTTACTGAAGTTGGGAGGCATGCGCTGAAATGTAACAACATTCACGGAAAATTGCGGAAATAAATCATAAGTGAGTTTTAATTTAAGAGCAATAAATTCCCCTCGTGAAGTAAGCTGGCCATCAAATTAGTCAGCAATGATAGGTAAATGAAGAAACGACGCCTTCCTTACTCGAAATTTACGGTTGTCATATGACCTTTACTTAACAGAACTGACAAGGTGGGTGGACTGAAGTGTCAGCTATCATTGTTTTGAACGTCAACGTTCACAGGAGGAGGGAGAGGAGGAGGAGGAGGGGAAGAAAACTGTCTGTTTAATGCTCCAGACCGTTTTGTTTTTGATCTAGAAGACTTGACTTGTAGGATGTTAATACAAAATGGAGGACACCAAAGGAAAATACGAAAAATGTTGTTTCTTGAGTCCAATATTTTCTTAAAACTTGCTGGAAAAACCGGTAATATTAAAACTATTTCAAAGAAATGAATTAACATACCATTTTTAAATGTTTATATATCAATGTTGACGAGGGCGATTCTTCTTTTGAACGTATCAGTAAATAGGAGAATTCAGTGGTCATCTTGCTTACTTGCTTAAGCTGCATGCATTCCTCCATGTCATCCTTAATTTTCATGGATTTTCATCACTAGCTTTGCGTCGTTTCTATTAGTAGCTTATGTACCTAACAAAACCAATTTATGAAAAATTTTAGCATTTTCCCTTCGGCAGAACTCAGAAACCACATTTAACGTTGGCTTTAGCCCATAAATCAGAAGCCTGAAAAATGTATCGTATTTGACAAATTCCGGAAGGGTCGTAATCAACCCTTCTTCTCGAATTCGTTCCCGAGGGGATGGCTGTTCCAAATAATTGACCACCGTCTTAGTGGTCTGGCTCCGAGCCCGTGTCGTTCCCGCTAACAGCCCAACGGTCCTTCCGTACCGGACTCACACATCAAAAGAGCTTCCAGAGGAGAGATGGAATGCTATATCACTGCCACTCCATTAACTAAAATATACAAATGTTCCCCACCCAAGACAATTAGTTTTGGTTTAAATCGAAGTGATTATGTATGAATTGGACAACGAAGAGACACCTCTGTTCGGGCATGAATCTGAGAGCAGGTTAATTACAGGATTATGGAAGGGCTAGAAGGCCAACAAAGTGGGTAGTACGAGCAGAACCCTGGACTACCGTGGTGGGGGCGGAATTGCAAGAGATCTTAAAGACCCTTGCGACCATGTGTAACACGAAAAAGCAACATTTGTTAAATCACACGAGCTTTTGATCCCCATTTCGTTGTATGGCCCTGCTTTCTTCCCATTTCCGTTAGCAATCCATTAGCCTTTCCATACATTTATAATAACGTTTTATTCATACTCACAACTAGGGCCTCTAATGAGCATAAAATAAATAAATAAATAGTTTATTTAATAATTTGTTTACTTAAAAAAGCTCTAGTTCTAAGCTTAGTCGCACCCTCTAACCCTGAATCTGACATGTTTTTACAATTTTCAAAGTTTATTTATAAGTGCGAAAAAGTAAATTTTGGGATATAATATTTTATTTAACTGTGTGTGTTTAGCTTCGCGGTGACCTGAGCTCCTGCAAGTTGTACTTGCCAATAGCCCCCTTGCCCACCTCTTCCGCACCTTAGTAAGTAGCATGTTCGCTCATACTGCATGGGCTCATTACAAACTCGAGAATGATCAGGAGTGCTACAATAAGCGTACATAAAAGTATATGCATGTCTATTTGAGAAAAAGGGCAATTAAAATTGTGTGCAGTGCTTTGATAAATTGTTTACATTTTCGTTTTGCTTTGTGGGGACTTAAGGCTCAGCCTTTGAACTTCCGCTGGGTAGAATGGCCTCCAGGCCATGCCACTAGCCCCCAGCCCTTCCCTACATTGACAATATAGCTTTTGCTTGAGAATCGTGCCTTCCCCCGTCTTTAGGAAAGTCTCAGGGAGCCAAATTGGTGGCACTGGAAAGCGAATCTAACCCTAAAGGGCAGATAGCCTGATTTCTACCACTCATTGCTAAACCCTGACGTGACGAAAGAAGGGCATATGCTACGGATGCGGGAATCTGTGGCCACCCCTAACAAAAGAGTTGAAAGTGACATCTACTTTCTGCAAGTACTCTAGTCCTGTGCTCCGCAGGAATGCTATTTACAACTGAAGCGACACCACCCGTGAACCATCTGAAACAGTTTCATTAAGGAGCTGCTTACCGTACCTGTATAAAGACATCAAACGCATAAACTCACGATACCTCCTCCACCTCTCTACTATCTGGACGCAACCCTGATAGGTATGTCTGGGCAGGACTGAAGCAAGAACAACGTGGAAAGGCAAAAAACAGACGCGAAGCCTTGGCCACACGAAACTACTTTTAACCCCACCCTTTATTAAATAACTCTAAGTTTAGGCCAGTGTTCTTATGACTAGCGATGAAACTACAAGGCGGCCTGTACATTCTCCCTTCCCCTAATTCGGTTCCCAAACGAGATGAAGGTCCACGTCCAGTGGAATTACCAAGAGGGATAAGTGACGTTACGGTTAGATGTCTTCGCAGTTGCACGCAAATTCAACGACCGGCGCGGTCGGTTCATGAGTGTCTTTCCTTTTAACACCGCCTACATTGTAATGGCTGACACTTAACTCTCTGTTTCGGTTCCGCAGGAACCTTAGGCTCCACCTTTGCACTTCCACTGGGTGGAATGGCATCTGTGCTATGTGCCAGTAGTCGGTAATACATCTTCTGTCCTGGTATTGTGACTTCTTTCATCTTTAGGAAGCATTTGGGCCGCTACAATGTAGTCCCTACTTTTTTCGCTATTTTCATTTAGTTCTTCAACAATTCGCTTTTACTGCGATTACCAACGTGGCTTAAGGAATTCGGATCGAAAAGCGGTCAGTAGAAGGAAGCAATGCTTCTGTATATAGGCAAAATTCACATCACTGCGTTAAAAAATAAGCGTTATATCAAAAGTAAATTAGTGAATTTCCTGGAAACTCAAAATCTTGGAAAAATGTATTTGCATTTACGCTTCTTCGTGTGGTAAAATAAAACTAGCTTTTATATTACGCTTGTCTAAAGAAGAGTGATATGCAATTTGTGCAAAATAATTCGCCAGCAAAAAATGTTTCCGGGTAATTGGATAATCAAAGGTACATAGAATATTTGGAACTAGAGTAGAAAAATTACTCCAGTTATTAAAACCAGGTGCATGGTCAGATAAATGCAGAAGACGCAAATGTTTTGATCACCGGAAAGTTACGATTTTTTCGTCCAAAGATTTCCTATTCAAGTAGTTGTCCTCTATTTTTTGGGTACTAAAATTTTTAATTTTTAATTGCTTTAGCGCATAGCATCACAATTAAATCATAAACCACTTTTAGGGTGTGAATATTTTTGACAAAAGTCGAAATTTCACCGAGATGCTAATAAAACATTCATGGCAGATCTCGACATGCACGTAGGGAAGCATCCGAACAGGCATCCATCTGGCTGACCAATCAACGCCGAGTACGTCAAGGTCACGCGACTACTTATATATCCCTGGACGACGTGTGCATGTGTTCGCTATCGTGCCTATAAAATGCGCCGCAACTGAGCCCGTTTCACTCACCTCTATCTGATGGAAAATAGTAACAGCCTGAAAAGCTTGGTAAGTCGCTTCAGCGTTGGATTTTAAGTAACAAGTTTGGTTTGACAAAAATACCTTACTTTGTTAACAAGTATTGCCCCCGTCTTGTCTGCCTACGCCTTTTACTGTGAGCTAGCAGACCTCACAAGTTGATGTCTGATTGGTCAACTTCAAGGTTCCTACAGCCTATTGGATGTAAATTGTTTGTGCAATGCACAAAAGGTGTTTGTGAGACCGTCAATTTATGAATAAAAATTGGTTTTTTTGCTCGGATATTCCCAAAAATTTGTCCGAAAAAATGAGATTCTGTGGATTAGGGTTCAGTGTTAAAACAAAATTGGTCGCTGGGAATAAGAATTTAAATTTAACTGCTTAATTTTTCACCCTTTTTGCTTTTCTGCAATAAAAATAAAATGTAACTCAAAATAATAAATTTGCCATTGGCACCAAGAAGCCAAAAGTCAGTTCCATATTTTGTAGGGGAATCATAAAAATACAAAAACCGGGAATGTTTGGCAATGTTTTGTACACGCAAGCAATGTTTGGTTTGGTCAGGCTGGTGTTTTTTTGTCAGGTGACTTATTCTCCGCCACGAGTTGCTTGAAGTGATGACCTTACTCCGAGGGGTCTGATACCTCTTGCTGTAGCCCCAAATATGCGCAAATGACCCCCATTTAAAGTAAATAACTTTAATGGTAAGGTGTTTCCAACAAAGCTAAAAGTTCGCTACTAAAATTTGAAAATTGTAAGCGGTGATCGCATTAAAATGATGCCTTTCAACTTTGTGCTTAATGATGAGCGTGCAGTGGTTCACGGAAAGTCTTGTTTTTGTCTAAAAAGTGTCTTTCGGCTGGAGGATTAATTGCGTGTTTGCTATTTAGGTCTAAAAGTGCAAAATGATTGGAAATATTCACCGGTGTCTGCGTTCGCGAATTACGCAAATTAAGAAAGTCTGCCATTAACCCCAACTGTTAATATACGTCAAAAGTGGGGGGATAAAAGTCACATCCTTTGCTTCGCTTTGCTTTGCCATCCAGGGAAAAATTCACTTTAGCGATTGTCTAAAAGCAGAATAGTTATTTGCAGGAACTTCACCATCCTCGAAAGAGGGTTCATTATGTATGCTCAAGGTGCTTGGTGATCCATGGTGGATAGATATTCCTAGATACGTTAGTCTTCATTATAAATGGCGATTCCTTGCAAGATATTGAGGACGGTGTAAGGCACGAGAGCATGGGTGGAACATTCTGACCTCCTTTAATTAGTAGGAAATTTGGCTTATGAAAAGGATTTCTTCTTGCCTTCCTGTCTAGGAAACAATACTCTGTCAACCACAGATTGTCCAGCGACTTCTGGGCTACCTAACACTGGACGAGTGGTTGAAATTCGTCAGTGCCTTCCCTAGGTGGAACTACAGCTTCCCTCACGAAATCCTGCTCTCCGAGAACGGATCTCCCCTCCTCCTCTTCCTCCTTCGCCGCCGTCTCACCAAGCACATACACACTTTGCGCCTCACCAGCCCTGGACCCATCGCTCAAGGCGGTGCAGTGGGGAGCATTCACAAGTGCATCCTCTCCAACCCTTCCGCCTTCGTTTGTTTAGAACGCCTCGATCTCAGTGTCCAGATGCAACCGATCGACCGTCTGCTGGCGATTTTTGCAGCTCCTGCCTTTCCCCACCTTCGCTATCTCTCCGTTCGGCCCACGGAACCAGACTGTGGGCAGAATCCTGTCTGTGTAGCGCCTCTTCCCGTCTTTGCGCCACCGCAACTCGAAGTGATGAAATGCCATTTAATAGGCTTCCTAGCCGATGATAGAGAAGAGTATATTCCAGCTCTGTTACAGGTCATGCAGAACGTCGTTAATTTGACAGTTTGTGAACGAATGATCGGTGCAACGCCATGGCTGCAGTACTTGCGACGAGTCGGTCCTTTTGCCAATCTTGAAACTCTTCAAATTCACGCTAAGAGTGATCTTCTTAAGGCTCTAAACGAGATGCTCTTTAGTGAGGAGTGGTCCTTCTTCCCCAAACTGAAATCTGTCAACATAAGCACTGTTTCGAGGTCGAGAACATCCATTCCATTCAAAAACGGCTTCTTTCGTCCTCTGGAAATTGACTTTTCTAATTTCGGTCAACCGATGGAGATCTCTTCCACGCTTCCAACCAACGAAGCTATCCAAGTCGGTCGAAGGGCTTTTATTGGGAGGGGTCTGATCATGTTAGAACTTATCTTTCTTCCAGATAACATCAACCTCTCTAGCTCAACAACTTTAGCAGTTTTGAATCAGTTCGGTCATATGGTGGAAACCCTAATTATCACCGTGCAACACACTGTCGTTCCTGAAAGTTCGACCGAATACCTTGCTTTTTTGAAAAGGTTTAAAACACTCTGTCACCTCTATCTCTTTCCTATCATAAAGCTCACTTCCCGTTCACTAAAGGTGATTGAACTTCCTGTCGAACTGATCGATTCCAGGGATGTGGACAGTGAGTTTGAAGCTCTTCTAGTCTATCACCGAGGCTACTTTTCATCAGTAAAGTCTGTCTCTATCACATCTCCCACTGCTTTTGCCTTTTGCAATCTTTCTCAGTGGCACTCATGTCATTGTCTAGATAATATTCCACACACTCAACCCCTCAAGAACGTCTGCGGTCTCTTCCTTAACCTTGAAGAACTTTTCATTACTTCGGACAGTCACCTTGATCCCGAAGATCTTCAAGAAGCTGTGGAACTGTGCCCGGAGCTAAAACGCCTCTACATTAATAGATGGCCCATTTCCGAGGAAGCCTATGCAATGGCCACTCAAGAAATTCTCTCCGCTCGCAATTTGGAGGTCCTGTGTCTACTTGTAGACTCCCTTCGAATTCGCAGTAGCTCCTGTGAACACCTACTGTATCCACGCTCATGGACACTGAAGTACCTCTACATTGATTGCATCTACCAACCATGCCTAAGCAAGGAGGAGCTGAGTAGATTAGCCAAACGAATTCCCAACGCGAGATGGATCACGATCGCGAATAGGGAGACCTCTCGCTGTTTGGAGTTTCGTCGAAGCAGAACTGCAGAAACCATTTCTGAGATGCGATTGGACTCGGGTCGTCGAGGCAAAGAGCCGAGAGCTTTTGCGCCAGAACTCTACGATGTGGTGTGGAAGGGGGAGGAGAAGATGAAATACTTTATCGCAGAGTGGTGTCATTCTTGTGAGGCCTAGATTGCCTCAAAAATGCTGATATGCTTACACACTTACTATCGGTCTGTATCTTCTTGATCTCAGGGAAATCGCTGTCTCCCACGCCTTCTGTCATCCAAGACTCAATCTTTTATTCTTCGCCTTTTTTGTTATACTGTGTCCACACTATAGAGAGAATTGGTGTATTACCTGTGACACACCCAACACCCTATTTTAAATCCCAGTGGACGATTTCTTTTAGCATTTGCTAGCCTCAAGTTGAGGAGAATAAAATCAAGTCTTGGTCGTATCCTAATTGAAGGCACATGAGGCTTTAAATTAAATGGCTTTATATTCCAACTACCTACTCTTTTATAAACCTATCATGTTAAATAGATAAAAGGGACTAAATCAGCAGGCAAGCTTCAAGAATCTTCAAATCTTTCCCCCAATTATCCGCACTTCGGAACAGTCTGACCGACATTGGGTTTTCGAAAAGGAAAAGCAATTAAAATATTGTTGAATGGCGGAATGAAGTATGACGTTAAAGGTGTACGGCAGTGTTCATTCCCTGGAGGAGATCGTTACAAAAAGTCTACCTTATTTGTACCAGGAAGAACGGCGTTTTCCTTGTTATCTACAGGGAGGATAAATCTACCTGCCGAGCAAACGATGGGATATGACAGTTCAACAGCCATTTCCCACCACAAGTCGGTCAGTTGGTCACGAAACGATGTCCACTACCACCACCGCTGCCGCCACTTGCTCTCGCAGTTCTGATGTTGGAGCCATTCAATTGCTTCGTTACTTCTGTTCTTAAAATACGATAAATCTGCATCTATGGGAAATTTATTACCGCATTTTGGTCGGTATCGATAGGTCTTTGCATCTGTAAAGTCGAATAAAACTTGGTTGAGGAAGCAGGCAAGGTGAAATCACATGGATCCACCGACCAGTCGCAACCAAGATTTGTTTTAATGGAATGTGGAGAAAGTTAGTAGAGAGTAAGGAGTAGGGACCACAGTGGGGAGTACGATCCCGAAAGACCGACGCATGTCTATCACTGCCTCACGAAACATTCATATGCAACATCTCACGGATTTTAAATGTCAGACTGTATCGAGAAAAGAAGAAACTTTTCGGTCACCCAAGAACTTATTGCGATAGATATGGCAATGAATCCATCCATGAGGTAACTCAAAAACGGTTGCATTGACTATGACAAACACAGAGAGATTCAAATGTCCTGCAAGCAACGACCACAATGGAGAATGTTTTAGAAGGCCCCAGAAACTACATCAAAACTGAAAAATGTTATTTGAAGAGATACCCAAGTAAACGAAAAGTAACAATCAACCCAGTTTTGAATCAGGATCCACTATTGTCTAATCTTCCCCTCAAAAAGAGTGCTGCAGATGCGTAAAAAGTGGTTATACGTTGTCTATTCTTTCAAAGAAAAAATCTCGACATGGGGTGAGGAAAATGAGTTTTTTTAAAAGGTTTTAGAGTTTACTTTTAAAAATGCCAATTAAAGTTAAATAAACGCTTTTCTTTCTCGAAGGTTCGTTTTCACGTGGAGCTGTGGCACAAAATCCGCGTGAAAATTGTCTCCCAAATCTGGTTATTCCAGTGGTGGATGGAAAATAAACATATTTAAATGAAATTATGATATTAATCAAAAAATATTTATAGAGAATGCGGTCTGTTAGGCTCATACGTTATGCTCTAGCATAGATATTCATTTTTTTAATTTTTGTTATTCCCTTAGCCTCTTCAAATTCCGCGACATCGTTGTGCCGCAATAACCAGTCCAGTGCATGCCTCCCAAAGCTTCGACAGGTGTGCCTCAGTCTATCGATGCAGTGTTCCTCGTTGGGCTCTCTACTACTTTCTGACTTCTTCCAATACCTTTACTTTACCGACACATGCAATTTAAACTCGCCCGCTGTGTAGACCCAGTCCGACTCGGTTTCAAAGATGGCTCACTTAAGGATGCAACGCGATTAGGAAGACGCTCCCTCACTGATAATGAAAAAGGTAATTTGAGATGGACTGGTCGGGAACTGGAAGTAATTTTTGAAGTGAATTATAAAGCAATTTGTGAAATTCATGCGAATAGACCCAATTCGCAGGACATCCGTCAATCATACCTCCAATTCTTTCACACAACCGTTTAAAGAATGGACCGTGAACAATAGAGCGTTTTCTGACAGAATGACAAATGCAGAGTCAGGATTTGCTGTTTTTTTGCATTTTAACACTCTTTAAGCTAACAAACGCATAATCGGTCAACCTTCCGCGACCCGCTCACCGCCTATCTTGCCTCCACTTTAGTCCCCTAAGAGCATGATCATTTCGGGTGGGTATTTGTGATGAATCGCAGGCGGGATTGCTCATATCGAAGCGGTACACTTCGCAGTTGCGGAATAACACCTTCCCCTTCAAAGACAGCTGGAACCAGTCGATTGGAGAAGGCATTTATTCTTACGAGACAACACAAGACCTCAAACTCATACCATGCCTTAAAATGAAAACATTACCTCAAATCGTATTCAGTCCACCTGTTCTCCTAACGCTGTCTCCAATGTCAAAGCTGTGATAATATTTTCTTGCAAGTAACGTTTGGCAATCCCATGACCATGCGAGAAGTGAAATAGACATTTTGTTTGGAAATAAAAGTGAGTTGGAAGGATGAACGGATACGGAATGGGTGGATAGATAAATAGCAAAGGGGCTATAACTACACTAAATTTTTCTTCTGTACATAAAACCTATTAAAAAGGGGATTTCCAGGTAGCTTGTGTTGAATAAAATATTTTCAAAAGCTTTTTTCTCGTGTTGTTCAATACGAAATACTTCTTGAACTTACCTGGTCGCCTTTAACCTCCTTACTATCCTTATCGTCCTCTCCATCTTCATTAGGGTAGCGATCCTTTCAAATAGATGTCAAGCCCATGCCTTGGAAATGTCCTGCTCCATGAGGACATATCTTCTTCAAAGATTCAAACTGACAACAGATAATTCACTTGCCAAGTCATTTGATCCTTTTATGTACCTGAAACACTGCTTTAATAAGAAAGGCGGGTAAAAATAAAGACTGGTAGAGGAAAGTACAGTTTTTTACTCTTTAAGGCGTCACTAATTCCATCGAGTTTGTATAAGCAATTAAGGGAGTTGAATAATTACTTATTCTGTTTGACAACACCTTCGTTTAGAGGTGGTAGAATATTGGACAAATTAAGAGCAGTCATCTCAAAGAAGATGACGAAATTTTTTGCGGCAATACTGTATGATTTTTTTCCTAACCCCATAATTTTTTGATTTGATGTTATCATGAAGATGGGGATTTCAGGTCACTTCATCTCTATTTATTACCCTCCAGATAACTAAATTAGCCTTGATAGAAGGAGGCCAACGGCTTACGCAAACAGCATTGAAACGTATCAATACCTTTCAAACTCTCTTTAATCGTTGAATTGGCTAAAATTCTCTCTTTATATGGGGGAAATTAAACGCCCTTCTTTGCTTTTGAGTAGCTATTGGGTCTTTCAGACGGTCTGGATGACAATCGGTTGGGGTTTAGAGGTATTTTCAGACCCGACAGACCATGAAGACGCCCGGAACTATGGGGTACGTTTAAAACACAGCCACGACCCTGACACTTGTGTTAGCTACGATTGTGCACAAACTCTTTCCACAAAATGAGAGTTGTCCCCTCTCTGATTGGCGAAGTAGGGCTACCCCTCTTCCCCTATCCTATCCACCAAACAAGGTCATGTTTGAACAATAATAACACAGGTGGGATGTGGTGTATTCAGTGTTCCTCCTAGAATCGGAATTAATTTGAATATTTCCTTGATCACTTAATCTATTAACTAAAACAAGGATCACAGATCTTCCATTTGAACCACTTAAATCTGTCAGTGTCGTGAAAAGGACTACTCTCTATGGCTTGCTAAATTTGGCCGAAATGCTATCCAGGACTGTAAAACTGGATGGACTGGTTTTCTGACGAGGAAATGAAACAAGCACTCGTAAAATGATGTGCAAGGGCGAATGGGAGGAGGCACTTTCAGTTGGGAAGGTGAAGTACGACAGATCCTCTTGTCACGAAAATAGATCAATTACTTTTTAACATTTTACTCTTGTAGCCCAACTTTTAGCACTACTGTCCAAATGATGCTTTCTCCTGTGCATTTCACCCCGCAATGGCACCTAGCTTTGGAAACTCACCAATCGTGCAGCATATACTACCACTACCAATAAGTAGTATTATCTCTTAAGTGGAAACCTATAATATCGTCTACGATATCGTCTCGCAGTTGATCACAATCCGTGGGAGGACGCGCAAGTTCGAAGCAGAAAAAAAAGCGACGTAGTTGGCTCATTGAAATTAAATCCTCTTAAAAAGATGAAACACACCACCCGTGCCTTCACTTGCAGGCTGTTTGCCACCTAAGATGCAGGCAGAAGAGGGAAAGCAATAGCTTAAACCAATTTGAGGAGTTTCGGGTTCAAACCGTAGGCAATGAAGTTTTGTTAGTTTTGTAACCTGCGTTAGTTGTTCATGGGGTTTTTCTTATGTAAAAACCCCTTTTGAATGCTTTAAAAATGTCCAATGGCATGTCAGCCTAAACACAGGCAGAGGTTTCAGGGCATTTGCCCAAACAAATGCCTTCCCAGTTGGCCGAAAATTGGCTAAGACTTTCCAGTGTGTCTTACACTAAAACACGTATTTTAACAGAAAGAATGGAAAATAAGCATTTGAGAGATATAAAGATTGAACAAATAAATCAACAGTCTCTGCTCAACTTCAAAAATGCTGGCCTTTGATCACGCTCAACAGGCTCACTCTTACCGTCATATATGTGCGACGTATCTGCCTGTTCCCATCAAATCGCACAGATTCTGGTTCTCATTCAGTAGTGATAAATGTCAGAGCAGCAGCTGACTTGCCTAAGGGAAACTGACGCCACCTGCTGTCGAAATGGTACAGTAAATCATCCGAGGTGGGCCCCAAGTAGCAAGCGTTTTAATGACGCCCATCAATTTGCGGCTGGTTGTACCGAAAATACGTGTTGGTAGCCCTAGCAGCATCGGGATGTTAGGGCCGAGATGGGAGTAGACGCTCTCAGTCTTGCATTCCTGTGTCGTGATGATGCAGTTTTGCAGTTATGCATATCCCCAGGCAGACATCGTGGTTAGTTGAAAAAAGTGAAGTGGATTTTAGATTCAGGAAAATCCTAAGTTGATGATTGTTTGGTTTTTCGCCTGTTTTTGCACCGCTCAAAAAAGTTTTCCAGAGAAGGTGAATTTTTTCCGTAATGAGGACACGAATGTAGTGATGATTCACTAGCAGTAGGTTTAACGACTCCAAAAAGGTCGCTAAGTCAAAAAAAAAGGGGAAAAAAATAATCCCAAGTGTATGGCTAAAGTTTCGCGCTTCATTTTAAACGTGCCTCGTAGAATTTGATGACTTGTTGATATTCAGACTTTCCACTCCAAAATCCGAAAAAAAGAAAAAACGTTTTCTGGTTTCTCGTAGTAGTGAGTGGAGTCAATCTTCCGTTTCTTAAACATCTTGGGCAATTTTTTTTTAGTTTTGCAGAGACAACCCTCCTAAAATGGGTTTTGACAATCTTTTCTTTTTCTAGTTTATCATTAAAATTTCAAGCGCCATACCTCTATGGTGCTGATAAGATCACCACTGACTCATTCAGACGGAGCTGCCGTTCCGGTAGGCCAACAAGGTTACATGCGGGTTAGACATGACCCCCATCTAGACAGTTGCGGCGTTTTAAAATATGGATGAATCGTGTGAGGCTAGACGACTGAGGTGCAATCATAAACCTCTAGCCTTTCGGCCATTAGCCTTCCCCACCCATCTACCGGACACACGGGGTCACCCTTGTTTCGTCATCACCACTCGGTGCGCGGTTGGTGTGTGCTATGAAAAGTTGCCTGTCCCACAGGCCTTTGACTTTTCCACCGACTACCCCAGCACTGGTAACACAAACTACATCCACTGCACATTTTACCTTCGCTGTTTTGTTGCCGTATTTTTTGACAGGCTTGATGTTGTCAGCAGTGCCCGATCGTCGACAATATTTTGTCGCAACGTAAGAGAAGCCTTCATTTTTCTATCAGCTGGCAGCAAATGAGGATTCCTTTTAGGAGTAGTTGTATCTTATGTCACATTTAACAAGAATACCGTGCAAATTTAGTGTCGCTGATGGAAGCAAGGCACATACGGTTCAAACCAGCTGATCCTGACACCTGCGTACTTTCAACGACATCAGTTTCATTACAGTCTCATGGGCGCCATATTCGTCTCTCGTAGCATTTGGAAAATGAAGTGGTGGTCAGTTTAAAAACTCCCACCATTTTATTCCCTCGCCTTAGTTAGTGAATGTGCGGGAGAAGCTGCAACGCCCTGAGTCGCCCCTACACTCGTAATATGTACATAAGTGAATTCTAAGCTATTACCGGGCAGAAGTTTTGGGAGCCAGCTGAGATGGCTGAGAGGCCATGCCATTGGGACGGCGAAGACTGAAAAGTCCGTCTGGTTCAATTCACAACAAAATGAGTTTCGGCCCACCAAACAAGCATTAGGTAACTCACCCATACAAAACTTTGACCTCTTTTGCCTGGGTCTGCATATCATACACAAATGTGACATATTTGAGGAAGGAGAGGTATATAAAATTGATTAAATGATGATCTGTAGTGCTCCGAGCCTTTTGGAAGTGCTGAATAGCTACTGACATGGCCTGAACGTCATGCCTCCGAGCAGAAGTTCAAAGGGAAAGACTGAAGTGTCCGCCCAACCGAAACGCAAAATTAAGCAAATTACCCGACTTTCACAAATTTTCCTCCGGATTTCTGCCAATGAGCACACTGATTTTTCCAAAGCTGGACTTCCCATTTGTCCATAGAGGAGTAGACAGCGTTTAAAGTGGCAGAAACTGTGTGACAGAGGCTTGAATCCAGAATATGGAGTAAGATTCCAGCTGCCAGAGTTGTTCATGAGTGAAATGAATGGTCTGGCAATTCGTCTCAAGACGTCTTATCGCGATTACAAGGTCTAAAAGGAGACTACTCGGATCACCAGCTGGCGGAAAGACGTTTATGCCGTTTTAGGTCGAGCTCATTTACTGCGTTTGTATGCATGCTTTCCACTATCTTGATCTTGTTTGAAGCTCACATTTCAAAGTAGTGTCGATTGAATTCAACACGTGTCCAAGTCACACGGATGACACCTATCTCAATCGAATATTGGCCTAAACGAGATTTCACAGCCTCCCGCTATTTCTTCCGCTACCGCCAGCCTCTCAGGCCTTTTAAATGCTTATAATAAAGTTTCTTCATGAATTGCGCCCCTTTACAATATCCTCGGAACTAAGGCGAGCGCCATGTTTTGTTTTAGTGTCATTGGGAACCGATATGATGACTTAATTGGGTCGGTTACAAATTTAAGTTGAAGTATAGCCATCTTGACATCTACACTCCTGCTTTCTATAAGTGGTAAATGTCAGTCTAACCATAAATTAAGCAGTAACATTACATTCGATAGTGTAAAAAGCTGCTTTCTCAGTAATTACTCCTTCACAGAGAGAAAACACGAATTTTGTTCCAGCGCCGAAAAACAGCAGTGTTGCCGTGGGAAACTGGCAAGGATGTAACTCGCCCAGAGAAAATTATAGGGTGGGGGATTTCTGACCTAACGAGAAAGGAGCGAAGCTGTTGGCCCACAAAACACCGTTAAGTCTTCACTAGCTGCGTCGGAGAAGCAGCACGCGGTGTTATTATCTCTAGATGCCTCGAATCCGCGAATGCCACTGGTTTCCTGTACGTACTGATTAAAAAACCTGTTCATAATAACAATTTTTGCCTTCCCGAAGATGAAAGTGATCCAGCAATAGGCGTTTTTTCCCACATAAATATTGTACAGCGGCTAAGTATCAATGTATTATTGCGCTCATCTTCAACTTAAATTAATGTCATGACATTCATTTGACAACCGACATTATTTTCTCACTTAATTTAATTAATTATCCATTTATGGCTTTGATTTACGCCAAGCGTGTTTATCCCGTATGTCTGAAACCTCCACCTTCGCTGAGCGGGATGATGAGCCCCGCGGCGTCTCCGAAGGCCTGACACCACGATGACGACTAAATCGCGGAGACTGAAGGGGTTGTGTGGAAAAACAAATATATCCTTAAAACAAATCCCGTTTTATTCTACTTTTAAGGTCTGTCCTCGACACTACCCCTATTAATTCCTTTTCTACTTCTTCTTGGTCAGCCGTAACCAGTCAGGAACGGGAATGACGGAATAGATTTGAACAGGGAGGCGACTATGATTTATTGCCTTACCGGCCATGCATACTGTACTTGGAGGGGAGTTATTTGGAAAAGTTTGCTTAAGGCTAAGGGATGCCCTTTAGCAAGCATGTTCCGCGCGCTAGTCGTCTTTTGCAAGAAAGTTTACCTACAAGCAAGCAGAAAAGAGGACTATTACAGCCTCCACCCCGCGTTTACGAACAGTTAAAAGCTCTGAAGAGGCATTTTGAAGGGATGCATACCTCATCTCGTTTTAATTGTACAGAACTGGGAAGTAGACTGCCCGCTTAAATATGCCACGGTTTAGGAAATTCCACTTTGATGAGTCGTTTATGGCTGTTGTCCATTTAGGTCGGGTCTACTTACACTGCCACTAACGGAGGACTCCAGGGCATTCCTGGACACCTCTTAAACCCTCCTTATGTGTAAAGATACCTATAATTGGCGTATAGGAGGAATTAGTGACTGCCGGCATAAATGTGGATACAAAGATACTAGAATTGAGGATGCCGTTGCAAGTTGAAATGATCCATTCTTGTGCCATCTTTTCAGATGGATTTTGACGCTTTTTCTGATGTAAATGATCAAATAAAGTTTGTCCAAACCCCTCCCAAATCTGTCTGGGTGTTCTTTACTGTCTCAGCGCGCATAACTACACAGTGTCTCGTCTGAGTCCTATGAAGCTTTACTTTTATAAAGAGGTAATTCTTTGGCATTGTGCCACACAAACTACAGGCTCGTTATGCGTATTTTTAAACTTGCCTGCCCACCCACCGTCACTTAGCTCCGGTGTGTTGACTTTCCGCTGTGTTTATTTCATGTCGCAGCACAAGGGTGGGAACGACGTGCGCGTTTACAGAAGGAGAAATGTGTCTTTCTTTTTTGCAAAAAGGTTGTAGAAATACAGCATGCACATCTGCGAAACCGAACTTGACGCTTTTGAAATACAAAAAGTGACAATCTGGGGGTCATGTTTGCTCACAAGGAATGAAAAATGCAAAATGAAAGGCTGTTTAAAAGAAAACATTAAATGGACTGGCCCAATAATATTCGTACTACTACGTCCAGTTGTAACTGAAGGGATTCAAAACCGAATTATCTATAAGCGATAAAACAATGAGAAATGCGGTTGGATAAAATTCTGAGGTATTAATTATCCCGCAAAAGAAGTATTTTCCAAGTAACTAAGTAAAAGTGAAGTCAAACTGTTGATAAAACAGATTCCACTTGTTCAGCTATCAAGAAACGGATATCCCAATCTTTGGTACATTTAGAATGTGCAAGCAAAGCCCGCGGTATTTACTTTTGCGTCGTTAACAACTAAAACCGGATTGGCTTAAGTAATTGGCGTATTCTTTTTTAAATTTATGTGCATCAAAAGGGGCCAAATAAACTTTGTTTTTCTTGCTATATTTGGATGTATAGTAAACAACACCTTATGTACTTTACGAAGTGGGCTGTCTGCAAAAATAAGTCTTCCATAAACACTCTTTCAGTTGAAGGCTGAACTAATGTTAAAAATGTGTAGGAATACCTTTTTTTCTGCTTGTCCTTATCCGAGACCAGTGGGGATTGGTAAAATTCCCTCAACTACTTTCTCTGTCGAACACTTCAAAAGCATGCTCTTGACAGTCCCATGTCTAGAAGAAATGGTGCCAAATTTAGGTTAAAAATGTCGAGTAATCAACGTGTAACCTCCTGATCTGCTTGTACTTTTTAAGTTCAGATCATGCTGAGGGTGATTTTGAATACTTTCAACAGTTTCACTGTGGCACATTGCAAGAGACATGGGCGCCATGTGACGGTGTTCCTGAGCGGCGATAATTGCAAAAAAGCATTGCTTGCCGCGAATTGGTAAAATTTATTTTATATTTTCAAGTTTTCCTGTTACACTTTTGCACTTAAAAAAAATAACTGGTTTAACTGCTTCCCAAATTGTAAGGAATTAAAAGCACCCTTTTAAATTCAGGTTTTCTAAGGCTTCAAATCTCTATCACCTGCGAGAAATGACGTTTCCTTTTCAAAATGAAAGTGCCCACCTATTATTGCAACTTCCAAAAAAATAAATAGGTACACAGATGGGAGATTTGTATAATAAATAGACTTTTCATTTACTAAAGTTTAGTTATTTTTGCCATTTAAAAAGTCACAATTTCTAGTCTTTCTAACTCAATCTCTATCCATTAGATATTTTGTCCTTTAAGCACGCAATTCACCTATGGAGAAAAATGGGAGAAGTCGCCTGCCTTCTACCAAAAGAAGTCCGCAATTCTCGCATTCGCTTCGAAAATTCCACTTGCACATCAACTGCACCAATTTGTTTTAATCGCTCCCATTAACTCGTATTCCGTGTGAATACTTCAAAGCTCATGGAAGACATTTTGATGTGCATTCTGTATAATCACAAGTTCGCATTTGAGGTGTAGCGCTCTTGTGGTCGTGCGTGATGAATCTGACAGAGGTAACCAAATCAACATACAGAATGCAACTTCAAGGCAATGGTGAGGTGCGTTAAGAAGAAAAGACGCTGGAAGGCCACTTACAAAGGGTCGAATAGAAGCGCGTCTCATTTTTGTAGTCATCATGAGGCATAATGGCCATACAATCTTAAAAAAGCACTAGTTTTGCCTCAGCTTTTCCGCTTGTTTTGCCTTCCTTCCTACATTTTGCCAATTTGGATATGAACCAATGTTTACAGAACGTGATCCTGCATTTTATGAGAGAAATCAAATTTTTTGTGGGGGATCACAATTTTCCTCCCTCTCTCTGTTATAAGACCGGTTCGATTTGCCCGTGTTTCGCCCGAGAATGTATTAAAACAACCGCATATTACACTTCTCATCTTAAAATTTGCTAAAAGTGAGTGGGGTAATTTTACTAAAACCTTTTAAAATGTTATTATCAGACTTAGAAATAGGCTGTGGTAAAATTTGTGGGGATATTTCGCTTAAAAGGACCTCATAAGTAGGTAATGGAAGCAGGTCAGTAGATTTGGTAAATTTTTGCCTTTCTAAACCTTTTAAGAAAGGATTTATTATTTTTGACTGTTTCTAAAACACTACCCCACACATTCGACCACTACACCCTGGATGCAGTTTGCTGTCCTTGTGTGAACGGCTTAGCTCATTTGCCACTCAAAAACTACAAAAAAAAAAAAAAACTAAATACCCTCAGATCAAGAGCCTCTCCATGTCCATTTCAATGCTTCAGGCATAAGTAATCTGACTACGACGCTATTCGGTGAAACCAACTAATAAAGAGTGCGCGGCCATACACATACGCCGCTGGTAGCGAAAGTGAGCAAGAATTTGTTCTCCTTTCAAAAGTCCTCACATGGTTATGTAAAATCAAGCAGATGATACAAAAGCATGTCCTTTAGTTACTTATAGCAGTGATTTTGGGAAGGCGTCCACTAGGAGGCAGAATAGGAATTCGAATTTGTCTTCCTGAAAAGAAAGAAAAGTGACGCAATTGTTGCCACGTTTTCAGCTTCAGTGGATCCCTACGCTTCCGCAGCTTTTATGCTCAGGCCATGACTGAGACGATTACATGAGCTCATATTTTTTCATATGCAATAATGCAATCCTGAGATGCTTTGTGCTGGTTGTCAAGGTGCTCCTTCAGTGCCATGCTTCATTCGACTCTTCTGTGGTGGTTATGTAGCGCCCCAAGGCTTTCCTGATGACGGAAGAAGGGATAATACTTAGGCAAAATATGTACTGTCGGCGAACAGAAGGCAGAGCCTTAAGAGCCCGCTAAACCAAAATAGAGTTAAGTAATCATAGCATTACAGTTGCAAGCAAAATGCTATCTTTGTACTCATCAGGCACCAATTTTTTGGCCACAAGTGTTTGAGTTCAACATTCCAACAGACGGATTTTGTCTCTCGCACAACTACGCGCCAGAATGCACATCAATCAGACGTCCATAAAGCCAGACAAGCTTTTCAGGCGCCAGTTGAGCGTTCACAAGGGCGACTGCCAAGGCTGTGGAACCAAAAGCTGCCATTCAAATGGCTTACTACGGAGTGGGTGAGCGTCCCATCACTGTGCTCTACTGTGGTTGATGTCTTCCACTTGATTAGCTTTCGTGTACTTGTTCACGGGAAGCCTCGTTCACCACACATGTGCCATCGCTGTCGTCCGCCACCTTAATTAACTTTGTCAAGCCTGGTGCAGGAAATGTGAACCGGTTATAACCGAACGGCTACACTTACCACTTCTAACTGCGCGCAGTTCCACCAACGATAGTATGTTCCTTCAGACTTGTGAAATTAAGTTATTTTTTGACTACCCTATGATGTCACCAATTTTGAAGTTATCAAATAAGCACAGTGAGTGAATCACTGAAAGTCTGGTCATACCTCATCACTTCTCCACTCGATTAGCTTGAGGAGTCCCACATAGTTCAACAGGAAGGAGGTGAGCTGGAGCATGATCGTTTTATTTCCCAGGACATGCTCAAAAATCCTTGTAATTGACACGAATAGGGACTATCTTACAAAAGTTACAGTTATTTTAGTATTACATCACGGTTGAACGTGACACATAAAAATATAAGTGCGCTGTCTTTGACAGTTCTATATTTTGGCAAAAAAGTCAAGTTTTATGAAGGGATTCTTTTTTTAAGAAAAAATTCGGATGCGTCCTGCCTCGGTAAGATTCAAAAATAAAAAAAGGTCAAGAAAAGAAGGGAGGAAATGAATCCATTAAAAGCCGATGAGTCACCACTTCCCGGGTATGGATGCCTCTGGTGCGCGGGTGTCCCAGAAGAATGGCATTCTACCACTTGAGGCTCTCTATTTCTGTCACTCCGGGGGAAAATCTGTTGCAAAAAGTTACGCTACTTAAAGTGATACTGTTATTCCGTGTCAACTGGGCACTGAAATGGGGTGATATTTTCATCTGGAGCTTTGACAACTACTTTTTTGACTTTTACTAAGAGTTACTATTCCAAAGATGTGAAAAATTGTCTTTGATCACGATAACTGCGTCAGGTTATTGTAGTAGGGCGCTGCTGCCTTTATTAGTACTAAGGTCTTATCTTGGTTTTTTAAGTCGCTGTCGATTATTTTGAAAACCTTCTTAGCCAGACTTACGGGCTTACGGGTTAAGAGGACTGCTTTTGACGTACTGACATTTCGTGGAGTAAAATATTTGATTGTTCGAGACTGTACTTAACTTTACATAGACAAAGTAATCGCCTTATAACAGTTCAGGTAGTTAATGCCTTGCAAGTGTGCCCACTCACCATTAGACTAGCGGTGACTTGGGGACGCCTGGTCGTCACTAGCGTAGTCGAGGTTGTGAACTTGGAGGTATCTTTATCATTTGATGGCAATGCGGGTCTTGTATCTGATTTTGTACTAGATTCTGTTATATGAGCAGTTTAAGTGGTCCTTCAGAATAGATAATAAATAACTATGAAGCGGGACCTAAAAACTTCATCGAAATCAAGGTCCCGAAGGCAAATCGACCGCTATATTCAAGACTCTTCATTGTCCGTATCAAGTTTATCGACTCAAAAACTTGAAGAAAATGTAATTATCCTCCCACCCAGTCAATCCTTTTTTGCAGCACAATTTGTTGCAACCAATTCTCATAGGTCGATTAACCAAACGTGTCACATATATGTGACGCTGGTAACCAACAGGCAGATATTAGTTTGGATTCGAATCAAGAAAGCCTCACCTATCCTGTAATTTATTCTTACTTCGACAAAAAGTTGTAAGTATATTCTGTGCACTGTGAGATGCCTAAAAAACATTCCCAATGGGTACTGGTTCAATCCCAATGTTTTTTTTCTTTTATTCGGTGCTTTGCGGACTTTTCAATCCTTTGTGATTCGACCTTTGCATTGGCTGGCAATGCGGGAAGTACATTCACCGTATACATCAAGAAGGGGAGAGTTCTGTGCTACCGACAAGAAGACTGATTAGCGGAAGAAAAAAGGCTGTTGTAGTAGTGTGGATATTTATAACATCCTACTTCACGGTCTTTTCACCTTGGTCCAAGTTTCGTCTCAAAACAGTCCTTCTGCTTCACCGCAGCGAAGCAAAATTTTTCACTTAATGATAGAACTGAAGTTCATAGGTTTCATTTGCATTTAATCTGTCTCCTTTTCTGTTCACAAACTGCTTTACATGATGTTGCTTAATGCATTCGCTACGAGAGTCACAAATATGTGACATAGGTTGGCTATCAGTTTGTAACAACTGATTGTATCAAATCGTCTTGTTAACACATTGGTTGCTTTCCAGAAATTGCAAAATGTCCATGAATGGTTCATTTGTTAATATAAATAGTTGCAGCGAATTTCTAGTTAATAGGAAATAAGTCCCCTGTTTACGGGTGGTCGCGACACTCAAAACATTACTGTTTGGTTGGAGTGGAGCCGAATTAATAATTTCCTAAAGTTTGTACGATTTGAATATTCATTTCCACTAAACTTCAAGCAAAAAATTTGTGCTTTTACGCCTAACAGTGGTAATGAAAGTGCGGAAGGGTTACCTTGGTGCGGACACGCTTTGTGTTCAGGTGGCGTGATCACGTCGGACTGCGTCAGGCTGTGAAGGACAAAAGGCAAATGGCAACCTTCTAAATGGTCGACCCTAAAAATAGCCTCTCGTCGCAATTACACGTGATCATGCGACTCCGCGACTGAACAGCAAAATAAGTGATTTACACACAAATTCCGTGTATCTTGCACTAATTTTGCAGCCATTTCTTGTAATAGGGGAAAGGTAAAGTTATTGTTTAAGATAGAGTGAAAAGCCGTCTTCAGGTCCAATCGTATGACCATGTTTCACAGAACAATAACAATAACTCCTCCCTTTTATTAAATATGCGGAGTAAGCATGTCAATCAAAAAAATTGGTAACATTGGTCTAATTGCGGTGGAATAGTAGCACCTATGCAACTTGTAATGAAAGACGAGTTGATAAATGCTTTAATTTAAGCATAAGATTTCATATTTATTACTCGAAAACTTGAATATCTGTTTAGCTCTTCCTTTTGATTACGAGGGTACTCAAGGCCAAGTCAGTGACCCCCCAGCTTTCTCCCACGTTAGCGGTACATTTTCTGCCATTGTGATATATCTTCTTTCGACTTCAGGCAAGTCTCTGGGCGCTACATTAGTGGACAGCGGAAAGCGAATCCGATTCTAAAGGGTACCAACCGTAATTCCTTTGCTGATTGCTAAACCTTAACGCGACAGAAGAAGGGGACATGCCGCGCATGGGAAAATCTTCGACGACCCTAAACAGAAGGGTTTTAAAACGGCGTCTGCTTTTGGTAACTGCACCAGCCCCGTGATCTACACGAATGCTAGTAACAACTGCAGAAATGCTACCTATGTTACATCTGAAAAGGTCGTTACAGATCTGCCTACGGTATCTGTACGAAGATGTCAATGAAGTGAACATGCAGTACCTCCTCCACCTCTATTATTTGGGTAGAACTCAGATAAATGAAAATGGTTGGGCAACGCTAAAGTGAGAAGAAAGCAGCAAGGAGGAATAGGCGCAAAACCTTTTCCCCACGAAACTATTCCAATCCTCATCCTCCTTTATATGAACCTGCTTTTGGGCCAGTGTTCTCATGACTAGGGATGGATATACTTGATGGCCAGCACATTCTCCTTACCCCAATGCGATTCCAGACGGGTCGTGACAGTAGCCCCACCATACTTTCTCCAAGCCGACAATACATATTCTGCCTTAGTATTATGGCCACTACCGACTTCTGGCAAGTCTAGGGGGCTGCGACGGTTTTTCCATTTTTTAAAATAATTTATTTGATTCACCCTTCATGCATGGTTTATTTTGTGAATACTTACACATCGACGAATATCCCTGCTGATGTTTTTTTCACCTCATCCGAAAACCGTCCTGTTAAATTTAAGCCATTAACTAGATTTGTACAATAAGCCTTTTGTATGTCACGCCGACTTCTCCCTCTTGCCATCTGCCGAGTGGCAGGTTAAGAATAGACATTTTGCCAGTGCCGATTTAATTCACTCTTGAAAGAAGAGGAAGAAGCAGTTTGGACCCAATCGCTTGCAACCGACTGGCAGCTTAGTAATTGTCAACTTTGGCCATTAGCAAGATTGGCTCGAAGTCTACCTTTTCTAGGCATTTGCTACATATTTGTAGGAGCTTCCACTTACCTGTATTAATCTGTTTGTCGGCTTTTGGTAAACAGCAAGTAGCTTTAGTCTCTTAGTCTTTCGGCATAAATGTAATACTGGATATTTGTGAAATTTCCAGCATTTCAGCAGCTTCAAAAGTGCCTCCAGAACCCCATGATGTGGAGCTTTTATACTTCCAATCTTGAAAGCGAATGCTACAGCTAAAAATAGAACCAAGGCGTGGTTAGAGAATAAAGACAGGAATTCCATGCGTGAGAAAAAAAACTGACACAGTCGAGTCTATTGACAGTGTTAGTTTGCAAAAAAGCCCTTCAACTGTAAAAGAAAACTTGGCTCCTTGTCGCTGGCCCCAAAAAGTGGCCTTAAATCTTACACAAAGCGTTAACATGCTCTCCACTAAGGTCTTGGGTGGAAGCGGATCTTGCAGATCGTCAAAAATATGTTCCATTCGAGATTTTACCTCCCAACACCTAAAAAAAATATGTATCACGACTGATCAAGAGTACCCCAACTTTTTTATTGTTTGAAGGCCAAAGAGACTGCTTGGGGCACGGTTTGGTGCCATCATGGTTAACATGGGGCAATAAAGAATAGCCAAGTCACACAATTGTGGTGCACGGACTTTGATGATAAAGTCGGTGACGCTGGAGATGAACACGCTAAACAAGAAAACTAGGCAAGGGAAAGCAGGAATGCAACCTCTTGACTGCATTACACAATATCGAAGACGTCAAGAGATATCTTGTTATAATAAAGGAATGGGGAAGTCGGTTAAATGGGGAAGTGCTTTCTTCAAATCTATAATGAGATTGTAAAGACTATGAATGATAGCAAATTACAAGGAATAAGTTTTATTAATCGTGAATTCCGAATGAAATTGCATCTCTTTCATGCTCCTTCAGGGTGTTGATCCGTCCTCAAATAGATCTCGAGTATAAGTTTTAATGCTTTTGAGAAAGGAAAGAGTTAATCCCTTCAAAAAATCGGCAGGAGTGATACGCTGAAGCATTTTTGTTACAAAAAATACTCAAAATTGCTCTAAATCCTAAAAAAGAGTTTATGTGAAGCATTCCAATTGCTTTTCCGTTATTCCTCGATCCAAATCAGCACAATCATCCTGTGTTCCAAACAGACCTGTGAGACTTAACGCGCTTTAGCTTGACTTTGGCTATTTTCTTAGTGTGGTCTTCTTTTTTCCTTTAAGCTAACCATAAATTTGAACCACTTTAAAATTTTTAAGTACAAAGTTGACTTTTAAACTCAGGCATGCAGAAACATAATTTAATTCAGAAGTACGCTTAAAGGGACTTAAAACCTAACTGCAAGGTTTTACATGTAAACTGGACAAAGGCACTACGAGATTTGTGCATTATTAAAATGCCAATGTCTTTTTTAATTGACCGTTTAACTAAGCGGTCGGTTCAGTACCCGTGGTTCTTGATTCCGTCTCCCAGCCCCACTACTCTAAATCAACAACAAAGCATCTTTCTTCCCATGGTGCGTCTTACCATAACAGTTAAAAAAGCTTGAGGGTCTATACGGTCACACGAATCCAAAATTTCCTCAAAGCTTAACCCTGTACATACGTATTTCATTTTCAGTGGGATCCAACCTGGTCCCCCCAATACGATTAAACGTTGCTAATAAAATACAAAGATCCAGCAAAAAGATATTTATCCACAAATACACAGGCTGCACTCACTTCGTGAGCTTTAGCTAATATCCAAGATTTGCACTGATATTAAGTCGCCCAAAGTTGGGTGACAAGAGCAATGTTTGTACGAAAAAACAGCAATTTTAGAACCCAAGACTAACTATCCGAGCGATGACCTAATGAAGAAAATCTCCCTAAGGAACAGACGCATACATGTTAATTAAATTGCAAGACTAGAGAGATAGTAAGGAAGACCTCGAGTCCCTCAAGTAAGACAAAGTGAACACCAAAATTGTAGGTGATTTCAGGTTTAACAGTGTGGCGCGAGATGCCGTAATTTCATCAACTTGAAATTGGTTAATTTAAATACAATGCTTAATTCAAACCTTTTCATATATTTGGATTCCCAACATTTTTTCACACTTACGTCTTTTTTAATTACATCGAAGTTAATATAAAAGGCCATTGGACAAAGCTTTGTAAATCAATGAGTCAACCTACAGATTACTTTGTCACTTCTTGTAATTAAATATGAATCCACATATGATTCTGGTAATTTATTTTTGCTAGCTTTTGACATGAAACTTTGTTTTACCATTGTGAGCAAAACAAATCATTTCTTGTGAAAAGCAATTTTGACCTTTAAAAGGAGGTCTATTCTGGCCTCCTTCCTGTTTAGCGTTTCCATCGTTCAGCAGAAAATGCACTTTATTTTAGGCGGAAAATCTGCTTGATTGCAGAAGGACTTCGCAATCTAATTCTTAAGCACTCCGCTCTACACTATTCGACGACTAAGTCCTGGAATCCGCTATTCTTTTTCTTGAGGCATAAAAGGGACACTATATTCTAACCAGACCTACAACTGGTTCCACCAGCATATTTCGGGTCCCTAAATCCTGCGCTGACTGCACAAAAATCACACGTGTCTAACAGGTCTTATTGACCACAGTACTTTCAACTGATCCAAAACAGTGGATATCTGATTATTAATAATTTACTTAAACATTATAAGTAAAATGCATTTTATGGAAAATTGACTTGTTTTAGTCAAACACTCACGATTCCTTGGCGGTGGTTAACTGTTCCCCAAGTTTGGACTTTCTTTTCTGCTTCTCATCAACCATTTTTGAGTAAAGTCTTAGGTAAATGTGGGATGGCGGGGGTCTGGCTTTGAATTGTTCACCTTTGCTCAACTCTTCCAACTCCTCGAGATCGCGTCTCTCTTTCTCTTGCAAATACTCCTTTCGAAATTTAACGCATCGAGGACTGTGAGACAAAAAGCTGTTTGTGGGAAACGACATAACTTACTGCGAGTTGCAGCGCCTCTGAAGACATGATGAAGTTTCGTTGTCAGACTTAGCTTTGCTTGATTTTTTGCCCTCTATAATAAATGCAGTTAATAAAGTATAGTTACTGCATTATAATGTTTTGCACTTCCTTTGCAATTTGTCATACTTAAAATTTTTGAAATATATTCACTAAAGCTAACTACGTTCTCAGTTAGAGATCGACGGGTGGTTTGGTCAGGTATCTTTTAAAGAATGCTTTTTTATGAACGTCTCTACACACTAAATGACATACATACAGATAGTTTACTTCCGTTTAGTGATTTTTTTAGGTTTATTTTCTTTTGATTATAATATCTTATAAATGAGTTATGAACTAATCGTGGTTGCATTAGATTAAGACCCTAGAAACCCTGAGTGTATTTCTAAAAACACCCAGGAAAAGCTGCCTTCAAAAAGGATATGCTTCTAAAAAGGGGCCGTTGCATTCAACCGCAATTCTAATGAATACAGGAACTTGGGTTAAAAGTCAAAGAGTGGCAAGATATCTGTAATAAACTGACCTATGTAATGCCTGGAATTATCCTAAAGACGACATAGATCGAGTCTTAACAAAATCTAGATTTTCCTATGGATTATTTAGTCACACTCTTAATAATAACTTTTATTGGTGGTGATTTTCAAAAGATGCCGAAAAAGAGTATTCCAAGTGTTTTTTTGTGAAATGCACTGATTTAACTATAAAGAGCAAAATGTTTCACTCAAGCTGGTATCCACGATTTTTCAATTTGCCCCTAAATCATTCCTAAATTGATCAAGCCGCTTTACTCAGGGCTTTAAAATCACAGGTAGCATCAAATTCAACAAATTAGCTGGAATTTTAAAGGCCACAGTGAGCATCAATAAATGTAGTGAAAAATGTTCCAAGCAAATGAAGTTTACTGCAGAAAGGTCACCTGATCTACCCGTGCGGCAGTTAACAAAGTAATCCAATATCGACTCGTTTTTGGCCCGTAGCTGACGAATAAACTCTATCTTTTCTATGTTTGACAAAACTTCCATTTGATGAAGCTCCAAAATGCTTTTGTCCAAGGATTCAATATCCTTTCTAATGCTCTCCCTTACGATGTCCATACATGGAGAAGATTTCAAAGTGCTTCCGTAAGAGGATTATAAATCAATCTAAATCAGATGAACAAATTAAGGTGACTTAGGGATATATGCCATATTTATGGTAATGCTAATGCAAGCAAATACGTATCTTTATTTTAGGCTCGTTATTAATTACCAAACAGAAAAATATACGTAGTTCGACGGCGGAATATTCTGTCCAAAAAAGGTCGACCTGAAGCAAATAGTGTAATATAAACAAATAATCCTTTGTTAAATGAAATGAAAAAATAAAGTTCTGCACTTCGGCTACCATTTTTCTGCCCAGTAATCTCTTCTTGTAGGCAGTATTTGATGAATTATTCTGAGTCACGAGGACTCATCCTCTTAGGTCATTGGGGCAATCATTTAGTCAATCTCGGTTTCCACTTACTATTCAACACATGTATTTCCAACAGATTTGGTGATTAAGCCGATTCTGAATCGAAAATTAGGCGAGCCACAATTTCTAGTGCATGGTGTTTTACAAGAGTGAAGGATATGCCATTTTTCTATGATTAGGGCCACCTAAGACCCAGAGCTGCTTCAATTCACTGCGTTTTCATTTGTACTTGGCGGCAGTTACTCTGATTTTTCTGCATCCTAGTCAGAATTCCGTACTTCTGCTCTAATTAATAATACTTCTTACACAAAACACAAATAAACGAAAACTTAGGTTAAGAATCTACCCAAGACGCACGGTTTTGCCTTCCCATCTATCCGTGCTTATGTCACCCAGGCCTGAGAGCATTTGTAACCGAAAATGGCGGCTGACTTGTATGAGGGTCTGAGTAAAACCTGTCCATTTAGACTCCTCCCATTCCCACATTTTAAAATATCAGTGGTACACATGACCCATGAACTGCCCCAGCAAACTTTACGATGGTCGAATCCCCACCTGATTGATTCAACAATTACAGCATCTCACGCTGACAGTCTGACTCCGCAGACGAAAGACTAACTAGACCCAACATCAAATAACCACAAATCCTTCTAAAGCCCACACGAGACGCTAAAGGTGCGCAGTACAGGCGTCCCCCGCCGCACCTCACCCCCCCTTTTGGCCCACCAATGAAATGAATCCACTACGACGTATCAACTCCGTAGCTGCACAAAAACCCAAAGGCAAGAAGGCGATTCTCGGAAACATGAGTGGAAGGTTCGAATTTTGCCCAGAGAACACCTTCCAGCGGCACAAAATCAGAATAAACCGAGGCAATAAGAAACACCGTGCAAGCATAATAAAGCAGGACAATTTACAGTCTGTAACGCATGAAAGAACGAATCAAGAAAGAGGAGAGATGGGAATTGAAAAGGAGGATGTATTGTGAAAGCTCTAATGACTTTCGTCCTCCGGCATTGTGCATCAATGAAAACAGTGACAAGGAGAGAAGGGCAATGATGGTGGGTTAATATAAATCCTGACACCTCTACGAGTGACCCGCAGTTGCCCAAACTGTAAAAAAGATTTATATTTTCGTCAGACTACATCAAGAGAAACCACCAACCTAGTATAATATGATCGATCTATCACACATATATCATATTTTATTTGCGTAGAGTTGACAGCAAAAAAGAAGGTCTAACATCTGATTGTCTGCGAATTACCCGATTAAAGGCCTCGTGAGAAAGCGATATAAGTTGACGGTTTATGTGAAATGATTAACGCCGAAGATTTTCCAGACCCTGAGGAAATAATACTGAAGTATGTGTTACTAACTTATCGCATGCGCAGATGGCATTACCGTTAACACTCAATGACAGGTATTCCACATTGTATCTCTAACTAGCAAGCCTATACGATTTCGCTTGTATGAAACCGTGCCTACTGAAACATCAATTGTTTGAGCGATAAATAAAGGTGGTCTACAGGCGTGAATCATGAAAACTATGTCTTTGCGAGATATAATCTGCTGCAGATTAAGATTAAGCCTAGACTTGGGAGTACAAACTTACTGATAATAACGACGATTAGGACAATGACGACGCCAGCAATGATGCCCCACATCTGGACAAAACAAAATTGATTGACTCGCGGTTAGTAAATTCGGTAAACAAACAAAGCACTATGAAGCTAGAACCATTCTAATATGACAGAAGCTTTGTTTAAACCGTCGTGCTATTCAAAGGGACGTAACGGTGATTTTAAGCAAGGATACTTTCGCAGATTTTGGTTTTTTAACTCGCCTTCATATTTCTCCAAAAGTACTTCCTTTGGATGTTTCGCGAAATCGATTCAAATTCCCTTGAATGCACTTGAAGTTCATCTAAAAAATATACATTCAATCGAAATATAGCAAAAAAAAACATGGATTTACACAACAATGTGACGATTCAACAAATGAAAAAAATTAGAAGATTGAATAATTAATTGGCCTTGACTGCGAATAAGAGCACAAAACTCAGCGCAGTAAACTTTTCGGTGCTCACCGGCTCGATGGTCGAGATCTGACAGTCTTTGATCTCTTTCCAAAACTCGTGCGACATTGTCTTTCATGATCCCAACAACTTCATTCACCTCAGCCTGTTGCTGTTGAATTCTGTCTTGGCCGGAGTAAGCATAACCTTGAGTACTGAAATGAATATAAACGGCAAACTTCGGTAAATACATACAGCATTTCTTTCAAATGAAATATAAAAACTACATATGCGCTATAAAAACTCGAACACTCCTTGTGCATATACATGGTAGGAGTCATCCACGCTGATTCGCAAACAATAACGGTGTAACGATAACAAAGTTAGGTGAAGCACTATCATTAATAGCCAAGAAGTACATTAACCAAAATCCAGAATATCCATTTGGGGTCCAAACTCAAAGTCACCTTTGCCAAAACAAACAATTGTGTTGGGGAACCTAAATGGCATTAGAAAGGTCGAGTTGCAAGGAATAAACGACTAAGGACAAGTAGGTGCCACATATGATTCTTAAGGCAGAACATAGAACAAACAAAACCTACTTTTCATCTCCAAAAGGTGAGTTGTATGCCCTAAAATCAAATAACTCGTTACACTACGTCTAATATTTATCACATACATTAGCTCTGAAAGACGTCAGTTCACACTAAACACACAATCCTGTGCCTTGTTATTATTCGGTGGTGTATTTCATCTGGTTAGCCCAGTCATGATTCTATCTAATTCGAAGAAATCATTTCATGCAGTGCCGAGTAACACCCATTCAGAAATTTAAAAAGAAAGATTTATCAAACGTGAATTTGGAGGCAAAGGTGTGGGTGACTTGAGGGACACAAGACAGTATGCAGATGATTTCGCAAAATTTCACCTCGAAAATACGAAGTACAGGGTGGAAGCATTATGGAAAAATGACAAGATATGATTGCTTTGTTTTATGTGACAGTTCGATACAATGCGTTGGTCTAGTGTAGCCCTTAGGTCTTTCAGAGGATTCAAGAGGCCTATTCGTAGCACAAACTTCATATATTTTTAATGCATGGTCTTTTTCTAACTCTGCTTTCGTTACGCTTGTGCGACCATTGCATAGTGCTTATGTCGCTTAGTTGAAATGAATTTGAACTAAAGTGAATTGAATTTCAATCATGTGTACAGAAAGTTATCGGAATTACACAAGTCATAGAAGCTTTCTGTAGCGTCCCCAGACTCCCTGAAGACGAAAAAGGATACAATACTAGGGCAAAATTTACATCTAGCACAGAGAAGGTGCTTGGACTACTGGTATGGCCTGAAGGCCAGCCCACCCAGAGGGGTACAAGAAGGCTAATTCAAAGTACAAAAGTGGCGTCTCACCAATACCGAGGGATAAGCCACCATCCTATCACAGTTGAGTACCCAGACTCCCCTTAACTTGTACTTATTGCTGTTAGCTTTGAATCAAATTGTTCGTACGAAGAGTTTGAAATCTATAGATGAAGGGGTAAAATGAACACGGACTGCAGCCATGCCTCAACCCAAGAATAGGACAAATTTACAACCAAAAAATATCTCAGTGAATTGGGTCCTTCAATCAAGCCGCATCGCTAGTAAATCCTGCTCTTAATAATGGCTGGGTAAGATAAAATAGATAACTGATATTGCCCACACCTAAACAGGTAAGTGCGCTAGGTGCCTAGACAACCCAAACCCTCTTAATCATTCCTAAACATGAGAGCGACTTTATCCAAACCCTAGGGATGTTTGGTTTACTACGGCTCTTCTAAATATCAGTTAATGTTGGTGAAGCTTGTACATTCTGGAAAGTGCTTATTTTGTGCAAAATTTACATACTTTCTCTGGCATAAAGCGTAAAGTATCCCAAATAATTAAATGCCTTTGCGATAGGTTAGTGGTTTTTAGAGGTCGGTTTTAGTTAACGGTCACTTTGTCTTAGTCATCATACATTGCCGGGTAGGCTGGCCTAAGGGTCATGCAAGTGGCCCCGAATGTAGTTCCTTAACACATCCTTGAAGACAAAAGAAGTGGTAATACTCGGGAAGAATATACATATATATTTGGTATACAGAAGGTATTAGGGCTATCCGGATAGTTTAGGAGTTAGCCCACTTAGCGAGGTACAACAGCTAAGACAAAGTAGCTCTTTAACAAAACTGGCCGTTAAGCAAACAACCAAAGTATTATGTAGTACGATAGTGTAATACGATGGTGGTTTATCCCCCGGTTCTAGTGAGGCTCCACTTTTGTACTTTGAATTAGCCTCCTTGTACCTCGCTAGGTCAATAGCCCAGACACCTTCTCTACGCTGAACACATATTTTGCCCGAGTATTGTGTCTTCTTTCGTCTCCAGGGGGTCTCGGGACGCTGCAATTACGCCCAGTAACTTCTGTATGTTAAATATATGCTTTCCATCTAAGTATTATGGCTTCTTTCACCTCTAAAATTCACCTCAATGGGCAAAAAGCTTTTACCCTAAATAATTGCACAAGTATCTCTTTTTTTAGTCACATTTTCTGCAAATCAATGCTAATTTATCCTGCATCTATGCTTCTAGGTATTGGTTCCTTAATAAAGCGCTTTTGACATTTAAGGACGCCGAGTTAAGAGTTTATTGTGTTTTGATGAGTGATCTACTATGTCTCTTAGAATTTCGTCATACTGTTGCAAAAACGTGAAGTCATATTTCAAGAGTTGAAACAGACCGCCCTTACTCGACCTTGCATTGGAGTGTCGTGACTGTCCATAACGGTTAAAGAAAGTTTGGTCCCGGGTTTTGACGGAACTGGGGTGTTTACTAACTCATCTTTCAGCAACATATTTACACACCCTGATCAAGCTTTGCCCAGGCTTGGGTGACAATTGGTGTTGGAAGAAGCCCATATAGTCTCTCAACCCACTTGTTTATGATGAACGAGTCCAAAAGGCATGGAACAAGGTATTTCCTAATTGATATTTGGCTATTCTTAAGGATTTTTAAAAAGTCTACCCCGAATGGGAAGGTAAGGAGACATTTTGGTTTTGGCGCTTATAGCAGGTGACTGTTTATCTTGGAAAACGCGACTTCGTCGACCATCTAACTCACGTGGATCCCATCGGTAGGCCTCCTTTATACCACTGTGTCGTACTGGTTGTCTTTCCACCTCTAAATTTGGTTTGCTGCGCTTTCCAGTATCTGAGAGTTTTTGTCCCCTTCGTTTAGAAGGCGTTGTGTTAGTCGATGCAGAATACGTTAAAGGTCGCAAGGTTTTTATTCACCTGCTCTGCGCTTTTCGACACGGTCGCGATGGAGATGAGTTCCACGGTATTGATTGGCACAGAGATCTATTTCTTAACACCAAACAAGTTTACCCACCACCTGGTCCGGCGGACGAAAGCACTCTGCACTTGAAAATTTCTCGTCTCCAGGAGCGTCTCATTCGGAAGCTGGGTCCAGACAGTTATCCGTTTACTTTCAAGGTAGACCATTCATTGTCATTGAAATTCAACTTACTTTTACTTTTCATTTTGTGTCTGGTTGTTAGCGTTGATGCTGCAGTTAATTACTGGATGGTATGCTGTTCTGGTGGTTCTGATTCTGAGCACATTTTGCGCTCATGATCCATCACTGCTGTAGATTTATTATATTTGTAAACGGAAATAAGCTACTACACTTGTGCAAATATTCGTTTTGTTGTGTCTATTGGCTGTTTTCGGTTTATGATCTATTTAATGATACAGACTTTTGAATAAATCCATTCGAATCCAGTGCCTCGTCGGCACGGAGTGCTATATTCAGTCGTGATATTTTGCTCTCCCATGTACCCATTTGTCACATTTCGGCTTTGACTTTAGATACTAGTTCTGTTACAATAGTCCCTGCAGTAAATAAATGCTACATTTTTAAATCGCCCTATGAGTAAAAAGTCCGCTGTTGGCGCCAGTCCAATTAACAATCAGCTCAGCAACTGATTCAACCCATTCGGCTGTTACTTGGTCTTGCTGCAAGAATAATTACATCTTCTAGTTGTTGAGCCGCGGTTAAATCGGTCGGTTCGGTAGTGTACAAGTGTTGGTGTCGTGTTAGAGCAATAAAGCACCCTGATTGTGGTGGTTGACTTTGCTTTGGAATTCTAATAGCAAATAAATCTATCCTCCATAATTTCGGTCACAAAGTGCTGCAGAAACGTCTTGAAGAATCGAGTAGGAATAGTTCTAAGCTGTTTGCATCGCGTGTCCCTTCAGTGTGAAATCATATTCGGTCATTTTACACGTAATATGAGCCATCCACAAAAATCTTGTCTGCACAGTGAGGCAAAACCTGCCGTCCACCTGTGTTTACCCCACTCACGTCTAAGTTGTTCTTCTCGTTTCACGGGTCTTGTGAAGTACTTCATGAGATGATGTCATTTAGCTCCGTGTCACGATGGTGCGTGACGGTATCCAGATTTCGTATCTTTCTCTACCGTCTCTTGTTTCATATAGTGCAAACAATCAACCAGTCCGCCCAAAAATTGGCAGATGAGTCCTTTTATTCCTAATTTGTCGACGGGGTTTTGATTTATGCTGTGCCCTTCTACTGTGTGCGTGATTGGGTTTGTGCTTTGGCTCGCACACCAGACGGAGAGGAGGAGAGGGCCTTTTTTTGGGTGCGTCTGGTCTCTGTGCCGCGTCTGTGCTGTCTGGACAGTCTACAATTTTATGGCCGTCCAAGGTTGCAGTGACTCATCATGGTATACAGACGCAGAGGGAAGGCGAGTGCGTAGGAGTGGGCACACAGGCGTCAGTTACGTTTATTCTGAATCATCCCCCCTCCCTTTTACTTCGACTCATTTGAACGCGCATGGAATCACAACCTTAGTAGCAGCTAACTGGGCGCAATGGGACGTTTCGCTTCCCCTTCCCGTGCAAATATCGAAGCTTGGGCAGAGAAGTTTGGCCATTGTATTCGTGATACCCGCACATATTTTGGGGGAAACGTGTTCATTCCTTCCAACACAGCTGCTTGCATCTCAGAACTGCTTTCCATGCTGTTGGTTCATTATAAAAATTTAAATCCCCCGTCCGAACAGAGGCTCTTCCTTTTGAGTCACCATTCGTTCGCCATCGAATCCTTCATTGATGCTCCCAACTTCCATTCCTTCATTAATTCTACCAAGTTATTATTCAAAAAGACGGCTTCTTCGCAAATTTGTCACCGATACTGTAGAACGTGTTTATAAACTTAGAATTATTTACTTTTTCATCAATATGAGGTGTGCGATTATACGTTCTTAATCGGCACTTAACCAGCTCTTTCATGTAAATGTGGTTATTTTTTTTATGCAGCTGACCTGCCCAATAGTCTTCCCAACTCAACCTTGACGCCCATCTTTATTGGTTTGAGCTTTGATCATAGCTATCCTCTAATGCCTTGGTCGCAGCCCAGGTCTGTCTTTCGCATGGCTGGTTAGCCTCTTTCCTACTTTATCTATTTGTTCAACCATAACACTCTCCCCGGATCTTTCAATGATGCCTGGTTTTTTACACTTCCGATTCTTCTAAGAAAGTTAGTATTTGATAAGCAACTCTACCCCCTCCTTGATCCGTAATCTAGCAGAAATTTAAGACAGTAGTTAAGTCGGTAAGCATAATTCATAATAATGAAAGACTGCCAAGGTTACATGACACTCCTCAAGCTGTGTAGGTAATGCGTTTCGATTTTTCATTCGCGTTGATACCGCGGGTCTTCGTTGTAATAAACACAAGTCGATGATAGAAGCATATTGCCATCCTTCTGCCCCCCCCCCCCCCAAGTGGCTGATTTCCAGCGTTTACACTTGTTTTTTTTGGAATTCAGACGATGAATGAGACCACCTTGTTCCTAGGTTCTCACTATTCTCTACAACGTTACGTATCTCCATTACTTCTTAGGATAAGTTGAAATGGTTTTGGCCGGCTTTTCACATCTCATCAGGATTTCGACGGTGGCAAATTATTGGCATAAGTACCTATCACTGAGTGGGCTTTTACTTGTGTGGTGCAAAGCGTCGGTAATAAATTTGTTTAATACGTCCTTTTTAAGCACTTAGTGGATCTTACAATCCGATAATGTGCAGTTAGATCTCTGGTATTTAATCATACGACCATGTATGTTGAGATAGCACTAAGTAGAGTGCTTACCACGGCGATTTAGTACATTCAAGCTGTTCATACCGAAAAATACTTTGCTGACTACTATCTCTCATGGCCTATGCGACAAAACGTTTCCCAGTTTGTTAGTTGATTCTGTCACTGCAGCCAAACTGTCGTTTAGTAACCAAGTTCTACTGTGGTATTTGGTGCCTATTTGGCCACCCCGATGGCATTCCAGCTACCTTTCGGACATCTTTTCGTTGTGCCTCGTGCCAATTTTTTGATGCCAAAATCGCATAAACAGGGTGGGAAGTGCACAAATGTTTCTACATAGCCTGATCCCCCCCCCCCCCCCACAACCTAGTACATTGGCGCTATTATTTACGAAGAGAGAACTTGATGCCACTAATGGCCGTTTTCATGGTTTCTCAGTAGAGTAAGATAACACACTGTTGTTTACAATGGTGATATCAACACTGAACTCTCTATCACCTTGACATCTCGACAGCCTTTCTCACCTCGAATAGAAAATCAAGTAGGCAGAATTGTCTGATTGTTGCATACTCCACCAGGGTGATGCGTACATTTCGCAAAAATGGCACACATAAATACGCTAAAAGGCACCCACCTGAGACTGCGAAAGAATGTAATCAACGCACATCCAGAAGAGGTCTACTATGCCCTAATACTTGGCCGGTAGAAGTTGCGTTTTAGTGAATCATTCCCACCAAGTCTTGGTGAAAGCCTAGGTCTATCTTACAACCGGTTCGCCCGAGAGTAAATGCAGCCTGATTTCTACTTTTCCCCATAAGTACTGCACCTCCAATATCGATGCTGGATACGAATGCGTGGGATCCGAGGGTCGGACTTCCTTGACGTGTTTGATCCTTGTAAGCGGTGGAAAGAATCCCAACAATCGGGCATTTCTGTATTGAAACCAAGCTTAGGGGTGTGTTTCGTTACATTTAGCGGGGCTTGTTTATCTATTAATCATGTGTTTCTTCTTTAAAATTCCTGTTGATTAGTCCTTTTCCTACACATTGCCTTTGCTGGTGAGTTGGATTTATTGGCCAGCACCTCTCATTAGTCCCTAAACAAATACCATCTACTACTTTGCTGGGAGCGAATTTTCCGATCAAAATTGCTTCTTTACCGCGTTTGCAATGACAAAAACAGTATTATTGTCTTTTTAACAAGAATTCTAGTAAGGAGGGGGCTTGACATGATCTAGGAGACTGGTTCTTTCGAATGCTTTTTGGTGTAACGAATTATGGCTTGAGAGTTCTGGTTTTCATAACCACGAGCTTGAGGTCATAAAGCAGATTTCCTTATCACATAAACATGCATATAGTTATACTTTTTCAGCTGTATAGGACGCGCCAAGTCAACTTACTTCGCAGGCTGCGGACGTTGTAGAAATAACAGCACAAGGGTGGAGGCGTTAGTCATTGTCTTGTTTTTGTTAAGTATCTATCTGATAGAACTTGGACTGGAGTCGGCGTGATCTCGGTGACGGCTTGTGTTAAGTTTGCATTTGCTTGTGCTTTCAAAGTCCAGGAGAGTTTTTTAAATCTGTATAAAACAGCTAACTTGTTCATTAATGAGGACCATTCCTTTGATAAGAGAGTCAACGAAATACGGTGGAATAGTTCACAATGTCCACTAACTAATGCTGGTAATTCAACACCTTGCCACATTCGCTCTCACCCCCTAAAGCAGAAGTTAGGTGGACTTCCGGGAAAGTGCGACAACACACTTGAGGTGTGCATGAGCACTTATTATGCACACTTTTTTGTGATTCTTTAAAGGCCTTCCCAAAACCGCCTTCTCTAACTCGCACCTTGTTTCAAAACAGAATGACAGTCGGGTTGTTTGTGTTGTCTGTGTCATTTAACCAGCATCTCTCGTTTGTTAAGACTACATCTAGTTGTGTTAAAACTGCAGCACTGGTGGAAGTATGGGGAGAAAGTAGGACTCAGGCTATTTCATTTGATTGTGAACGTAGTTAGATATCTTGAGTTTGGGCAAATCCATCGAGCAATTCGCTCTTCAAATGGCTTTTCTAGACGTAAACCTTTGTAAATTGTGGTTGATGGTCGTATTAATTAGCCCATTGAGGGGAGGATAAAAGTCCCCAGCTTTTATAATTAAATGTTTGGTACAACCCACACTTCTTTGATTTCTGTGAATTTAGAATGAACAGAAAATTTGCTCCTCTAACTGTTTTTCCATATGTAAATCTATCGTATTGTAAAATTTGCAAATACATAGTTACACAATTTCTTGCCGCTCTGTTTTAGGCTGGAACATGGGCCGATCAGTCAAACTTTGATTTGTACCGTGTAATCAGCTTTTCACTGCCCAAATCCGGGCTATTACACCTGCCAAAAGTTTAATAAATTTCCGATTTAGTGCAGGTCTGCCAGCTGTTGAAGGCAAAAACGCGGATTCCCTTGCGTCGGCAAGTGAACATTTTGACGTGCGTGACCTACTACAACCGTCGTTATCGCGTTGGCGTGGTATAATTTGGGGAAATAATTTTAAATCCTCGCGGTTGCTTTAAGTTCCCATCTCCCTTTCACAATTACGACGCTTTTTGCCAACGTTTGCTTGTTGACATTTTTTCCGCCATATTATGCTCTTTGGAGCATCTCACTTAAAATGCTTAATGAAGGATACGAAGAGGTTGTTTTGGTGCCACCACCTCAGCAACGAGAACGGGAAGTGATTAAATTGCATTGAAAGGCGTTTTACACATCTCGCAAGAGGTGATTTTCTGCCTGGAAGAATCAACACTCATTTGGCAAAGTTTCCAATGAAATACAATTGACCCCATGCAGTTTGGGCAGCTCTGTCCTTCATCACTTTATTCTGGTGCACCTGGTACAGCAGACGCTCATCTGCTAGTCAAATGGTCGAATTCCTTGAAACTACTGTAGTTAATTAGGACACTTTACAAAATAGGTTCGGTACTAAATATGCCTTTGAAACAACTGAAACGTTAGGTAGTTAGGGAATAAAATATTCAAAAATGAGTATGGGAGGTTGATTTACTTTACTATAAATGAAAAAAAAGAATCAAGTTGGCGGTAGAATTATAGAAAAAATGGCTTTTCGCTGTCTCATCAACGTAAACAAATAGCAATCCCTAGTTCTACGAGCGAAAGCGAGGCGCTTTTCACCAATTTAAAGAGCTTTTGCATTGTCTGGTGGATACAATGTCTCCAAGTAATCACGGGCAGCGATGGTGCTAAGTTGTCTTCCAAGAGTATTACCTATCCTTCCGACTGCATTCGACATTCGTTGGTTATAACTGCCTGAGGCTAACGCACTGGATTAGGACATGTTGAGAAGTAGTCCTGGAACAAAGGGAACTTTTGGAGTCGTTGGAACAGATTATGCTTCTGAACCTATTCTGCAGGTAAATTGGCTATCCCGTACTTGATAACTCCTTATTTTTCCCACAATCTTACTTTCGGCTGTTCTCTGAATTCAATTCCAGCTCCATGTATCTGCTTCGCTTGAACTAGCTTTAGTCGCTTGTCTTGCTAAGGGAAAGGGAGACGCTGACATGAATTTTATGCAGGGGAGGGAAGAAAGTGTGGGTTGTCAAAACGACAAGTCATTTTTTTGGGTTAAAATCCTAGCCCTGGAGCTTTTAGTTTGCCTCAACATTTTGTCACTTGCGGTTGACCGAAGCGCTTCATTTCCGCTTTTTACTTGGATCACCGCTCCACTGGCTGGTTATTTGGTCTGCGAAGTGGTAAGTGATTTTAAGGATGAGGGAAAAACTATTCATAGTGGATTTCTCCTGTATACGGAGTGCAAGCGATCCAAATGTGTTGTGGGCTGGCGAATTGAAGCCCTGTCGGCGGTGTTGAGTAATATCCTGCAAAGATCTTCACTACCTAGTCCTGATCAATTAGTTTTCATCACATTTGCCTCCAAGGGCTCAAAGGCAAATAGGGTTGCCACAGACTATAGCGTTTGGCTACCTTGATATGACACCAAACTTCACTCATTTTTCCCATTAGTTCAAATATAGTTATTTCTCTGATCAAGAACATCCAACATTTTTTATTGTTTCTGATTCAGCCAAGCCGTTTGCATCCCAATTTGGTGCATATTAGCTATCACAGACTGGTACAGAGGGCATCACATATTTTTGACTTGTGGACTAGGCTAACACCGGTGGCAAACATCGAGAAAGCAGGATTTATGATATCAGTATCGTGCTTTCTGTCTCAGCTTCCAGAAGATATGCGTATTGGCGGGCAGTGCCGATCTTCTAAACACTATTCGATGCCTTCAGTGTAGAACCTCAACTTCGCTCTGCATTTAGTGGGGAGACCGGAAGTTTGCTCTAGGTGAGAGCAATTTGTGGAAGGAGTGAGAAACCATATTAATGAGTTGAGATTCCATCCAACCTGCTGACGCGTGGTTTTGGGCTTGGATGTAACCATTCTTGTAAAAGTTGGGCGCTAAACCGTCCCGTCTACGAGTAGGGCTTCGCGTGATTGCTAGTTTAACTTGATTAATTGCAGAACTCATTTTGGCCAACCTACTGACAGGTAAAATAGCGCCCAATTCGCTTCTCTTTTGGTATGTCACTTTCTTTATTGAAGTGAAGTAGTTGAGCATTGAAATGGGAGGAGTTTTGGCAGATGTGCTTTTTTACGACTGGATGTTTGTGAAAAGTTTCACCCTTTTGCTAAATTGACTAGCTTTTGAAATCTGTTTTTGTATTTACAAATTGGTGAAACCGAGCTTTATAACTCAAAAAAAATATGCAAATTTTTTTACTGGGAACTTGATAACTGTCACTATTATCAAAAAAATCGGGAAGGCATGGCACAACTCTCATCGGTTTCGTTGACAAGAGGCTGACGTACCTGACATCAAATAATGGTCGAGAATGAGCCCTTTGCTTTTGCCACGGAAGCCTTTTTAGCAGTGTAGACTGGAGTACCTTTTATATAGCCATGACACTCAAGAAGGGCACAGTCTCAAAATCTGTTTTTCAACTAAGGTAGTTGGAATAGCTCAGCTTTTCAATCTTCGGTGAAAAGTACAACTAAGGGTTGAACTAATCGTACTTTATTGGGGTTTGAATGCAAAATATCTGAGCTGTGTTGGAAGGACTGCTGTCACAATAATTCTTTGCGGATATGTGCGTTAGTATTCGTTTTGAAAAATACCAATCTTTTTTTCGAATTTTACAAGGTTATTGGGGTACAGTCTGGCTGATTTGGCATGAAAAGCTCTCGTCTCGTGGCTTGGAGAAGCCATGCCATCTACGTGTTTACTGGTGACCGGAAAGATTCAGGGTCTAGCGAAGCACAGTTTGTATTGGTCATTATTCTGCGAGGCATCACACCACCTCAGGATCATGTACTTCGTGGTTTAAGCATGGAATCGTGGAATTGCGAATAAAGAGGCCTTTATTAATATAATTCATTTGGGAGGAGACATTAATGCAGGTTTATCAACTACGTGTAGTGTTCCCCAATTTAGGCCTTAACACGGGTTGTTGCTGGTTCTACTGTTACAACCAGTGGCTGACTACCCACTTTCTAAAATTATTAAATAAAACTGCTTATTTTTGTGCTAACCGACTTCAAAATTCTAACAGTCGTTCGCCATGTCTAGATTTCGTCCTTTTGTTTCCCTGCTGGATGCGTTTTGCTTCCAGATGTTTACAAGTTCGCTCAATTGCACACGTTTGTAATTTGCCTCTCCAAATTCGTACAAGTCCAAAACACTTGCTCTCCTGTGCTTAAATGTAAACTTGGTGGTTACCTTTTTTACAACTGCTTGTTCTTACTCAATCAAGTCAAAAGTGGGCCTGTGGGTGAACAAGTTGCATCTAGCCGTTTTCTGTTAACACTGGGTAAAGTGGACTAGTTTTTCTGCTCTTTTTAAATTAAAAGGAATATTTTTCCCCTTAAATCCAGTTAGAAGCTGAGTTAAGGCATGATTTTTTAGCTTTGCCGATTTGAGATTAAAATCACTGATATCTCACGTTGACTGCCCACTTTTATTTGTCTCATTTTTTTCTACTCTCTCCAACTTTTATTCAGTTTAGTGTTTTTTTTCTTGAAATCCATAGTGCCCTTGCCTAATTTAATTCCCGTGTGTCAACCTCTTTCTTGGGAAAAATTGGCTTAATATGCCTTCGTAGGCACAAATTTGTCAATAAAATAAAAATGTGCCTTCTTTCAAATGTTGTTGAGGGCTTCGATTCAAAAAGAAGGAATAAGACAATGGCACGGCCCCCTCTCGCTTTATTTGACAACTGAATGGGATTACTGAGTTCCAGTATGGGTAGACTAGAATACCTCTAATTATGCGTGATGTAAGTTCGGCCTAAAAGCTGAGTGTTTTCCTTTTACCTCAGAGGAAGGGATGTTTTGTCAAAGGTTGAGAAATTTGCATCTGTTCTGGTCCTCAAGGCCTCCTTCTAATTAATACAATTGGAATGACCTATAAATAAAGCAAGGGTAGAGTGGGTGATCACAGCATCTGAACTGGCATTCAATTGGCCCATCCTCTCTTTTTATGGTGGGTGCGTAATCGAACACGCTCACATGTAATGTGTGTGTGTAAGAGGGAGTGTAGGCGTGCCTTTTTTTCCTCACCGCTCTTGAACTCTAATTGCCGGCAACTTTTGCGAACACCGCCTATCCGCTCATACACGAACACGGTTTGCAGACCATCTAGTCCCCAGCATGCATCCCTGCGTGCGTGGACGCGCTCACGGGGCTCTGCAGCCGTCTTCTGTAACCCTTGAAGCACCCATCGCGTTCGAGGCTAAATTCCCTTCTGAACGAGGTGGTGAGATGTTCGGTAAAACATCATTTATCTAATTGAAACAGGGATTTGTCATCTCCCATATTTTGTGGCTGGAGATTATTTCATCTTGCAAATCGCTCATCCTCTTTACTAATTAGATTTGATGGAATAGTCACGCTCTTTTAAACTTATTTAAACTTCAAATTGTCGGGAATTTTTTGCAATATGACTTACTTGATAGGCTGGAATTCCGTAAGTTCGGCTCAAGGGGACGAGTCTGCTATCCCTCTTTTTCAAGTTGTCTTTTCATATTCGTCATCAAATTCTCTTTTGATCCAGTTAATTTACCCACCTCCATAAGTAGGAAGGGTCAATCGACTGTTCAACTCAAATCGAAGTCCGCCAACTTGTTTGTCTTCATTGTCTCATCTACAGATGTGCTAATTATCACCTGCATTAATGCGGAAATACTTCCTCTCTCCAAAGTTCATTCCTCAGGCTGGCGACTAAGGAGTTCTTATTTACACATCCATTTTTATTACGGTATTATGAGAGGGTCTATCATTAAGCTAAAGATGAGGATTACGGATTCTGGAGTTTTGTGTCACCTTTAAATAAGTCTATTTATGGTGTCCATTTGTGTTTGTTTGGATAATTACTATCTCAGTATCCCTCGAGGTGGCCTAATTGATAGATCGAAATACGAGTAATCTGCCGGGGAGAAAAGGGCTTCACCTTCCCGCCTACTTCAAGGCTGATTGCGAACCCAAAATCACACAGATTGGCGTTGGAAGATTTATGAATGATGGGGATTTCACTGATAACATTGTGGGGGTAGCGGTCTGGGGGGGTTGTCGAAACACGCGAATTTTTGTAGTCATGCGTCTATTTTCCCCATAATCAAATGTCGCCTTGACAGAATGAGAGTGTCGGTCAGCCAGCTTGGGTTTTACACAAGATTGTATTCTTTGCTTCCAACTTTAGATCTTATGTTGTAGACAATAAGGAAACTATCTTCCTGTGCATTGTTTACCCATTTCAAGTTGGATGTGCTTCCCTTTTTAACCGAATAGTCATGCTAATATGTCACTCAAAAAGATTCGAGAAGTATTCACCCTTCTCAGTGGGTTGTTTTGTAACTCTCACATTACCCCTTTAACATTGAGATATCCACATATGGAGGTTGGTTTTGGCCTTCAGTGAACAGAGAAATTGGGGGACTGGTAGCAGAGCCCCATACCACCGTCGTGAAGACTGAATTAGGGGCGACTTAAAGACCTACATCGACGCGACTAAAGCTGAAAACGAATATTGATAGAACAACTGTCGTGTAAGAATGGGAAAGGGAGGGAGAGAAAGGGATATTTCATTAGCCAATCACCATGTTTAATTAGGTGTTGTTTTATTATCTCTGTCAGTATTTTCAAGAAAGCTCTCTGCCCCCTGCCCGCTGGTAAAAGGTCTTTTTCCTACCTCTTTAACTTTGCGCAAGATGTATGGGATTAATTGCCATTAGAATTATCACACTAAATCTCCCTGTTTTGCTCAATTTTCTCCAAATCTGAATGATACAGTTTAAGTCGTGTCGTCTAGATTCCCTAATTTTATCAAAATTGACTTTATTGGACTATTTTGCTGACCCTTTTCACGCAAAAACTTACTGGTTCATCTCCTTTCCTCCGACTGACTGACTTAAATATGATTTATGACCTAATGGTTAACAAAGATTGCTCTCAGAGGTACCCAGGATGTAGAACATCTTGTGTTATTCCACGAAGTTAGATGTGGGAACGAATCGAGTGGCCTATGAGAGCGCATTTTGATTGGCTGCTGGCTTTTCAGCACCATTTCAGCTCCTAACACTTCTTCTGTGATTTTAGTAACTTTTTTCCTTCCTCATACTCACAAAATTGCCTCGAAGTCAAGACAAGATTTCCTCAACTAGTGTTGTAATATAAAGGTTGTTGTGATATTCGACTTCACTCACTTTTCCCTCCGAACTGGCTCCCAATTTCGTTTTATCTTCAAGCATTCAGAACTCTTCTCCCTAACTTCTAACTCAAATATTTCATATTCCAAACATTATTTTGTTCATTTAACCAATAAAAAATAAGGCAGCATCACCTCCAACCTGTCGTTCTGAACGCAGGACACCTTGTATATTATATGAGATGCTAAGGTGTCGTGAACTTTTTAGTTAAAAGACTGTGCAGACTTCTTTTCCTTCTGGCTTTGGAAACTTCGAACTCTGATTAATTGATTCCTAAATTCGGCTCAAATACGTTATATTTAGTAACTTTTTGGGCATTTATGACATACATTACTTCATGTTCACAAACCCAAACCCTGCATACTTGAAGTACCTAGGCATGCATTAATTTACCTCTCATATCTTCTCTCTTCATTTAATTTCATTTTTCCGTCACAACTTACACAATTGATGCGTAAATGTGGTACGTAAAAACTGCAAAATTAAGCAATTTGCCTTTTTTTTCCCGGTGGACAGAGAGGTTATGCGTCCGGTATGGTGCCCTTTGTCGTGCCCTCTACTACTTTTCTCTTGTTTTCTATCCTTGCATCACCACTTGTCGGTTGAATCAAACTGATAGTTGTGATCCGGGGTTGTCAGCTTCGCGAACTGAGCTTAAACCGACTGCAGATTTTCAGAAGCTTCCCTTCAATTTCGCTGTGTGGCAAAACGTATCGTCCGGAAATGATTCAAACAATTTGATTCTAGTGACGGCCATTTACCATAAGATAATGCATCACGCCTAGAAGAGGCCTCCATTTTAGAACACGGAGAATTAAAATAATTTGAAGTCGGCGTTTCAATAAGAATTGTAAGCAATGTTTGCCTCAAGGTGGTCAGTAAAAAATTTCGTTTGCATCTACGCTAACCTTTTGGGAAGAGAAAATCGTGATTAAAGCCACGCAGCTGAGCCGATAAATTCTACATGACACACAATAAGAGGGAACAGATGATGGGCTTAAAAGTAACAATTTGTTCCTCGCTCACACATGCTGACTGATTGTGGATTTCTGGTTGTTGTGCTTTCGGATTCCATTGTTTGTCCATCCATCAAATGTATCACTGGCTAACCTCAAGCGATCCACTGCCTCTCACAGTTCTGAGCCAAGTGCCTCTTCATCTGTCATCCCCAGATGGCTATGCTTGCTTCGTGGGTGGTGGACCACAGACGATTTGTTCAGTTTCCGAAGGCCTAACATTCATGCTCCAGGTTCATTTACTTGATACGATACACCTTGAAGGTTTCCAAGAAAACCTTATTGTAGGCAGGTCACGAAGAAGAAATTCTTCTCAGTCCTAAAAAATCTGTCTATGAAAGGAGTTGCACCTCGGAATGGGAGAACGGCACCACCTTACCCTCTCCGTATTTCCCAGGTGTTTTTTCCGAATAATTTCCGTCTTCTGCTGGTACTAACGTTAGGAAATCCGATGATTCCATGGGAAATAGACGGTTAGGAAATAAAAGTGGGGTCGCTGATGGGTTGAGTTCGGTTGGATTGTTTGCTTTCATAGATAAAAAATTGTGGAAGAGTGGAATATGCAGCAAGTTTGCCTCATTGGGAGGAAATTAGTTTATAGGTTAGAATGATAGTTATTTCGGTGCAAAAGATCTGTTCATGTGACCCTCTTCAGTTATTTAATTTTGTCATAATAACCACACATTTATTTGGACACCTTATAAGATGCCTCTGTCGCTTTTAGCTCCCCACCTACACACCTGCCTCAGTCTCTCTTCTGCTGCACTCCTCCGATGTCGGGAAGGTGAGTATTTTGCCCACTTTCACTTCTGTCAAAAAAGTAACTTGCTCTGCGTATTTCTCCAAGACTTGTCAGACAAATAGTCTGCCTTGCTCTTGTCAAATTTCGCCTTGTTCTTTCCCTTCCTTGTCTTAGCTTCCTCCCTCCCCCCTGTCATGCTCCTCTCCTGATGAGTCAGGCTTACCATCTTATTATGCCTCGTCCTCCTGATCCTCGTGAATCAGTCTGCGAATTGGCAGGAAGTCGCGCTATTTGATTTGGGTTTTTGCATTTGACTGGACCTGTACGGAGTGCCTTGTGTTCCCCTTGTTTTCAGAGTCAGGGATGCAGCGTCCAAGTTTCGCTCTGAAGACGCAATACGAAATAGTTCTGGAAGTAGATTTTTTAAAATTGCATCAGCATAGGGAAACTTATAGCACAGATGGGTTGACCAGAGCTTTGTACTGCGGTTGAAGGCGTTGAGGTGCGAACGAGGACCATTCAACAAATTAGCATAGCAACGAGAAGCCTTCCCAATTCAAGGGCATTTGGCAGTCCGTCGATTTCACTGAATCCGATCACCTAGTCCTGCTTGCGAATTGGACTACGGATAACCATATTTAAGTAATGCCTAAAGCTGGGGCATATTTCGTTTTCAAAGCGTTTTTCGAGGAAATTTTTCCTGTAAACAAAGCTTCAAAAATTTTCCGTGGCTTCTCGCAGCTGTTTCCATGTTCCATTTCGTCTTCGACTTTCTTCGCTGCTTCAATGCCGCTTAATCGCCTACTGGTATCATTATCAGATTCTTGCGAACTATGCTCCCATCATTGTAGTAGACAATTTTATGGAAGCCTATAGTACTTCCAAATCTGGTCTTGTTCCTTTGTTATGGTGAAGATTATGGACCAATTTGGATATCTGAAGTCGGTTTCAAATACCCTTCCATTGTGTATCTGGTAAGACAGTCATCCATGGGAGACGCCTTTCCTGTGTGGTCCTCGACTTGTAGTGATCGGACACTGCCTTACTCCACTATCACTAATGTAACGCTCCAGGCTTGCGATCCTATGTGTAATGAAAGCGAATTGCATTTCGTTCAGTGGCATTTAGTATATCATCTCAGGGTCATTGACGATGCATACTTGCCCTTCTTGATAATTGTTATGGAGCGTGTTTTGTTTGCAAATGTAGGAATTGAACTGTTGCGTCCATGTATCGTTATCAGCGTCATTCGCTTTTGCCCGTTGATGGAATCCCCATTCACCAAGTGATAATAATATTTAATCATCTTAATACCTCGCTGAAGAGGAAGGTAGACTTCTCCTCTGACACTGCTGATTCGCTTGACGTGGTCCAATCATCGACATTATCATGTGATACTGTAGGACTGTCTGATCCACTTTTACTGCGGTTCATTGCTCCTAACGTTCATGCTTGTCTCCCACGTGATGTGTGTGTGGCATCTGCCTCAAATGGTAGCTGATTGTCACTAACTAGGCATTCAGTTGACGGGTGCATGACTAAATTGAACGAAATTAAGTGGACGAATGGTGGAAAAAACTGGTAAATATTCCGATGAGTGGATGGATGAACGACTGCATTTTCCAATTCCCCCTGTGTTTGACCGGTTTTTTCCTAAAAAATTAGTTTTTCTGCTACGTACACGCGACAATACTATATCAACGCATATTCCTCATTCAATATCGGTTTCGCATTTGATATCGTAGTGCCAATTTTTTTGCTATCTGCGAGTCAATCATCATCACCGCCTTCCACCTTCGCAGTGTTGAGGAGTCCAGTTTGGTTACTGCTAGACTATGATTATCTTCAGTCCAAAGCGTTTCTGCACCCACCTTATTGTTTTGCTCTCCTTTTTTGTGGCACAGCTTTATGCAGTCGGTCGCCATAAGCTGGCAAAGAACACAAAGCATGCTTGTGGTGCCGAGCTCAGGCGAGAAACTCTAGATGTCACATTTACAGTAAGCGTTTATGCCAAGACCCTATCCAAACAGCAGCGCTGTCGTGTGCACATTTACAGGGGCGCCCCTTTTTGTGGTGTTTGTTCTGACACAGAAATCGGTCTCATTCCAACTTACCGCTACCGACTAACTGACTCACGTTTGGAATGGTGATTATGCAGCCATTTCAAGACCTTTGATCGAGTCTTTTTCATCCAGAAACTTTACGTTTTGCGTTATTGTTATCAAGTCTCTGCTAGGAACCGCGGTTGCCAAAACTCTAGGATGCTGATAAAGCCTCAGACTTGTCCATATCTCACGTGTCTTGTCATCGACAAGTACGCTTATCTGTTCGTCTCACGTCTCCCATTGATTTAGCCCCTTTTCATTCACTTTCATTCCACCTTAGAGTACCCCCCATGCTTCTGGCTGTCACAAATTCTCTTTCGTGTCTTGACTTGCGTTTTGATTAAAATTTGCGATTCCAACGTGTTTCTTGAACCTATCCTTGCATATCCTTGTCAAGAGTCACTGTTGAGGTTTGAATACCTAGTTATTATCCCCCATCTCACCCTTTATCCACCTCTGCCATCACACCCGAATCCAAAGAAACTGCTTTTTGCTTTCAAGTGTCCGTGTTCTTTTTTGTAAATGCTTAGTCCATATGTAACTTTGTAAGCGGTTTTTTTACTCAAGCACACACGCAAACTATGTGACGATTAGTACAGCAAAACTACTGACTCACCGGTGTTCCGTGATCGTCGGTGGGAGCAATAAGATCGTCATTATCTTGTATTCCTCGTAGAAGCAGCAGTTTTACTTCTATTTAGTGCACTTCTGAATGTCTCTTACTATCACAGGATAAGTTGTTGAACTTGTCCACATTTGTGCCAGTCAATGCACGATCACTCATCTCACTGATTCAAACCTTCGGTTGTTTATTTGGAACGTACTTCACAGTGCTCTTCGTTCATTAAAAAACGCGTCGCTTTCATAAACATTTGTTTTGTATGTGCGGACAAGTTAAGGGCACTTTTTGCAAACTCTTTAGGAATACTATTTCAGGAGCTTTCAGAAAACTGCTTGTTGGGATTTTGATGCGTGGTTGGAAATTGACCTCTGCACCATCGCTTCGCTGCACCGGAAGCTCCTTTTTCATCATTCTTAAACGTATTTTACTCATTAGGTATTCATGAGCAGCTCGAAAATACTTCATTTTAGGCTTTTCCCAAATGACTATTTGACTGCAGGTAGGCGAAAGAAAGAAGCGATAGCATAGCGATAAAAAAATTTGTCTTCACTTCATTTACTTTCCTGAAGACTTTTTTATTGCGATTCTGCCAAAATTCTTTACATTTTAAGTCACCATGGCGTGAAAATTGAGGCTACCCCAAGTAATTGCGTTTTCCTCAACTAGTCTCAGATGCTGGTCTCTACAAGTTGAGAACGCTGCCAGGATGACTCTACCAGATTGTTGTTTGTGCAGTATCCCCATTCCGTGGTTTTTTTATCCTACTTTGACTCTTCTTGGTTGAAACACTTTGAACACAGTATCCATTGCTCATCTGATCTAGACTGTTTGATTTTTCTTTGTTCGAAGCCCTTCTTCATTGGTATTTCCTTCAAACGAATGAAAGTGGTTCTATTGCTGGTTTTTAGGTAGACAAGGAGGCAAATTAGCCGTTAAATTTTATGAGGTTTCTTCTTTCCTTGTTTTGTGGTCAATGAAACCCTCTTTAACTTCGTTTACATTTTAATTTCTTCTTTGAGGGCAATTTTAAATTCTGTGTATTTTGAAATTCCTGGTCAAAAAAATTGTGCCAACTAATCAGATGTGATTTGAGCTTAGATTCGTTATCGCTAAATCATCTATTCTCCCTTCTACCACCGCTTTAGTGCATTGGAAGCTACTTTTTGACAGTCGTGGGCTTAACTTCACCGAAAAGATTCGGACATTAAAAGGAGCTGACCGGAAGCAGGAACTGGTAGTCCTGTGTCGAAGCTGCGAGTTCATTTAAGTTACCTGATCGTGTGCTATTTATTAACTTATAGCCACTTAATGCTTTCCGTGGCAAAAATGTTTGCTATCGTTGTTTCGAATTTTTCTCATTTGGACTCAGTGGGCAGGCTAGAATGGGCGAAATAAGTGCGTTGACTACATCATTTTGTAGCGTCCTGAGACTTTTCTGAAGACGGAAAAAGGCGACACTGGGGTAGAATATGTATTATCGCCATGCAGAAAGGGTGAGGGGCTGCCGGCATTCCCCGATGGCCATGCTGCTGAGCATGACCAAAAGAGAGTTAAGCAAACAATCGAAGCATTGGAACTGTTTTTGATCTTCATTTACCGGTTTTGAATTCATTCCCATGTTCTTTAGATCTACCAGTGTCCTTTTCATGTATCAGCATAATACTTTTAGGATTTCGCTTTTCATCATCCTCGCTCCTTCGAGTTTTCTACGCGTTTCGACTCCATATACGGTTGAACTTAGGAATTCTGCATGTCCACTTGCCTTGTCTCCGGTTTATTGTCAAAATTACACGAGGTATGAGGTGAGGTATAGCGAAAGGTTAACTGAGTGGATTAAAAACACCTTTCCGGGTCGTTATAACAGTTAATTCGTCCACCGTCTGTCTTACAGCCCGTAAACAGGCTTGTGGGCTAGAATTTCCTCTGAAGAAGCCAAAATTGCCAGTTCCGTGTTATTCGGTTGGCACGATTAAGTTCGCCGCTCATTTTCATCACTAGCGGCTTTAATTTCACCGTGAGTGCCCTACAGAAGAGCCCTATCGTCATTATTCTGCAGAATTTGTCCCTTGCTGACAGGATATGTGATTGAGGAATGAAGGAAGGTATATCATTAGCGATTCTGTTGAGGTCGAAAAACAGATTTATTATCATTGAACCATCCACTCTGCAATCTGCATGAATTAACTTGCAGAAGTCAATGCTTAAAGAAAGCAAAAAATTAAACGTAATAGCTGGAATGACCAAATGTATTAGGACTCTATAATTTTTGCCAGGCATAAAAATATTGTGATTACCCCTACAATTTCCAGTAGTAATAGTGATTTCACTTTTGTTGTGGTCCCCTTTTTAACAGTTCTTATTCCGTGGTTGGCATTTTTTTAGTAGGTTCTTTAACCTCTCATCAGTTCCTTCTCGAAATCACATCATCAACTGCTATGTTAGAATGTGAAGGCATACTTCCCGCTGGTGGATCGTGCCTCCCACCTACTGTATACGTTAGCTCATCTTTTCGCATGTCTGGTTAGTTTGAAACACTTTGCCACAGCCTCTAGCTCTTGATGTGTTAACGCGTTATTCTAAGCAAGTAAGGAAGCAAAAGCGTGAGTTATTTCTTTGTGAGGAGGGGCTAGGTGCTCCACCTTTCATGTTTCCCATAGCGCTATCAGTAGCCATAATAACGACATTGGTTTTGTTTGCACAAATTGTCTGCGGCCTTTAGCATGTAGATTCGCGTGTGAGTTATCACCTCTGGTGTGCCAATGACTGTAAACTGGCCACAACCACCACCACCACACCTGATTCCGAGTTGCAGGTTAGGACATATGCAAGACCTAAAGATGCACATCGAAATTTATGCATTATTTCCTTTGAAATGGACAGGAACATTCGCAAATCCCGAACTGGCATATTTTGTCCCTCACCTTTCAGCCCTGCCGAGTTGACTACGAACTGAAAGTCTACGTGGTAGACGAGGATGGCTCCCGAGTACAAAAGCGGTGAGTTATTTGATCTTTATATGTTCTGTTATTTGAAGCTCCCGCGGTAGCGGCGGTTGCTGTCTTGATTGTTTGCGATGGTGCTTTGTCTTCTGTTTCCCCTCCGTTCCTTTTTCGCCCACGCTATGAAATTGGTGGGATAGAGGATATACGTACACGACAATATTAACCCACACTCGATCACCTCCTCCTTTTTTCTTGCGTCGGCAATTAAGAATTAACGTTTTGATTAATTCCTTGAGTACTGGTGATTTCCCTGGGTCACGAGTTTTAGTTCTATTGCAATCTAGTTTCTCGATAGGTAATTTGTATTCTTAGTGTCACCTAAATCAAATTGGGAAGCCATGGTGTAATATTTTAGGAATCCATGCATGCTGTAAGTGATGAAGCTATCTCGCTGAAGCATGTATGGTTCCTTTTGAGTGTTCCAAGTATGTGGATCATTAGATCTTCTACGGAATGTGGGAGTTGTAACATTGTTCCCACTAATTTGCCTCGACTGTCATAAATAATGGGTAACGCAAACATGTCCGCTTTCATCGGTGGTGCTTCTTTTTCCATGCCCTTGGAAATACCTTTATGACAGGCATAATGAGTTCTTATTTGCCTTTCAAAGCGGAAAATCACCCAAGATTATTTGAGAAAGACGCATTATTAAATGCATCATGGTTGCAGGACCAACTCTGTACGCTTTTTGGTAGCGAATTTCGAATGAGGGGACCTAGGAAGCAAAGCACTTGTAGTAGCATGATTGTGCATACTTTCGACTATCCGCCTCTTAATCATGAAAGTTGCGCGAAGGAGCAGACTTATGTCTCTTGGGTGCTTTTTTGAACCTAGAGGTAGGCAACTGCTGCGAATGTTTTGATATCGGGCGCCACGTTTATTCTAAGTTCTTGGGGAAATGTGGGGTGCGAAATTACCATTTTTAGCAGTTCATTCTGATTTTCTGAGGAAGATTGGTAATTTTGGTAATATCTAATACTTTGAAAGGTTTTCTTATCTCGCCACAACGATAACCATGCAACGTATGTGGCAAACTATTCTTGGTACTAAATACGCAAGATTTGGTGTCATTTAGAAGAAATTCAATCCCATAATCCCTATGATTAGTGGTTAAAGCAATGTGAATGATGTCAGTTTTATACATCAAACATTTATGCGGAGGCCGGAGAGGGAGATGAAATTTGCTTTAAAACCAAACTGGTGTTTAAAAGTTTTCTCTCAACCATCCAAGGTAACCTATGTTTCATCAGCGATTTTTCGACAAAAATTGCCATGAATGTTTCATTTAATTTGTCTCTTTCCTAAATCATCGTCCAATTTGGATCAAAGTCCACCATAGTTGCAGGTTCCAGAGGTCTTCTAAAGCAGTCCATTTGTGATGGGTTAATTTTGTTAATGGCTGCATTAAAGATACGGGGAACGTGTAAACACACTAGCTTAATGTGGTGTTTAACGCTCGATGACCATATCTTGATATGGCTAGTGGTGAAATTCTTTGCACTTAGCAAAGGTGGCGCATTTAGTTGAGTAAAGTCCTTTTCGAGGCAAACTTTCGTATAATGTAATGCTAAAGGGCAGACTATCGTCTTCATTTTTGATTCCCTGTCGGAAGCATCTTGTGCTCTCACATATTGCTCTCTTAAGCTGAGTTTCTGCCTATTTAAAATTGTAGGAAACCATGCTGTTTACCCTACTCATATGAAGGCTGCGAGACATTCATTTATCCAGATCACCCATAAATGGCCCCGACTTTTAATGGACGCCCGCATGTCATAATTTTATGTTCCGTTTAGTCGACACCACGGACGTTGACTGCTTCGGTGGATTTTCGCATGCTGTTAACTCTTCTGTTTGCTAGTGGTCGAATTACAGCCCACGCGTAACTTTCATAGGGCATAAATGCTGAGTTTCTCCAGTCGTCTCGTCCCATGAAGCAAGATTATAGATTAGACTTTAAAAGCAAATTCAAAACAGCACTGAGCCTACAAATTGAAGAAACTAACTTCAGCTGTCAAACGTTTAATGGCATAGGATATTTGGTGTTCACTTTACTGTTATCATCTCATGGTTCAATGTCGAACCACAGAACTTTGAAAGAGCCAAATACCCGTGTGCATAGGTAGAACAAATTTCGCCCTCCTACATAGTCGCAGCCTCGTTTTAGGCATCATCTCTGGCACTCCTCGCCTATGTTGAGATCAACCTTTGTCACAGCAAGAAAGCTTTCGGAGTTAGCGATTGTTGTGCATAATTGATTTTGTTGGGTTTGCCTATGTTAACCCTACTGGAACGACTCGTTTGGTATGCATGGGTCGAGATTGGACAATTTTCGTAAGCGGAGTCATTTTGTGTGCTTTTCGCTTTTCGTAACAGTGATACATGTTACCATATGACTTGCCGAAGTTACGTTCAGACTTCGTGTCTTTGCTCTACTTCGTTGCTACCCCACCATATTCGAAGTTTATTCATGCTTCACTGCTACCATAGAGATGCTGTAAGTAGCCTCTGTGAATGGTTTCGTGTCGATTAATTATAGTCTCTCCCACTACTAGTTGTGATGTACAACTTCATCAAATGTCGGCTTGGGTTTAATGGCTTTTCCATGATCTCTTATAGTCTTTTTTCCCATTCATTTAGGAGTGTGCGCCCTTTAAGGCACCAGTGATAGCAAGGATGCTCTTTGCAAAAATTGAAACGCCAGGATACATCCTCCCGAACTGTCACCAATAGTAGTGCCCAAGTCGTCTTTGCAGACCTCATAAGGTGTATGAGTCCTGACGTAGGTTTCTTACACACAGCGAAGAACTGGAACGCCTCATGTTATCGTTGCGAAGGTTGAATTACGGCAGACCGAAATGGCTCGCTGTATTTTAATTAGTATGTAGATATTTTTATCGTGGTTGCTAATCACAACCTTGGGTATTTTGTTTTTTGGTGAAGAGCTCTCGTTTCCCAAATCTTTACTAGATAGTATTCACGACCAAGGGTTAACACGTATCCTAGGCGATATTGACAGGTAGGAAGATGTTTGTATCAAGTGAAATATGAATCCGCTTTCCTTTCACAACTGCTAGATCAGAGACCCTTCTGTCCATGGGATAAATAAAAATGTACCATTACGTAATTTAATCCCATTTATGACGTATTTACACCACATTATCGTTTTCTCGTCTTCCACGGAGAGCGAATGTTGTTCTTTCCATCATAAGCAATAAAGTCATATCAGGAGGCAAATAGTTAGTCATTAAAAATTAATGCAGAATGCTGCATGGAAAACACGGCTTTGGCATTAACTAAGACTATACACTAAATGGATCTACTGGGCTCCAGTAGCGCATTTTGAAATGTCTTAATAAAGCCTTAAACCATGAATTAGTAGGAGGTTTTTATTGCACAGGAGACTGTCCTGGGTTAAGATCAAAGGGTTAAGTGTCAAGGCCCTAAATTTGAACGAAACCGTTGCGTCGTAAACCCGCGTCCATTGGCTGCTTCCGATCTTGGCGTCTGCTACTGTTTTAGTGGCTGCAACTAATTGATGGAGCCAAGGAGTTTTGAATTAACGGAGCAGATGACAAAGGAGAAATCATCATATTTATTACCCGTTGATGCTACACTGACGCTTCCTCTTTCATCATTGAGTGTTAGTGTACTTTACTTTTGCTCCTGAAATCGTACACCCTTAGCAGATGTTCATGGCCAATTTATGAGGCATTTAGTAGTCGTGCTCAAAATACCCACCTTTGTCGGTAAATATGCTTGTACGCGGCAATTTTACCGACATTACATTTGCAACTAACTCATGTTTTGGCTGCAGAATAGCCCCTTATTTAATGAACATTTTGTATTGGAAACACGAAAAAGTCGGTTTTCCCTATGTTTGTGAATGTGAGTTCTATCACATAATTGGCGGCACAAATAGATCAAAACATGGATAAGTCAAGGGCTCCATTGTATCTGAGGCATGGTAGATGCTAGAAATTAATGACATACAGAAGGATGAAATAAATACACATTAGCAGCTACGAGGTTCGGAGTGCATTGTTATCCCAGCAATGATTTTTGGTAATGTGAAACTATTCTGAATTGTAAGGAGGCCTTGAATTAAACGAGTAAAGGTTTAAAGAAAGGTAGTTTGTCTTGCCGTAACGATAGGTTGGAGGTACGTGTCCGTGTCTTATTCATCCACGAAATGAGGCATTTCCTTCGACTATGGCTTGTTATTAATGACTGAGTAATGTTAGATTAAACCTTACTTTTTTGTCTAGTCCTGTTCATTGCATACTCAACTCCCATTAACGTTGTTACGTTTGTTGTTAAGGCTAAATGTCTTTTTATGGATTCAATTCCTCCCCTCCCCCTTTCGGATCTCATTTACAGCGTTATGAGGCAAATGACCTAGCATTGCAAGCCACTAGGCTATAAGTAACCCAAGCACTCAATATATTCTCATCACTACCTCGGTTCCACACCTCAGTTTGTAGTCTGTGTTCTCAATCTACTTGCCTCATTCTCAAACATGAATTCTGTCACAGACTCACGGACTGGTGGTGTAAACAACTCAAAGAATCCAGGAACGAAGCTGATGATTTTGTAACTGTTCAGTGGGCGAGAAAATACGTCACCATAGGCTTGAGGTGAGATGGAGTTATTGGATATCCAAGATTTGCAGTGGAATTGAGCATGGACATAGGTAAATTACTCAGAAATTAGCGAAAACAAGGGTTAACTTTGTCACATCCATCGGTAATATTGGAGGTATTGAATTAAATGATCAAATAGTAGAAGAGTTTTTTAATGCCTTTACAAGGCAAAAGGCAAACTATTCTGGACAGGTGTTTGACATAATAACGGCAGAGTATCAAATGCCACACTTGAACCAAATATTGCGTAAAATTTTGTACTCTTGCCCATCCAAGTCACCTTCACAAAACACTAGAGTTAACTACTATCACTATTCTAATGGCAATATGGGCTATCTTTGATCAATCTGCGTGACTTAGGGGCCTAAAATTGTGGTGAACCACATCAGCACTCCATTGTTCTTCCACAAAAGTAGACTGATAATCTTCAAGTCTTTGAGTGTGCGTTCGCGCTAGCGGGGACGTAGGTAGCTAACTTGCGCCCGCTGTGTTGTAGGGAGCCTGAGGTGGGACCAAGGTGGCGGATGCTAATGAGCTCTGGCGAGGTAAAGTCAGATGCATAATAGCAGTACCAATCAGTATGGTGTGTAGGTCTTGAGGCAGCTTTCGAAGCGGTTGCAAAAATAGTGTTTGTCCTACTGTCACAGATATATTTTTTTGCCATCGGGCAGGTTGTCTCTGCACAGCGTTTTGTGCAATAGCTGAATAATACGTGGTGATGCATTGAAGTATTCATTTGTTTTCCTTTCGTCTCTTTATTTGTAGGAACTCGGTGCGCATGATTGTGCGCAAGCTGACCTTTGCACCCGATGAGGCAGGTCCCCAACCGACAACAGAGGTTGTTCGCGACTTTCTCATGAGTCTTGGAAGTTTGCGCGTCGAAGCCTCCCTCGACAAGCAGGTTGGTATCTCATTTTCTCTGATCACCAAAACTCCATCACCTATATGATGGGTAACTTTTGGTTTTGTTATATGAGTTAAAAACGGCTTCAGTAGGTCCTTCCCGGCTCAAGGCTCACTCCAATTTGCGATTTCACTGAGGTGGTGCGCTGTGCTTGAATTATTGCAGGCAAATTTACTTTACTGCATTTACGTCGATGCTCAGTCGAAGATTTGACCTTTAAAAAGCGCAGAACTTTTCTCTGTCTCTGCGTAAAAGGACGAATATTCGTTGACGTAGTTTTTCTCCGGTTAACCTCCCAGCATGTACTAGTCACGAATGTTTGGAAGTACCTTTACCATCAACGTGCAAAGGGGCTGGGAGACGAGCAGCGTAGGTGGGTGAAAAGTTCTGCGTAGGCACTTCCCATCTTGCCTCCTACCTCCTACCCTTAATGTTCTCCGTGGTCGTTCTTCTACTTTGACTTTCACAAAGTAATTGGGTGAAATAGGCAAGTAGGTCACGCAATGATTCTCTGCGGTGGTGGAGAGACTCAGATTCGTCGAAATTGATGCATCCCATGGATTTCGATGAATGGTGGTTGTTTTAATTACGGATGTCATGGTGGGTATTTATTTGTCGCATTTCTGAAGATTAAGTGATGTTCTTCAACAACTGTGTCCAGTGTGGTAAGATTTTAAGCTATCTCAGTCTTCAGATCTTGATCATGGTTAAGTTTATTCTTAAAATATTGTAAGAACTTTGCTAAGGCAGATTTCACTCTGTCCCAATCTGGTCTCCCCCCATTCCTGAGCATAGTACGGGACCGAAAATTTCAGTAGTCACGAAAAGTTGACGCGATTGCTATAGCCCTTCTCTTACGAGTCTCCATAGATTCATCTACCCACTACAGGTGTCTCTTCATTTGGTGTGGCATGCAGTTAGCAAAATTGGGACTGCATGTAAGTCTGTGGACTGCCTTGTTATCAGCGTACGGAAGGACTGGTAGGAATGGTAGTATGGCAATCATGAATAGAAAGTCGTGCCATTAGTGTGGCGAACAATTCGATGGAGGCAGGAATGGGCACATTTCCTTAGAAAACCTCTTAGTTGTTACATATTTCTTTTAGAAATACTTCCACGGCGAATCGATAGTTGTCAATGTGCTTGTGGACAATAACTCCACGAAAACTGTCAAAAAGGTTAAACTGATAGGTAAGTTTCTTTTTTTAATTTCTAGCGGCGATATTGACCAAGTTCGTCGTCTCTAAGCTTCATTCGATAACAATGGACATTAGCATTGAAAAAACTGAAATCACAATGTCTCATTTTCTCCATGGACTAACACGTTGCATTGACTAATTAAGAAGTCATTAAACACGTCATTGGTTGTCATTCGAACGGCAATCATAGATTCTAGTGACAAGTCACCTCTTACTGGTTAAAGCCGCCTTTGAATTTGGACGCCTTAAAGACCAAATCGCAACTTAAACGCCCGTTGCCTCCATTTGGAATTACCGAACCAGCATACAGGTTTATAATCACTTTGATATTGTGTTCTAGTATTATCCACTTTAAGACCGCTATATGGGCTTTCATTCATACTTGTCGGAGAGAGTTAGAGCCCGTTGCAAAGCGTTACAAAGCGAGTGGGATTTTTGACTCCGTTCGGAAAGATGGCTTGGTATCTCAAGTAGCGGATCAGGAAGTTCATTGGTGAAGTGTCAATAAGTATCAACTTAACGAAATGAGAATCTGTTGTAAGAACCTCGCTCATAACTATGACTTGCTAGTTCCTCCCAATCTATAGTGTTTCGTTGTTTGATACAGCAGAATGATTCCACTCATTCAAACTACTTGATTTTTGATGTAATTGAACCCCATTCGAGGTAACTTGGGATTACTTTTAGGGCGTATGAATTATCCCCTATGATGCATCTTTTATGAAGTGATAAGGTAGTAAACTGGCTTTTACAACGATGCTGGAGGGACCAATCAGTACTTCGATCACTCCCAAAAAAGATGTAATCCTCGTTACTTATTTTAGTTGGAACGAAGGTAGATCTATTACTCGCATTCGTCTCCCATCAGGTTTCATCAATTGCAGTTCTCCCTTCAGGAAGTGATTTTTAGGTTTCTTCACTATCCGTGGTCGTGGCTGTGGTTGGCTGAGTGTCCGCACGTCTCTGTATCTATCGCATTAGTAGCGTTATTTTCGAAATCTTCAATCCATTCACGTAGGGCACTCGTGCCGGTGGGGATGAATCCGTGCTCTACTACATCCACCTCTTCCAGGAGCACTTTAAAAGCTAGTTTTTTTGCTAAAATTCCTAACTTGAGAATTACTGTCCATGTGAATGAAAGTATATTGCTTAATAATTTGGTCGGACCAAGGTTTAGCCAGCAGCCGGGGTTCCTCTGCGTTCTTTTTATAACTCATTTGTTGTGATTAGGTTTACAATTGTAAATTTCTTCTATTAACCACCACATGTTCGCATTAATTAACTGAAGACATTTCTTTGTTTTGCTTACAATGTTTGTTTTTTTGTCTTTTTTTTTCTCATCCATCTTTCCAATTAGATTGGTTGGAGTAGTGAAGAGGCTTCATTGCGAGGTATCGCACAAACAGCTTTGAGGGCTGGCTGTTTATTGGGGTCTAGGCTAGTCCATGCACGATATGTGCGCCGATCACCGTGAGTGGAAGTGGGACGTGGTTGGTGGCATTGCCTTTGCAGTTTTCTTTTGGCACTGAGCCGGAGGTATCAGAAGTCCCGTTTAGACGTGAACAACTTGCATGGAGTGAATTTTACCGGAAAAGTTTGCTATTATTGTCCTGAGTTACTTCCTTTTATTGGAGACACTGCTAATTATTAAGAAAGATGAATGCATTGTTAAAAACTTTATGATATTTCGTTGAATAAACAGGCCAAAAGATGATTTTATAAATCATCTACTCTGTTGCGGCTTTTAAATCGACTATGCTCCACTTTTGAGTGCCTTTCATTCGTGCCAGCCACAACGCTCTCAGTAGCAGACATTGAAGAGCTCTTGGCATTGTGGGCATATCTTCTGGTAGCCCTTCCTTGTCGACACCTCGAGCATAGTAGTCACCAAGAGATTCAAATCAGGAGAGCTAGGAGACTAAATGTGCAAGGTCTGCCATAGTTAGGAATTCCTTCGATCATCTACTCCCACGTCATGCAAGCAGCTAAAGTGGCCCTACCAAATCACGTATGCTCCCTCGTGAGTGACTGGCATGGTCAAAAACTTGGTAATTTCCTCTCATGTCAAGATTTAGACTACTGCATTATTTCCGACTTCGAAAGGGGAAAAAAACGACATGTTTTGCTACTTCCGTTTATGATGTTGTGGAATTCTCGAACTGGGGTTTTTGACGGCATCCTCTCACGACATCCCCGTTTTTGGGAACAGTAGCAGTGGAATTCTCGGAGGAGACGAAGAGCACCTTTCTAACACTGAACACGAAGCAGGCCAGGTACCAAGGATGGCATTAACTGTACCTGAAGGTGCAATAACTGATAAATATCATTTAAAACCTCTATCAAGAAGCCGCTTTTTGTCTCCCATCGCCCTTTCCATTGCGTTCGACCTTTTCAGTGCGACAGTACACGGTCATCTGTCTTCCGAACGCGGGCCATTACAAGTGCAATGTCGCCGAAATTAACTCCGAGTAAGTTATTCACCCTGCCCTCATCCCCCACGTTAAATGCCAATTCTTTTCTTTCGGAGTGTGCGCCTTTGTACCTGTCCTTTTTCAGCTAGGCTGGTGTCGTCAATGCAACATTGTGTTAACCCCATTTGAAATTAGGTAGGATGCCTCAGTTAACATTCTCTCCTAAACTCGCAGAGAAAACTGCTCCACCACGACTCGGAGGTGAAATCAACATCTGCATCACTGAAGTGACCAATTTAACTACTACTCAAAAGCTAGAAGCATCCAATTACTCTTCCCAAATAAAGAGTATCCTATATCTATTTCATTGTTTTCAACCCACAAACCGTTCATAGAAGTAGGTTTGATTGGTTCCACTTTGCGTTTGCTCAGCTGTTACTGCGTAGTGTAAACTCCGATCGTACCACGGGTGACTGGCTAGTAGTAAACAAATTAAAACTTTTTTGAGAAACCATTTCAGCACACCCTATTCATGCTACTGAATTACAACACATGTAGCCAGACAGTACTTTTTGTAACAGCCTGATCAAAAGTTGCTTGTTCGTACCACTTACCCCGTTAATAAATTGTAGACTCAGGACCTTTGAGGTCTAAATGTAACTTTCCTAATTGAAAGAAATTGTGCAAACAAGCTTTCTAGTCTTACTCGATCATTTCTAAGGTTGCGGTGTTTGCTCCGTCTTTTGCAAAATTTGCATCTTTTATGGTAAACAAATGAGCTGAAAATGGTGCCTGTGTTTTGTTCGGTGAATTTCGACTTTGTTATTTGGTAAATTTGCATGAACATTTACTCCGTTTAGCATTTTCTATCTCCATCCTTAAGTAACGTTACTTTTCAATTATGATATTCATAGCACAATTGTTGCAGCTAAAAAATATCTTTACTTCAAAATACAAAGTGGAATGAAATATTTGGAAAGTCTGTCTTATCCAAGCCATTTGTTTAAAGTTGCTGTTAAATCCAAGTACATTTTTGGCTGGTTTTTTGCAAACAAGGTAAAGCGACAACAAGTTCGCGTCGTTTTGATGATGGAAGAAAAACTGCAAAAGCTGCTTAAATGATTGTTATTAAAATAATCACGAGGAAAGTTGGTCGCGAATCCTACTTCAAATAGTTGTTTGTCTCTGGAAGCAAAAAAAATCAAGCCTCAATCACTTTTAGCTCGATTGTACTTTCCTTCCCCACTTTTTGATTCCATTTCGTCTGCGATTGCTTGACGATTGTGCCAAGAAGAGTTGATAATCGCTTCAACTTGGGAGAAATATCACCAGGATGTAATGCGGAGGGAGAGGATGCGATGAGACAGCGTTTCTTTCCCTTCCATCCTTAGGTGGGGTATGAGATCTCACGAGTATGTTTCATGGTGGGCCGCATGAGGTGAGAGAAGTTTTTGTACACACTTTCGAGTCGCGTCCCATCGAGCAGACAGACCTGAAATGCAATTGTTCAGCCCCCATCAAGTGGACAATTTACGGTAAACCACTGTGTGCGGACCGCCACGCACACGGAGCAAGGGTAGTCTTTTGAGGATGAGGGTTTGCGTGCCTCAAAGACAGGTGTGAGTTACGTGGTTTAGTAGTTGGACAGTGGTGCTTTGGAGAGCAAGTAATGTTATACTCAGTTGTTAAACTAACTCTGGTCCACAAAAAGTGCAGTAGCCATTTCTCGTCGCATGTCAGTTGGTCAGCCAGTAGTCTGAAATGTACGACGTTTTTTTGCAGCGTATCCAAGAGAAAGATTTGTTTAGCAGACTACTGCTTCATTGGAACAAGCCATTTTGTCATTCACGATGAACAGCTTTGGGAGTTACTCTTGATATTCTCGTTAATGCTCTATGATTCTTCGTCAATAACAATAGGACATTTGGTCCCGCATGGGGTTTCATTACCTGCTGATTCAATACCAGCATCGCACCAACCTCTGTGCTCACCCAATAGCTACGAAATAGATTAAGAATATAAATTTGACTTTAGAATCCCTTTTTTCCTCTTGCAACCTATGAACTGACGGCTATAGTAGTGTCAAAGTCATTTATTACTTCCTCGACAAGATTTCGTTCCTCTCCACCGGGTGTGAGGCCATTGGCTAAGGGGGCGCCTGCGTTCCTTATTGCTTCGGCTTAACGGTCAGTGCAGTGGTACTAAATCCAGTGTTTTGATCAATTGGGACTTTAAAAATATAGTTTGACATCTATTTGGACATTATTTGATCATATTTTGCTTAAATATGACCGAAAATTGTGTAAAATGTTAACATTAGGACAAGTCTTGGTCTGTAATGGGGGATTTTGAAAGAATTCCAATGGATGGAAATGACTAAGAATCGAACCGAATCATTGACATTCTTTTCCGTTGGTTTTGCTTCAGTAAATTATGCTTATTGTCAATGAAGCTGCTTGACAAGTATCGAATAGCAGTGGAACCCATCGTGTGTTTGGAATTTTGTTAACATGCTTCCCACCAGCATCACATATGTGTGAGGCCTCGCATTTCATACCTTAGGCGGTACGTCACATATTTATGACGCGTTCGATTACAGGAACCTAAATTTGGGTGAGGATGAAAAAGGTTAAGGACGGTTGGTGTTATCCGTAAGATCTGTAAAGCACCTGGGCTTCAGTGATTGTCGATCGTCCCCTGAGGCCCTGGTGACGAAAGTGTTGAATATGGAAAACTTGTAGACAACACTCAGCCCCGATAATAAACCATTCATGGTACAAATTTGCTGTCTTCTTAACAAGGCTAAATCGTTCGTGCCTGACACGGAGTACGCTTTTTTGAGAGGTTAGAATCATACTCAGTGATTTTGTTTTCTATAAGATCGCCTTAGTGGAGTTTTTCATGAGGCCCTATCTCTTATTTTATAATCTATTACACTTGGAATACATAAATAGTTGTCAATGAAATTGTTTACCTTGTAGTTTGTTTTAGCAGTAAACTTAAACGTATATAGCTTCTTAGTATTCCACTTTGTAGATTTAAAATGAGGCACCTAGGACTGGAGTATCAAATTTACTTTTGACTATTTACTAAGACGTCGGAGTCGTTGAATAACTTTTTATGGATGCATGGGGAAGATAGAAGGCTAGAAAGACAGGCTGTATGTTCAAAGCTCTGCGGGGGTATAATTAGGTATAATGAAAGGGATCACTTACCCATTGTATTATCTCGAAATACTAATCCAAAAGAACCAATGAGTCATCCTCTTCCCCGTCTCTCCCCTACGCTTTTTGGAGCTGCCTGGTCTCCTAACCTCAAAAGACTGGTGATAAATTCCCTATCTCAGCCAAAATCAGAACGTATGATCAGTGGTTAATCAGTGGACTATGGCGATTTTTACTGGCTTTTCTACTTTCTTTGCACAGAGAGGGCTTCCCCATATGGCCAAGTCAAACGGGCTGGTGTAAGGTGTACCGCCTGTGCCCCCTCCTCGCGGACAATCGGGACAAGTCGGGTTTGGCGCTGGACGGCGATCTTAAAAATGAGGACACCAATCTCGCCTCCTCCACTATGTGCGTTGAATTTGTCAAATTCTGCAGCACTGATGCATCATGTTTAGCTAATGAGGCCTGCGTCACTAAGTCATTGAGCACGAGGTGTGGGATTGCTTCAAGTAGTATTTGGCTTGAGAGTTCAGAATTCTTAACCGCGAACTTGCCCTTGCCATCATTTGCGTTACTGTGAAGCCTATCCTGTCCATGCTTTGAGAGGCATCTTCTGGTATCAGGTGGAATCTCCGTTACTGAATCATAAAAGATGCCATTTTTGATTGTCTTGAGAATTACTTAATTTGAGTTGTGCAAGGATTACGAATATCTAGAAAGGGGTTTAAAGTTGTTTTTGTGCCATTCACAGATAGTAATGAGGCAGAACTTGAGTTAATGAGACTGGAAGAAGGTAAATTGTTGCAACATTGAATGAATGTGGCATTGTCCCAGTTGTAGTTAGAAAACTTTTAGATTCAGTGGCACCGAATTTGAAGGGAGGAGCATGAGGTTTCTTCCTTTTTTGTTCGACGCTGACGTACTCTTAATTCGATTTCGAAGTCTCATACTCACGATTGATAGTTCGTCTCGGTTTTGAAAGCGTACGTTTGGAATATGGAACTTGCGAAAGTCATTGCTTGCATTGCTTGCGCATATCAACGGCTCTGATGGAGGTAGGCATTTTCGCGCTGGTGTTATTTGAGCTTCAAGCACGCAACGTCCAATTTTGTCGACTGGAGCTTAGCTTGAGAATCCAAGTTTACCTGACAATTCGCATTCTTTTACAAACTGTCTCTCCTGTGAAACTTGAGATTGTCTCGTCAAAGTATGCGACAGAGGCCTTCTATAGCAGCACTTTATATTCGAGTTGGCATTTCAAATCCAGTGAAGCATTCTACAGTAGCTTTTTGTCTTTGAGAATTAAAAGGTCATTTACCCCCCTCAATTTTGTTCATTTGTAGGAGATTTTCAACCCATTTTTAACTAAGAAATAGAGTCGTTATTTATCAAGCTTTAATGGCTCGAATTCTTTTTTAAATGAAAAACTGTGCAACTTTATGCACCTTCTTTGAATCTTTGAAGCTGTTTGTAGCCTTACGAGGTTTTAAAGCGGCAGAAGTGGGATTTTAAAAGGGAGAACATGCAGATACCATGTCAGAAGGGCAGCACTTCCTGAACTTCAATAAAGGAGCAAGTGGAATTCTCACCACCTCAGAGGGCTGAATAATGAGTTGAGGATTTTTCAATGTCAAAGAAATTACTTGATTCTCGTTTCCACTGAAAAGGTCGTTCTCATGCTTAGCGAGATCTTTCATTACCAAGTGGTGTGCATTTTGGAGATATTCGGGTTTGAAAGTGTAATCTGTACAGCTTCGCTTCGAAATCCTTCTCACAAAGTCGAGCACTCATTTTAAAATTGAATAGGTCAATAGAAATCGGTTTCATCTTTTTACTCCACCATGCAGATCTGTTTTATTTCCAATTATTAGACGCAAACTGTCTGAAACCTAATTTTGACGTTCAAACCGCGTTTGTTTATTTTATGATACCTTATTACCCAGTCTGGAATTGTTGCCATCTCCATAGTAACATTTTGTGAAAAACTATATAAGCCAATTAAAAGGTGGGCCATTCTGTCAAAGAGCAGTACTTGCCGTTTTCAGGGGCAGGGATCATTATCATCAAATGGCCAAAAAGCTTAACCGGTTCGTAATCTACAGTTCTGTGGAATGGCTTGATGATGCATTCAAATGTTTATGTGCATGAATTATCAGCCACGGCGATGCGTCGGTCTGTTAGTACAGTAATCCCCATTGTATCCCCTGCTACCTTCTCCTTATTTTGAGCCCTCATGCCATAATATGTCGATTCATCTTGATGGATGTGATTCAGTTCCAGGGCTTCTTGCAGGTTGTGGTGATGGGATGTTTCTCTGTATTCCCTGATATTCCTCCACCTTATGACTACCGCTTGAACAACTCCACGCGAAATAGAATAGACAGTTGGGAAACAAAAGTGAAATAATGAAAGAGTTTTCCAGAGCTGGGTTGTTTGCTTCTAGAAAAGAATTCCTCCCAAAAGTAGAATTTATAGCGTGCCTGTGCCTCATTGGGAAAGAGTTAGATGACATTGTATGATAACGGAGAAAGTGCCTTATGAAGCACTCTATGGGTAAATAACTTTTTCATTGTAAAATAACGCACGAACCCATTTGTTTGTCGTATACGTTTCTGTTTTTCTGATACTCAGACACAAGGTCTTTCTAATTAACCAACTTTATTGGCTCAGTTGGGATTTGGCGCCGCCAGCATTTATTTGCCAATAGCTAAGTCTAGTTTGTACTAACTTAAAAGTTAAATCTGCTCCACCAACACCACTAAGCCTTCTCTTAAAGGTTATCTGATTTTCGAAAGATTTTTGGAGGTATTCGTCATGCCATTTATTTCCGCAGAATGAGTCACGGAGATGACCATTTAGTAAAATAAAGTTAGTAGAACCATTAACTGGAAGTTTGGCTCATCAGATCATAGTCCGAGTCCTATTGAAATCAACGAATGGTGTCGGAATTCGCCAATTTCTTACCTATTTCAATTGAATTTCTACTCCCATTGGGAACTTAACTTCCGTGATTATTGAGTCCGAGGAAGCCTTCATGCGCATTGAAGCCTGTCGGGGGCCCTGCTAAGATTGCCCACCGGTTCCTTTTTACGCATTATAAAGCTTCTAAAATTACACTGGCCTTTTTCGGAAATGTCCTCTTTTGGCTATTTTTTGGGACTCCAGACAAGCTAATCTAACTTTATGATAGGAGCTTTCTAGTGGAAGTAACATTCAAGAGCATGTAGACTCATCAAATGTATTTTTTTAGACTGGGAAGGTTTGGTGAAGTCTGCGACTGCCAAAGATGAATCGTTTTCTGTCTTTACCAGAGTTATATCGTCGGTTGAATGACATTTTCTAGTGGTTTATTTGTCATGAAAGTGCCATCAAAAGTGCTCTATCGGAATACAGTAGCTAAATTAACTGTGTAATTTGCGCATCTGCAGACGGCTTTCAAGTCTTGTAAGTGATGGGCATTTTCAATATTAGAATCGTTTGGGAAAGTCATGCGCCAGCAAAGGAAGTGTAGGAGGTTGGTTAATGCACACATGTTTAGTCTGATGAGTGGCGTTTTTTTCTGTGATTTTTCATTTTGTGGACGGTTTTAGCCTTAAATTGAAGGCAGCTGTTGCGTCCACCCCTAAAAAGACTTTTCAGCGTTACTATTCCATCTCTACTCGATGAATTGAATGGATTGGAAATAGATTTTGTGATTTTCACTTTGCACGTCTTTGTTAGACCCATTGAATGTCTTCCGCTGGTAGTAGTAGGATAAAATGAAAGGTCAACTCGCAAATAAGCAGGCGAGATTAATCGGCAAAGTTGGGTCAACACATTAACATGTGATACCTTCTACTCTTCCAGTCCTTCAAATGCTTGAAGTTGAGGCAGTCGTGCCCAAGTTGGCCTCTAAAGGAGGTTTAAGGTTTATGAGTCTGGCATTAGTGTTGAGCAGGTAAGGCAGCGGTAGCATAGGCGCCGTGAGCAGATCCTCATGCTGCCATGGTGGTGTCGCACTGCCCATTCCAGTGCCGTTCTCGATTAACATGGCATACGTCACGATTCTTGTCAGAAGATTGTGGGGAGCATATCAGTTGATTACCATCTTGGCTGCCTGCAGAATTCTACACAATACTGCTCTACCAGTTCCGCTGTCACCTGATTTGCTGTCAAATGACTTTTTCGTTTTCTTACCTACTGTAATCATGGTCAAGAATTTTGGCACGCGATTTACACTCATTATTGATGCTGTTTGACACGAGTCGATTGGATGACAAAATTTTGTTTGGCAAGACGAGCTGAAACTTCCAGAGCAGAGTTTTAGATTTTAAATCAAATTAATTCGCTGTTACTTTGCATTTCTTTCCGAACTTGAAATTGGCCTGAATGCCTTTAGCGTATTTTCGGTGAAAAAGAAGTGGGAACTAACACTTCTGAGTTAACTCAAATAGTTTGGTTGATCTTTCAGCGTGCCCACCAACTCCTCTCGAGAGGCTCTGGGTATTGTGGTGCAGTACAAGGTCAAGATTCGTCTTGTTTTGGGATTTGGATTGAGGTACGTTTGCACTTCTTCATCTTAACTCGTAGCAGTCATGTGTTCCCCTTTAGAACGGTGACTTGGCAACTTGACGTGTAACCTCTATATCTGACTTCTTATGAAAACCGAGTGTGTGCAATTTCTCGTGTCTTTGGATGGAATCACACTCTAAGCTATGGAGACGCTTAGCAAAGGGTGGTAAAATACTTATTAGAGACCATGGATATAGCATGTGGTCCACGCATCTCCCCATAAACGTGGCAAATAAGCGTTCGGTTATATTCCCCCCAAAAACCACTAAATGGGTTTTTGATGTGGACTTTATTTATGCCGATCCTAACAGACTTTAACGTGTGCACGCTCTCAGCACTCCCCTCGATTCGTGTAAGCGTTTGAAATTGGGAGAGGGGAGGTGACATGATCATTAAAATTTCCGGTCATCCTCTCTCGGGTCATGTATGCGGGAGCGAGTCCCACTAAAACACGAGGCGCCTCTCCTAAGCATCATTTTAGCCAATGCAATTAACTGTTCCTAGAGTCCATATTTAGACTGCTATGATGGAGAAGGTGAGGAAACATTAAATTGCCGAGCAAACGTGCCTACTATGGGCATAGGTAATTATCTAGATTGATACATTCCTTCTTTTCTCAGAGGTACTATTTTTAGCATTTGTTAGGAGCTCATCTGGACTTTGAAAAAAGATCATAGATAGTCAAGAATACTTCAGTATTAGAATCATTATTTTTGGCAGTTTAAGCCAATTTTTCTTACGAAATGAATTTCCTTCACAGTCTGGGAGTTTCCTTATCCTTTGAATTGCTTAATTTGCTGCCTGAAGCAATGAGTCGTCGCTACTCAAATCGGAGTTTCATTGCCAGTTTTTTTTTCCGAATTTTTGGTTCCAAGTAATCAAACATAACTGATTAATTTTCTGCATTTTTGATTAGCTATATATTTCGCCCCGATTTCCGTTGGTACTACTGCAGAGTCATAGTATCGTCTCCTTTCAGCAGAGAAGGTTCGACATTCTGAATCCCTTTTCCCAAATTATTTGCAATGTTAACAGCTGTTGCAAAGCTGAGAAGAGGAGGAAGCTACAGAACAAGAATTGCGGAACACCAGAGCCTGGTAGTTGTGTACTCATTAGGCGAGGCTGTTTGCGTAGCGTTACTGCTGCTGCTGCTGCCGTGGCCGCCTCTGAGACGGGATGAGTCAGCTGCAGCAGCGGCAGCAGCAGCAGCAGGAACCGTTGAGGGTAATTAGACTCCTCCAATCTTAACTCTTTCCCGCCGTCTGCTCCTCCATGCACCCCTCAATCAACAAATTGCGGTTCATTGTTTTGTGGGAGAAATCGCGTCCACATTGTAAAATCATTCAGCGACCCACACTTACACGTACGACATCGTCACTTCATGAATTTATTAATCTGTTGATTATATCTATAGTTTTAGTTACGTTTCTCCAATTTCAGTAAATTTAGAAATTGGTTTCCGTAATATCCCAATTCTGATCGTTGTTGATTTCTTGAAGCTAATTTAATGAATTTTGTGATGGTTTTGGGACGTCTGTTTTTATTTCTTCAAGGATCGTGTTTAATTCTTTATTCTTTCTCCAAAAAAAATATTCTTTTTCGATTTTGCACTTTATGAAGTGTTGAAGTACACTAAATTATTTCTGCGATGGTTTAGGCACGTCTGTTTCATTCCTTCACTAGTCGAAACCCGAGCAAATCTGAACTGTTCCCTTTACCAGGAGAAAAATTTGGAGAGTTTGATTATGTAAGTGTTTCGGTGTGGGTATTCTTTTTCGGATATGGATTTATCCTCTACCGATGTTACATCCATAGATCCATCAACTATTAGCAGACGTCAAGGTCTCGTGTTACCTTGACGGTTTTTGAAGAAATGAATGGAGGGATGAATTTGTGACAAGATAAAATCCCAGTCTATCGAAGTCGGGACTGAATAAATGTTATGTTAAATGTTTGTTTAATTTCATTCATGGAATTGTGGTCTATCTTTGATACTGTCTGAACTATCACAAATCTATCAAGTTTTAGTACTCTGAGTTTTTCTCCAAAGACGGCGAAAGTACAGAAACGGAACTTTAAGTGTCCTTAAAGCAAGAGAAGTGAGTGGGGAGATATCATATTTTTGTAGTGCAAGTTTTTATATCTTCTCAATTTAGCTATGTTTCCTTCATATATGAATTGAGTGCGGTCTCTATTTAGCCACAGTGGGAAGTGATAAGCATGTATGAAATTCACTGCAACCCCCTTACTTCTAATCCCTATTTAGTTTGTAAGCAAATCTTCTTGACTATAAGATAGCAAGATTTTCTTCGTAATTAGAACCAACGCCGTCCATTATCCACCGACGGTAAAGTAGATGATTAAAGAATAGTTTCTACAGTTTTGATCGTGGTCTTTTATAGGAAGTCATAACCTTTTGATTGGATTTTTTCTCAGACGTTATAGCCTAGGGAAGCTTAGCCTGAGGTTTCGTTTGTTTGTTCACCGATTGTCTAGGCACCACCCACCGAGTGTGTCTCTTGGGTTTGCGCTAGTGGCTTAGGTTTTCCCCTTTGACTATCCATCCTGCAGTAGAACATAATTTCTCCCTGTTGGACTTACTTTTGGTTTAGCCTCTCAGACATCTCTTGAGGGCGAAACCTTGCACTGAACTGTAAGAATAGCCACTTTTTCCAAAGTAAGGGGAAAAGTCCGCAAAATTTTCTTTATTTGTCTTGTAAATATAAATGTTTTTAAAGTAAAGACTAATTTGCAAATCAGTGTACTTTTCACAAATATTAATAGTTCCTTGAATAAACAAATAATTAAAATTTCCCAGAGGTTATAAAATACTACCCTATCCATTTGTATGCGTCCCTCATAATTCGAGGTCTATCGCACCGCAAAGGCTTGCACACGCCTCTGGCGCTGATGCCGCAAGCAGCGAAGGAGGTAAATGGTACACTACTTACAACACGTCTTTTCCAATTATCAGCTTTTTCGCGGTTCTCTTTTTTTTGCGAAATGCCATTTTTACCTGTACTGTTCACTGCTGGCACTCACTGGTTCTGCTTGAGTATTCAGAACCATGTCTGTGTTGACGAGATGGAGTCACAATTGTCATTGTCAAATGGTGACTTCTCAAAGTAAGAACTTTACGATCTGTTTTCTGGTTTGGATTAACCACTTTATCAGGAAGTGTGGCGGTCAAAGTACGCAGTCAAAACGGGCGCGAAAAGTGTGATAATGTAACATTTCGCTGTTAATTGACAAATCGTTGAAATTTTTGCCTTTTTTGTGCCCAGTTTAGCTCACATCTGAAGTAGTTAAGTGTAAGACTTGACCTCTGAAGTTGATTAAAGGTAATTCCCCGTAGATAGGAGCAAACCACGCTTGGCCTCATTTTATACTTCTTCGACAGTGAAGTATCTAACGTTATCAAAAGCAAATTAAAAATTTCCATTTTTTTCCATCCCTAATGCCCGTATAGCCGTATTTGTATTGATATGCCAGGCAGCTTTGATTCCGTCGATGCCCCAGGAAGTAAGTCTCCATTGACAGTTTCCCTTGTTGGTTCACAGTCGGCAGAAAAACAATAATGATTGACATTTATGTTGACATAACTTTGAAGTCATGCAAAATCGTCCTGTTTTGTATAGTCACTGAGCAACTGTAATGAATTTTTGGCGTTGGTAGGATTGACTGTTTACTTATCACAGCCGAAGGAGCTCAGCCTTGATCACTAGTGTGGGATTACCAAATGCTATTTTTTAATCTGTTCAATTATTTTGAAGTTGAAATTTCCCAAACACTTGAGCCAGACATTCGGACGAGCTACTTATTCAATAGTTATTTAGACTTGCGCTTTAATTTTCGGTAGTTTTAAAAGTGATCTTCTACTTAAGGAGAAATAAAACTCCATTCCGCCCAAAGTTGCGCCAAAAACAATTTTCTTGGTATTCGTGAAGTTGTATAACCTTATTTAGAAGTTGTTCAAGCAATTGGCAACAGTTTCCAGGAGTAATTTTTGACTTTACTCCTTGCTTAGGTGAATCAGAAGGTACTATCACAAAAAACGAACAAAATTCATCTCGACAATTGTTGAGTGTTCCGACAAAAAGTGCTTTGCATAGGTTAAGAAAATTCTTGTATTTTCGAAATTACCACTGCCAGAAGTGGATTTTTGTGTCGATGGTTCCGACTTTGTGTTTTCGGCTCAAACGAACTAGCCTACTGTTCGACCCTCTTCAGTGGAATTCCCCTGCAAGTTTCGCAGTCGTCTACAATCTTCCGGGGGGTCTCATCAGTATGCAATGGTAGGCAGTCAATTGATGTTCTTGTATAAGATGAATTACGCATTCTTCTTCCACCTGCATCCTTTTTTACTGGAATAAAATGCGCGGAAGTTGTTTTTATCGTTCCACCCATTTATTCCCCCAATTTTTGCGGGAAGTGAGCTACGTATCTTTAGGTCCAAATTTTCTTTCTTAAAGGAGTCCTCATTGAGCTATCAGTTGTTTATAGCGCTCCAAGACTCTCCTGAAGACGAAAAAAGACATAATAAATGGGTAGAATGTGTATTTTTGATCTACAAAAGGGCTTGTGAACTATTGGCATGGCTTGGAGGCCAAGTTGCTGGGTGACACTGCAGTGACGGAGTCCTAAGTGGCCTGTTGCCAAAACCAAGCGTTAAGCATGCAAATAAAGTTTTTCTAACTGCTGGCAAAACTGTGAATTTGATTTTTATTGGCATGAAAAAATGACGAAAGTCGTTTAATTTGAACAGGGACCTTGGTGTTTGCAAGGGAAAGGAATGCAGTTCTAGGAGCGGAAACCGTTTCTTTTCCGACCTAGTATCATGCTTCATTCATTCGCTTATCCTATTGCGTAATATAATTATCCTAGGACAGCTTCCAAATAGCTGTACTAAATAGCCAGCGTGTGCTGACTTCTTGAAGTTATGAATGTTCGTCTTTGTGAATGATTTTGTTCCTTTTGCATACAGAGGATCGCCCCGTATGTAGTTTTTACGACGGGTCGTAGGTCGATTTGCCGCTTAAGTCTACTCTCTGAATGTTTGTTCACAAAAAATTAAAGCAATAGGCCTGGAACATGATCACCACGCTCAAGTTCGCCATTGGTCGAAATACGATTGTCCGCCCTTGAAACGGTTACATCCAAATGTCTTGTAGCAGAAGTGCATCTTCAGATTTAACGCCTTCGTTGTCAAACGCGTCGTTCATCACCACACACTGTTGCGTGGATGCGCTAGCACTGTTGCTTGCCGTCTTTGTGAACGATGTCTGGACCGGAGCAGCCTATAGCTTACGTACTGGTTGTTACTGCTACTGAGTACAGTACCGCGATGGTAGTAAGCCTATTGTAACGCGAATCTGTGAAACTAAAATGTTCTGTTAAACTTGAACATCCTTCATATTTTCCAGCACTGAGTGTACACCCTGCCACTTTGGTATTTAGCATTTGCGTCCTCGTTGCGGAGGATGAGAATTATGCTCCTGTAAGAAGTACACGTGCTGTCATAAATAAATTTATACTTCTGTATGTGTGAGGTCTATTTTCTCTCTGGTCTACGTTCATCTGTTAAGTTTGATGGCCTTCTTTATTTTAAGTCGACTATTCACTGAAGCAACCAATTTGCAAGACAGAATAGGTAACGTCACCCGCTCAGACATGATCAGTTACTACTCCCCCTCTACCCTCATGTTTTCATCTCTTCCAAAAAAAGAAAAACGTCATAATGCAGAACCTCAGTCCTGCTGATAAAGAGGAGTCATCTTGGACTGCTATTCCTAAACGAGACTTATTATGGTTAAGCCACTTATCTGATGTGGCATTTGACTCAAGATTTGTTCAAAATAATTATTATCACAAATCAGATCTTATCGCACCTTTGATCCTTCCACCTTTCAGTGATGTCTGCCTGGAGCTGCCCTTTATTCTTACCCATCCGAATCCCGAAACCGGTGCTACTACTCCTGGCAGTGGTGCGGAGGGTGCTGGTGATGGTTTGGAAGACTTTCACTTCACCGAAGCGGGTCGTGCAGGCGACGAGAGTAGTGGAGGGGAGGGAGTAGAAGGCCCTGCACTCCCCCCATTACCTCCGCAAGCTCCCCAACCGCTCACACCCAACGGTGGTGCTGGAGCCTCGCGACCACAAATGGGCCTGTTGGCAAAGCGAGCTGCGGGTGGTGGAAGTGCCGGTAGCAATAGCAGAGGCCCGAAATCGCCCCCCAATTCGCACATTGCCGAATTTCTTCACGCCTCCGAGATGCCCGATGGCATGGCGGCATTTGCACCTCCTCCACCTTCTGCCACGGGCGCCTCTACGGATGCTGCGGATGTCTTAGAAACCTTTCTTGGCATGCTTGAGTCCCCTCCACCCTCCAATAGCAATGGGTGAGTGGAGGGAAAAAGCCCGCAATTATTTGCCTTTCTGGTGATTTGATTAGGGGTAATGCTGCACTTAAACTGCACTAGAGATACAGGAGCTCTCCAAGAAAGTCAGTGGTCATTCAGACTGTGTTAAATATAGTTAAGTGCATATATAATGAAGGATCCCGTAGAATACTACGTCAGAGAATAGATGTCACACTAATATCCTAACTAAAAGCTATAGTGAAAGTGACAAACACTCGGGGAAAGACATAATCATGAAGTACATATTTCAGCGTGACAAAAATCAGTGAATCGCTTTTAAAAGCTCTACGAAGGTAGGAAAAACAATATAAATGCAAGTTTTGGGATGTATGGAGTGGAACAAACAATGAGAGTGGTGTATAGTGGAGGCTCAGCTTCCTCTCCATCGGTGTTTGTGCCCAATTTTGAAATGACTTTCCCCATCAATGGACTGCAAGACCCGACAAGGGCTGTACTATAACAACAAAGGTATGGCATTCCCGACTTTCAGCTGGGTAGGGTCATAGTCAAGAAAAATGAAGAACTAACCATGAAATCGAGTTAAGGAAGCAAAGTAGTTTTTGAATGCGTTTTAGGGGCTTCGATTGTGTTAAATTTGACTGTGTTCTGATGCGTAAAAGTCATCGTGGACATGGGACACTTAGCTTAGCCGAGAAGCAGGAGTAGAGGTGGAATCGTAGCCCCTTACCTGACATCTGTGCCTCAGTATAAAATTATGGATGAAGTGAATTATTATTTCTCTCCTCAATTCCCGGAGAAAGAACAGACTTTTGGTAAGAAAAAGAAAGAAATTTGGCTTTTGAAGCGATTATTATTGTGAGTGGTTGCCTTCTGCTGTGGGCTTTAGGAAGTACAATTGACTTGGGAGTAAGTCCATTGCTTAATCTTCAATGGATGGGAGAGGCTGTCCTATTCTCATTTCGCCTCTTAGGGTTTATCCATTGTATGCTCTGAAGACGACTTCGTGATCAAATTAAAGCCGCTGTTTACCCTTCCTTAATGGGTGGACAGGATAGGCGAATATTTTTTTTAAGGTGGAGTTAGTTATGTATGGTTAATTAACAGTCCAATGAGGTCGTGCTGGTTCAAGGGGACTTGGTCAATGGCGTAGAGCGGGTCCAAGCGACGAATGGTATCTGCATAGCCTCAGACCACAAATTGGTACAAGGAGATGCTATTTCGTCGCATTCTACCTCATTTTCCGCCTTTACCTCCAATTTTGTTGTCAGAAATTTCCGGGGGTTATTCTGCCTCTACTAAGTTTTGATGGCAGATGTAAACATCCAGAACATGTCTCTCTTTCGCGATGCTTTTGCTCATTGAAACTTCTGAATGATCTAACTATTGTGCTAACTTTCTTTAGGTCCTCAGAACTTGCGTCAAACGTCCTTGTCCGCCATTTCTCTTTGGATTCCCATAAGCTCGAAACGGTAATTCTAGGGCAGTGATTCTAGTCTGTAACACAACTATTCAGTGTGGTAAATCATTTGAATTTGGAGATCGCGAAGTCGTTTTTTACGATTTAATAACCACACTCTTTAGGGAAGCTCAATTAATGACTTACCGAATTACACCAATTGATTGAATTCGTTCACATTACAGAGACGCTTTTTCGATATAAGTAGGCATTTGTATGCCAAAGCAGATGCCCAAATTCCGCACTACCTCTTTGCAGTTTCAAGGATGCGATTCCTGAGATTTGTATGTATGGAAGTATATTATTAACCAAAGATTTGACCTCATTAAATTTTCATCATTTTGACTTTCTGGTTAGATCCTTGTCGTAATAATAGTTACTCACCTTAAAATCGTGCAATAACATTGAAGTTTATGAGTTTATTTGTTCCCTTACCCTTAAATTTTCTCTACTCGTTTGGTTAAAGTGTAATTGGTTAAAAGCGAAATCATTGTTGCCCCACGCCTCTATATCTAAACCCAGACGTCACAAATGTGTGACGTGCGTTGATTATCTGCTAATGGCAACTGATCGGTTGACTTTAAGACGATACAGTAGATGCAGGATGTTCTTATTCTGAAAGTAATTACATTTTTCAATCCAAATATGAACTGACTTTGGTAGCGGACGTATTTTACCATCTCAAATTCTAGCTGCGGCACAGTTGTTTCCACCCCAAGCTGTAGGCGTGGAACGCTTGATTTAACAAACATCACGCCAATAAATCACATTCCCATTGTTCCGCAAAAAGAGGTATTGAACTAACTTAATTTGAAAACATTCCTGCACTGCTTCTTTTTCCTCAGAAACACGAAACAGGCAAAAAGTGAGGGAAAAAAGTCTTACTATTTTTCGCGTTTCCTTCATTTGCATCCGGTTTTACCCCATCACCACGATAGTAAGGCCACTTGAGGTGATTTACTGGCATTTAACTGGTCCCGAATATCATGAAAGGGCAAGCTTTTTGCTAAAATGATGCCAGCTTTCCCTTCATATTGCCTCCGTTAAAAGGCGAGCCAACGCAAGTTTAGACAATTCAGCAAGAGAGAGAGCGAATGTTACAACGCTTGGAAGACCAGATTTGTAAGACCTACAGCCGTGGATTTGATCATTAAACGCCGAAGATTTAGTGGTTGGGCAAATTTTGGCAGGTGTAACTTCCGATTTTCCCGATGGAAGCTTGTACTTGGTAAATGCAAAAATCGGTATTTCCGAGTTGATGGACCTGGTTGCTGGTGTAATTCCACAGGAAAAGAAAATAGTTTTTCTTTTGCGTAGAGTGCTTTCATATCCAGTCTTCAAGCTCTTTTTACGCTTGAACCTTTTGTTGAAAGCAGAGAGGTGTGAAGAAAGTAGCAGTTGGCTGTGTCTGAAGATAGATGGCAAACTTATAGTTAAATAGCACAAAAGAGGGACGAGGTTTTTATTTTGCGCCTCTCCTGCATTCTTCTGCCTATAAATTCATCTAAATAATCCCCCATGGCCGTACTGTTGTGGTAAACGTAGAACCTTCCGAATCTCTAAGTTGCCTTTATTTACGTCCACGAGGCGTTAGGATGATGAACCCCTAGACTAATTAAAGAAAGCGGTGTATATTCTGAGGGAATTGTTGGAGGTCAAATTTTTTATTTGTCGTAAAAGAATTGGTGAATACAACTTGATCCTCGACTGTGTTCTTGATGAAAGAAGTGACATCTTGAGTCTACTGCATGTGGGTGGAATACGTTGTTTTTATTTGAATTGCAAGCAGAAAACCAGGTTGCAGGTTGAACCCTTCTAAGCTATTACGCCTTCTCCGTCTCGCCCATCTCAGCATCATCACCTTACCGCTAATGATGGTGTAAACTCCTGCAAAAATTTCATTTTTTTGACGAAAGATTACGTGGCAAATGAACTCATGTTATGGACTCCTTGTGTAGCGTTGGCTTTACCCCTGCGACCGTTGCATGCCATCCGAGTCCGAAAAGTGAGTGGGCTAGCAGGGGATCTCCATGCCAATGACGTGGGGAGGGATTTGTGCCAGATTGGAAAGGCTAACGTAATCATGTACACTCATGGTTAAAATCGTTCTACTGTTTAAATTTTGTCCTCTTTTTTGCACCCTTCTTGGTACCTTTTATTCCAATCCTATTGCTTTCAGTACCGCAATACTGGTCTCCACTATAGCATTAAGACTTCTGCCTCTATCTCAGGTTTTGATGCGATGCAAGTGACTCAGGAAGATTTATTGTGAAGTTATCCTCCGTAGATGGCATCTTTCATTATGCCAATCACTTTTAGGAAGAATACATACTCCAAAGAAAAACCCATTTAATGAAATAAATAGGATGGCGAAATAGGTTTGCTTGGCTCTTTTGAAAGCACAAATAAAGAATCCCAGAAAGCTTTCTAAAAAAAAATCCACAGTCTTGTTCCTTTTTGTGGCGACACAAGCTTGCTGCTGATTCCAGCAGAAGCAAACAATGTAGACCTCTCTATCTCACTTTTATTTTCCAACTGTTTATTCTATCTCGTGTGTGGGCATCTAATTGCCTTATTTTAATTCCCTTTTCGAGTTTAAGGCGATGATCACCTTGTGCAACTAAGAGTATGACCTTCTTCCAACAGGTTGACTAGTCCTGGCTGTTTGTCAGAGGGGAGAAGTTTTTCCCATTCTCGTTTGAGAGTCTCGACCCATCGGGTAGGTAGACCTGAAACATAATTGTTCGACTTCCAGCGAGTGAACAATTTGTGGTGAACAATTGCGTTTATGATCCACCACACATATGGGCCAAAGTTGGTCTTTTGAGGATGAAAGGGTTGCGTGTCTCAAAGGCAGGTGTGAGTTGTGTGGTGCAGTGCAGTAGTAAATCACTTGGGAATAACCAGCGATATGTTTGCTGAGTAAGCTTTGCCATACAAAGGCATAGTAGTCTTTTCTCGTCGCCTGTCAGTCAGTCGGTTGGTCAGCCAGCAATCTGAAATGTACCGTCCTTTTCCATGCCGTTTATAAAAACCCATTCATATTTTTTCAATGCTATTGTCTAACTTATTGTTGCATGACGTGCAGCACCTACTTGGTTTGCTACATCGCTTCTATTACGACCTCCTCATGCCAAATGGTTGAATGGCGTTATCAATCACCTTGTTTTTGATACTACTTGCAGCTTATTAACAGGCTAGCTTCAAATTACTTTACTTCTTCATATTTCAAAGTGGTGGTTTTATCTGCGTGTGATGCAGCGGCATTTGATGCTTGGTTGTCATCGGAATCAAAGTGTTGAAACCACCTTCGGACGATACGAATTGCCACTGAGCCTGCTCCAAATGTCGCGCGATTTGATGAGGAAGTTCTGTGGATTCGGAGTCAGGCAAAAATCCTTGTCTGTAGTGGACAAGCTCGGATGTCATTCATCACTTTACTTCACCTGATGGTTAATTATGTAAGAATTTAAAATTGAGACAGAAGTGGTAGAGAACACGGTAACGCATATCTATTCTTTATGGTGCATAGTCTCGGGGTAGGCTTTAGTTTCAACTAACTTATCGAAGTGTTGAATGACCAGTAGTGTTGATGTGACTGGAACTAAGAATCATTCTTTTGCCTCAGTACAAATACTTGATTTCACGACCGCCCCACAATGCGTGATTACTTAAAGATATGCCCATTTTTTGCAAGCCACAGACCCATTTCCTTTTTCCGCTTTGAGAGCCTTCAATTGGAAAGCTACTCGATCTAGATCTTTTTGAACAATTGTGGAGACTCGTGATAGCGAATTCGTAGATCGTTCCTGTCGCTGCATTCCCCTCCTCTGGTTTTAGTGTCGCGGTGATTCACTGTGCCCACATATTCTCACGGAGGCTGAACTGATGCAACATTTAAGGTGCCCAAATGTTAGCTCTGCTTGGACGGAGTTATGTGCAGTTCTCATGGTCGATTTTCTTTCGTTTTGGCTTGTTTAAGTACGCTGCTGCACTTTTTTCCTTGAAAGTGTCTCGAAAAGGTAAAATGTTTTATGAGTTGACCAAATTCTAAATTTGGAGTGGCTTTACCCTCAGTGGAGGTCATGGTTAATGCCTCCCGAAGTAACTACTGGCTCTAACTAACTGTGAATTAAATACAGCTTTTGAATTGTATCTCCATATTTCCTAATTTAATATCTGAGCCACAAACAATAAAATTTTTATGGCGAATAGGTATCTTTGCTGATAATCACGTCGTCTCATCCGTGATATTCCATACTTCTACTCGGTTGATGGATAGCGATGACGTTGAACTACCTATTCTGAGAACTAATGGCTGGGTGCATTGAGTTAGTCTACTCAACATCTGACAGATTTATTTCAACGCGGTGCTGTAGTAGAGAACCAAGTTGAAACAACAGCAAACCACCTCTGTTTTTGATGAATACTATTTGGGCCTTAACCAGTCGAATTCCAGTTTGCGCATTAACCAGACTCATCCCCACTTGACCGACACGCATCGGCCTAAAGTGCTCTTTTTTATTTCCTAAATCTACGGTGTTCTGTTCGAAAAAGGTCTCTGGGTAGTTTATTATTTCCTCCCTTAAAAGGCATTCAAACGGAACGCATCCACAGGGTCATCCGCCTCCCTCCTCTCCGGCCACGTCCTCCGCCCTGGCGATCAGTTCCACCCAGGGCGCAGCATCGACAAATAAGTGTCAGCAGATGGACGCAGATGACCTGATTTTTGAGGACTTTGCACGTCTTCGTTTGATGCAACAACAGCAACAGCGACAGCAAGGTCAACAACAAGGTCAACGGACTGCCCCCTAAATTGTACACTCCTACTTCTACTCCTAGTCCTTCGCACTCCACTACCTACCTCAAAGAGACCACAATAACAGCAACGATGCTGTGTTCAAACAACTTTCTCTTCTGTGTACATAATGCCAACTCTTACGCACACATACCTACCTGCCTGTGTCCATACTACTGATGCCAATAGAAGTAGTAGTGATAGTCGTATTGCTTGATGTTATCTTTGCTCCCTCCCCAGTTGTCCCATCTACAAGGCCAGATTTTATTTCGTGTTGTCAACTGTTTGCTTGTCTCCCTTGATCGCTGTCCATCTGCTATCACTGTTGCTTCCTTCTCTTTCCTCTTCCAGACGCACAATTCATGATGAGGTGATGGTGGAAATAGATGTGAATTAATTCATTTTGTAATACGTGTTTTCTAGCAGTGGGTATTTGACTGATGGACTCAAGTGCACGTGGTAGTTGGGCCAATTTCGGGGTGGTGTTTACCATAAAAATATGTTCTGATGACTTAGTTTTAAAATAGTTGGCAAGTTCTTGTAGCATTCTGACACGTAAAAAGAGAAGGAAATCGAGGTACAACCACTCAGATGCTGTTATTTGTTTACTAACTAGGAATTGTGAGATAGAACAACAAAAGAGGGATGAATATATTGCAAAAGGAGAAGTAAGTAGCTGGACGTGGAGACGGGGTGGAAGGGCTGATTCCTGTCCAGACAAATGTATTTAAAGTAGCGTCTCTCCAAATTCTTCTTTCTTCAATAGTTTTCATCCTGCTCATTTGCACCTATCATTCGATGTCAGCAGGGGCGAAAGAGTTTTGTGTGGATGTAACTCACTGCACAATTGCCAGATATATGTGGTTTATATAAGGTGGACATTTTCCGGAAGATTTATCAGCCAGTATCCTTCCACGGGAGGCTAATTGAGTGTCGTCCCTAGGTCGTTACTTACCCGCGACCTGGGAGCAAAAAGGAGGATTAATTTTTGAAATGCAATTTTGTAAATGGAGCTATCACTTTAGTGGTTCCATACGTGAGAAATTGGGATCAAATGCAGTGGATGTTTGGCTAGCTTAATGAGGGCATTAACTAGTTCTCAGCCTGTGTCCGATGGTTATGACACTTTTGAATCCCACGAAGCCAAAAATCGTGTGGGGATTTCCAAGGTGGTTAAGTGAACATGGTGGATAACGTGGTGGTTGAATGGGAGTGAATGGTTTTGATTTATGTGACGAGATGTCAGTCTGTGTTTTGGGAACTGGATCTGCAAAGCTGCATGTTATGTAAATTGTGAGAAACCAAGAATCTAAAGCAGTGGACGATTGGAACAGGTTTAAATGATTCAATCAACTCTCCAACATGACTTCAAAGGGTTTTTAAATTTTAATGACTACTGCTTTCCAAGAATTAAGTAAAGTAACTTAGTAATGATTGGTGAATAGGTGACAGTGAGTGAGCTAAGCGGTGGTTTTCTAATTGCTGAGTGGGTTAACACGGAAGACGGAAAAGTGATTGGATTGACGGATCCGGGATAAATTGATGCAGAATGATAATACCCAGAAGGGATGTATGTTGCTATGCTCATTGAGTTAGCAGTAGAATTCAACAGTTTGCTAGGAATGTTGACTTTGCAGCGAAAATGTTTAGTCAGGATTGAAACTACAATGTAGATGACGCACATTTTTACGACATCCCTTCTCCGTATTTTTCACACTACTGGATTTAAAAAGGCTCGCGGGCTGGAGACATGGATGCGGAACCATTAGTCTCCACGCTACTGTCACTAAGACTGAATTGCGAGGGACTACCCTGTCATGTATGTAACCCTCTTAGCTGTCAATCTCGTGCGTTTCTTTAAGGCATTTTTATCAACGGAACAGGACCTACGCTGGCACCACATCGCAGTGAAGGCGGAATGCTTCAATTGTGACGAATCTTGAAAATGAAAACTAAAAGTTATTTGAAAAGTGCTTGAACTCTTTGGTTAACGCCACCTTTAAGGTTTAAGCGAATTAAGGATTTGCAATAAATGAGAATAACTCATTTCAAAGAAAATTTTTCCTTCAACCATCCTAGCGTAAATTTTTGAACAGTGCTTGGTAAAATGCACCTTCCATCCACTTCTAAAGGGGCTTAAAAGCATAGAGCATTGCAAGGTAATTGTCTCATTGAAAGGCCTGTTTTCTAAGGTTAGTCGAGATCCGCCTTGAACGTCGACAATCAGTGCAAACTCATCACGAGATGGGTGGTTAAAGGTAGATCCTACTTTAAGTGACTCCTTCTTGTTAATTCTATCAATGGGACGAGAGTGGACAGTAGTCAATTTCCTCTCCCCTCAGAAGTGTTTAAATTAACTTTTGGTGGATAGAAGTCACAGGTTGAGAAAAGTGAAGATCTGTGAATGATTAGGTAAGGAATTGGTAAATGGATTGGTAAGTGAAAAGAAAACTGAATGAAGGAATGAATGAGTGAACAAACTAACCAATGAATAGTAAAGGCGAATACCTTAACAATTTGTATTTACAATTTCATTTCAACTGCGCTTACTTACCACATTATCTTTACCCACACCCTCCACCTGTCAATAGCTCCTACCTACATGGCATTGTGAAGTAAGTGCTACTGTAAGCTCAAAAGGGATGCAAGATAGCTGTCACTTTGAAGGTGGAACTAAAGAGACACGGAGCCAGATTATACTTGACTATAACATTCTGAGGCATCACTGAGGACCTGTCAATGCACATCAGTCAGGAAGGGCCTGGAGACTGTGGAAATGAGGGGACGTCGCGACTTTAAGATGGTGACCAAGAGGAAATGCGAATAAATGGTGGCAAGTAAGTCGGATGTTTATAAGGCGAACAACAAACATCCACCTACTGCGAATGGGTAATTTACTTACAATTCGGTGGATTGTGTCATCTACTACGCGCAGCTTTCAGTATTTGGACATCCCTGAGAAGGTAAATACCCATCTTTAAATGGAGGATGAAGGACAAGGACCACTCTCAGGCTACACCAGTGGAAGGTAAATGTCCACCTGCAAAAAGATAAGTCAGTGAGACCTTCTTTTATTCCTTTTTACTATTCAATCGAAAATGGCTTCTTCCGACACCAATAACAGTCTGCTTTGATCTCTAGGATGCTTCATATCATTCACCTTAACCAAGAAAATCGAACAGTTTAGCTTTATCGGTAACTGGTATTCACTCTTCCTTGCCTTGAAATTCGCAATTAACAGTCGAGATCCGAAAATCTAAATTGGATTTAAATAGTACCACAAAATCTCACTCGGACACTCCAGCTAAATAATTCGCCTTCTTGTCACAACATGGTGTCAACTTGACACATTAAACATGTTCAGGTAAATCCGGGGAAAGTTAACGCACAGTAGCACTAGGGAGCGTGCAGTGCGCAGATTTCCTTGTGAATGAGAGCACGTAAATTATGTATCCATACGAATCAGCAGGGACATATTTATGGAGTCTCCAAAGTGTTACATTGCAGCGTCTCAGCTGTCTCACAAACCACTACGGAAACTAGTTCTTCATGTTGTTTTGAGGCTCCCAGAAGTTGTTATTTTAGATGGTGGTAGGTGGGAGACGAGCGGTGGTAGACTAGCCAAACAGAGATTTGATCAGTCCATCAGGACGAAAAGTGGGTTTTCAGGTTGTTTCAGCCGACTGAATTGGTGCCAAGACACTTACCGATGATTAAATGACTCTAGACTATGTTGAATGCTCTTTCACTGGCGGTGTGTTCCAATCCCTCTTGAAGGGGGATCTGGAGTTCACATTCCCTTGTGCACTCCTCTTGCGTTAGGAAAATAAAACAGCTTCTAGTTTATTGCATTTTTGTCCAACCTCTTAACTACAGTAATCAGAATTCGTAGCGGTTAAAAGATTTTAAACATTTTTAAAGTTGATATGGCAGTTGCCCTTTCTAGTGTCACGAGGATAGCCACCAAATGGATAAAGGAAGTAAGGAGACAGACTGGTCCTTACACTTATCTCTTTATCACAATTGTTTGACCATTGCAATCACTTTGCGACCACTCCAATGAATAAAAACGGACAGACTGCTTAAACCACGAAGTTGCCTAATAGTTGTTTTGGCTACTGCAATGAGCAGATCCTCTAGGGATTTCATCTGCTCGTCCATCACCTAATCCGCCCTGGCTCCATACCTCCAACCGGGATCAACACATTTCGGGTCGGCCCATTTACCACTTCCAAATCTACACATTCATATTCATTCATCCATAAGTCAGGAATGCATCCTTCATTCTACGATCCATTAATTCATATCCACTCATTCTTATCTGCCCTTTCTTCGTCCACCACAACTCACGATCTCATGATGCTGGTCATTAACTTCTCCCTGCTGCCCCAAACGTAGAGCGCTGATAAAACAAGGAGCCAAGCAGTAAAACAAGCCCGGTAGGAAATCGTATTTATCCCATTAGTCGTGTTTCTTTAAGGGTACAGAAATTGTCCAACGGAGAACGGGAAACTGGTACACGGATGAGCAAGCTAATCGCACAGAGCAGCGATAGTAACTACAACAACAGCATCAACAGCAGCGGCGATGCGGCAAATGCCAGCCAGCATTTAAGCCGTGCAGTAGCATCAATTTAAGAACCTTGCAAATGGAACCAAAGAATAGAAACCACGCAAAAACGAACGCCAATTGCTGTTAGTAATGTGCCTTTCAATCTGTTCACTTTTTCCTATCCACCCGCGGTTTCACAACTTCTTGTTGAAAGCCACCCCCGATTACTTAACTCGGAATCCCCTTTGCAAACTGTCCTTATTGTTCATTTTATTAAAAACAACTTAAAATAATACAAAGTAAAAGTTGTAGCACCTTAAATTAAGTCCGAATCATTAAATAACTTACCAATAGAGTGACTGGTATCTTTATCCACTTTCCCTCACGAAGCAGGACGTTTTGGTTTCGCCCTGGATGAGTATCAAAGAGACAAGGTGCAGTGGACTGAAATTAAGTGAAGGTATTG